TCTACATCTACATCTACATCTACATCTACATCTACATCTACATCTACATCTACATCTACATCAACATCTACATCGTACACGTACACGTACACGTACACGTACACGTACACGTACACGTACACGTACACGTACACGTACACGTACACGTACACGTACACGTACACGTACACGTACACGTACACGTACACGTACACGTACACGTACACGTACACGTACACGTACACGTACACGTACACGTACACGTACACGTACACGTACACGTACACGTACACGTACACGTACACGTACACGTACATATCTATGTCCATATCGGTATTCTATCTATATATCCTTAATCTTAATCCTTAGCCTCGCTCTAATTTACCATTACCGCCTTCTATACAGTAAAAAGCAATTTTCTTATTTCTACAAATAAAATAGATTTCACCGACAATCGATTTTTGCATCCTTATAGTCCACTTCATCGCCAGGTAAAAACTTTGAAAGCTCAAGCTGTGGTCATACCCAAGCCTCTTAACACCAAAATTATAATGACACTGAAGATTGGTTTTTAAATCTCTCAACGACCCAATTCCTTGAACCTTTGTTTAACACGTAGCCTAGATGAGTGTATTAACATAACGTAGTTACCGTAAAATAAATGTTTTTGTTAGATTTACAGTAAGACAGCAGTCATAAACTAGCTACACTCACACATCCATTAAGGCCAGCAGCCATAAGCTAGCTATAATTACACATCCATTAAGGCCCTGCAGCCTTAAACTAACTACACTCACACATACATTAAGAGCAGCAGGTATAAATTGGCTACATTCCATGGGATCAAAATTGATCTAATCGCTTATTTGATTAAGCTACACAGCTATAAGTACACACTTAAAACTCTACCTAATGGGGCCACATTATTATATCTTACACAGCAGATTTAAAAACAATATTAACTGGCTACATTTGAATATATGTTAACGGAAGCAGTCATAAACGTGCATTAATCACATTCATAAAGGGTTAAAGCCACAAATAGCTTTAAAATCTTTCGGTCTTGAGAAATTGGTCTTCGTCCACGACCACCACTCCCCTGTCAACCGTTTTAGCTTTTTACAGCTCTGCGCATGTTTTCTGAGGAACTCTTCTGCGTTAAACCTGGGGGGGGGGGGGGTCCTCAGCGGTGTAGCGAGGTCGGGTGTCACCCGGTGCGGCACTTAATGGTGTAACCCGCAGAGGTGTAGCGACCCTTCCCGGGGACAAACTTTCAATTTTCGTTTCTCCCCCCCCCCCCCACACTTTCGATTTGCACCTCTTAAAACACTATTTAACACTCGAATTAATCACTACATTAAGTGGAATTATCATTTTGCTCTATATATTCTCCTATTTTTTGCCTTGGTGTCACCCCCCTAAATGGTGTCACGCCCCTAAATGGTGTCACCCCCTAAATGGTGTCACCCGGTGCGGTCCGAACCCCACGCCCCCCCTCGCTACGCCTATTAGGTTCCTAACGTTACTATCCTTTCAGAGGCCCATGGGGCAGGTGAAGTAGAGTGCACCTGTTTCTGTGACCTCGGTATGTGAAGGTACATATGGTCATCACTATGCCCAGCCGCGTTTACTTTCATTAATGTAAGTAAGGTACCCAATATGATTTTAGAATGTCGTAAAAGAATTTTCCATAGTTTATCCATTCTGATACTAGATGCCATTCGAAGAGTCTATTAAATTAATCTGTTTAGTAATAGTGCAACTCCGTTTCTGTGGAACTCTTCTTTATCTTGGCTGAGAAGAGTTTTGCATTTTTGTAGTCTAATTTTCCAAGCGTGTTTCAACGTAAACCACTAGGTCCTTGAATGTATAGTCTAGACCCCTAACAAGCTCTGACAAAGTTCTAAAGCTCCATCTTTCCAAGTTAAAGTATACCGTTTAATGAGGACATTTTTGTTTTTCTTAACTTTGAGTAGATAAGTCTGCCTTACTAGGTTCATTTTTTTCGATTTTGGGGCTCTGCTCCCTACTAATAATTTATTTTTGTGGTTCTTCTTTTTCTTTGGTTTCTGAATTGGTTGACATTTTAATGGTCAGGGTGTTAGTATTTAACCAAAAAAACTAAACTTTTTTCGGGGGGGGTGGGGTGATGCATCTTGTCTAGCCCAATTCTTATGACTTGTTTCTTCTTCTTCGTTCTTACTTGTAAAGTTGAAAGTCATTTCCTCCAAAATGATTGTCAAATTTCAAACATTGTAATAAAGGAATCAACACATCAAACGTTGACCTCTCATTATAACCTACACTGACACGTGGCATCATCTCAGCAGGCGTTTTTTTTTTATTGATTTCAGACGAATAGGTCAGGAGAGAGAGAACACAATTTACACATTGCACAAGACATCTAAAAAGATTAAATATCTTTTGATTTTTCATTATTTAAAAAAAATCGTTTAAGTTAATAAAGCAGTGGAATTGGTCATGGGGGGTGGGGGTTAAAATATTTTTCCATATGTACAAAATCTATATATATATAACAATGTATGTGTGTGTGTGTGTCTGTCTGTGTGTCTTTTATGCATTACCACACCTCTTATCACATTGCCGTCGAACTTTGGGAAGTTGTTAAAAATACTCCTGGGGATGTTTCTGCGGAAAAAAAATTCAAATGCGCAGGGGTGGCGCCCTGGCAGGGCTCGATTTGTTTTTCTCTATATACGTTCTTAAAAAATAAGAGTCGATTGCAGATTGACACTGTTCATCCAATCGCCGTCAAACTTTGGGGAGCTGATTAGAGCAATGCAGGGAAGGGTTCTGTAAAAAGTCATTTTTAATTTCGCAAGAGCGGCGCCACGGGAGGGTGCGATTTTTCTCTTTATATGGTATATAAAAATAATAAAAGTGAATTCCAGTGACACCGCTCATACGATCAGCATGAAATTTAGGGAAGATGTTGAGAATATTCCTGGAGAGGTTTCTGTGCAAAAAAACATTTTCGAATTTTCAGGGGTGGCACTGCGGCAGGGCGCGATTTGTTTTTTTTTTATATGCGATATACAAAAATAATAAAAGTGAATTGCGGTGACACCGTTCACACGATCGCCATGAAACATTGGGAAGATGTTGAGAATATTCCTGGGGAGGTTTCTGCGCTAAAAACATTTTCAAATTTGCAGGGGTGGCGCCCCGACAGGGCGCGATTTGTATTTTTTCTTTATAACGGTTTATGAAAATAAAAGTCGATTTTGGTTTGACACCGTTCATCCAATAGGCATGAGACTTTGTGGGGTTGATTTGAACACTACCTGGAAGGGTGTGCTAAAAAAAAATTTTACAATGGCGGCGCCACGGGAGGGTGCGATTTTTCTCTATATACAGTATATAAAAATTAATTTAATTTTGCATTGAAGGCCCCCGGCAGGATGCCATTTGGCGCCCTGTTTTTTACCGTGAGCGCTATGGCGACTACGTTTGGTCTAAGCGGCCTGATAGACAATGGATAGGATGTGGCGTTACAAACGCTCACTAAATTGAATCAGGCGTGTCCGCCGGCGCCCTGGTAGGGTGCGATTTGGCTGCAATCAAAAATTTCAGTTTCAGCCCCCAAAGGCTCACATGGGCCGCTGAGGGCCATAATATGCGTTTTATTTTAATAATCAGAAAAACGAACCAAGGTTAGATTATTAACTGGGATGTTACTTTTTGTCCGTAAAAACAGTTTCGTCACTTTGCGAATGATGCAATTAGCATCTATTTTTAGACAATCAATCAGAAATTGAGATCGAGCATCTAATAATAGACTATTGGTAACGCTAACATATTGCATCATTCACACTGATGTGAAAACACGTCAAATACTTTTTTACGTGCTAAAGAAAATAATCCTGTTCATTTGTGTCACTTTTGCGAATGACGCTATCTGCATTATTGTTAACAGGATGCTATTTAGCACGATGGCGCCTGTTAGTTTTTAAGGAGCCAGGGGCCGTACGTGGCGCCTATTCGGTAGTGTAATCGAGGAGGGGGGGTGCTCCTAAGAGCGCCCCTCTACGTCCCAGACACATGGGTGATCACCGAAGTGTGTTCTACCTGATTATTTCGGTAAATGATTAATGTACACATAAGGTTTTCACGCGGTAGTGTAGGTAAATCCTTGTCCCGATATTTATGATCCAGTGCAGGCATTGTTTACATTTAAATAACTCTCTTTCAGAAAACAAGGATTGGTAACGTATGGATGAAACCCTTCTTCTATTCCCGCGGCAACGCGCGGGGACGGGTACCCTAGTCATATATATATATATATATATATATATATATATATATATATATATATATATATATATATATATATATATATATATATGTATGTATGTATGTATGTATGTATGTATATGTATGTATGTATATGTATGTATATATATATATATATATATATATATATATATATATATATATATAGATAGATAGAGAGAGAGAGAGAGAGAGAGAGGTATGAGTCCATATGGGAGGGGTTATATATATATATATATATATATATATATATATATATATATATATATATATATATATATATATGTATGTATGTATATATATATATATATATATATATATATATATATATATATATATATATATATATATATATATATATATATATATATATATATATATGTATGTATGTATGTATGTATGTATGTATGTATGTATGTATGTATGTATATGTATGTATGTATATATATATATATATATATATATATATATATATATATATATATATATATATATATATATATATATATATATATATATATATATATATATATATATAGATAGATAGATAGATAGATAGATAGATAGATAGATAGATAGATAGATAGATAGAGAGAGAGAGAGAGAGAGAGAGAGAGGTATGAGTCCATGGGAGGGGTTATAACCCCCCTAACCCCCCCCCCCCCCCTTGCCTACGCCACTGTAATAAAGGCAAAATTGTAAAGCAAGTAGAGTGACGCCTTATTCTCGATTATACAATATACAGCTAAAGTGGAAAAAAAAAACCTTTCGTATCATCACATCTCAACTGCGAACACGCTTCGTGGTTTATCGAACTGTAGACTGCAGAATCGAAATTTGACCGTCTACATTTCTTAAGTATGTAAGCTACATTTTAGTCTTGTTTTAATATTAGCTATTTAGCATACGTATTGCAAACAAATTTTGGAGGCAACATAGTATATGTGAACAAAGGACGTTTTATTAAATGAGAAAATACTGAAGATAAAATTGAGTTTTTAAATCACTGCGCTTTAAAAAGATTTGATTAGCGCTTTGTTAGCTTATTCCGAAATATTCGTTAATATATTCAACAAACTATTAAAAAAGTAAAATGAATAAGACATGTAGTAGAATAGAAATTTAATATGAAAAACACAATAATTTGTCAATAAGATGTGCCAAAAAAGAAATATTTTCTCAACTTGTGTTTTTTTACACATCTTTTAGACATTTCATCTTATCATGAAGCTACTCATCTTCTTCACCCTATTGACTGTTGTGTCGTCAAGGTTCATGTATAAGGAAGCCGTCGACAAGTAGCGTTTTTTTTTTTATTTTTTTACATTTTAAAAATGTACTATAAACTTTTGACGGCAGTTGTTAAAAAAAATAGTTGAAAATTAAATTAAAGTTTATTTGATGCTAGTAATTACACATATTTACATGTTTTGTCATTATTGAAAACTAATTATAAATGATGTTCGGTGAATGAATGCAGATAAGTTTATAATTTTTTTAAAAATTATAATTAAAAAAGAATTTGTCGCTTGTAGTAGCTGTACGATTTAGCTTGTTTAAAGTGTTGAATAATGTTAACATTTTGAATACATATTTTCCAGTAAATGTAATATATTTCACTTTTGTTAAAACAAAAAAGAAATAGTTGAAATCGTTATTGATATACGCAGAAAATATGACTGCTCTCCCCTGTTTTGTGAGGGAAAAGTTAAATGCTGTGAAGGCTACAGATGTGGGTAAGATACATGTTGAAAAGATAATTTGAATATTGACTTACCAGAGTTGTTTTAAGGGGGGGGGGAGGCTCCTTTAAAAAAAACTTTTCAAATTGTGGGTCTATAAAAAAACAATATTTTTAATACCCCAAAATTTCCCCAAAATTAAGTGTTTTGAACGGACACAAGTTTTGAACATTCGTAATAACTTATTTTGAAGATATGCACTTAAAATGTTTAGCTGAGTACCCAAAAATATGGAAGAAGATTATGAATTCATTATTTATTGGGCATAAAATATAATATTATATGAATGTTGGAAAACGAACGAGGGGGTTAATTTTTCAAGATGGCCGCCGTTGTCATAGTTACCAAGATTTTTTCACCATATTTTAGTGGAAATGCATATGCGGATCAAACTTAATAAAGCTGTATAGAAATAACTGTTTTCTAACGAGTATTAAAAACGTGTATTTTTACCGGAGCCTCCACCCTTAAATAGATATGGTTTAACTATTTCAAAAGCTGAGCTCTACAATACGTCGTTGGTTGTTAACTTACCAGAGACGTTTAAAATAGATATGGTTTAACTATTTCAAACGTTGAGCTCTAAAATAAGACTGATTGTTAACAGATTCGTTTCAAGTAAAGGTGGTTTAATTTTTCATGCATGTTGCTTCATTTATATAGATTTAACGAGAAGTTATAAGTTTAAGCTCTATACTTTATTCTCTATACTTATTCAATATTGAATTTTTTCTCACAATATCAAAACACGCAAGGGCGAAAATATGCGTATAAATACAGTGGTACTTCGACATACGAGTATCTCGACATACGAGTAGCTCGACATACGAGTATCTCGACATACGAGTAACTCGACATACGAGTATCTCGACATATGAGTATCTCGACATACGAGTATCCCGACATACGAGTATCTCGACATACGAGTAACTCGACATACGAGTATCTCGACATACGAGTATCTCGACATACGAGTATCTCGACATACGAGTAACTCGACATACGAGTAAGGCCACATACGAGTATCTCGACATACGAGTATCTTGACATACGAGTATCTCGACATACGAGCCAAGAGCAGTCGTGTAAACCTTGTGGGTACCCCGTGTAAACTTATTGGGTACCCCCTGTAAACTTAGTGGGTACCCCCGTGTAAACTTCGTGGGTATCCCCGTGTAAACGTGGTGGGTACCCCCGTGTAAACTTGGTGGGTACCTCCGTGTAAACGTGGTTGGTAACCCCGTGTAAATTTAGTGGGTACCCCCGACTAAACGTGGTGGGTACCCCGTGTAAACTTGGTGGGTACCCCCATGTAAACTTGGTGGGTGCCCCTGTCAAAACTTGGTGGGTACCTCATCTAAACTTGATGGGTACCCCCGTGTAAACTTCGTGGGTACCCAGTGTACAGCGGCTGTTATCATGGGGTAAGAGAAATGCTCGAATATATTTACCCCGTTTCCTGTCTGCATTACAATAAGCTCAAGATTTTATCTGGCAATGACCAATTAAGAGAGATAGTTATCATCGTTGATTGCTTTGTGTTCTGTTCCACAGAGAAGGCAATCTGGCCAATGTCTGCATCCCAAATCATGTAACTATTCAAACTCCAGATAAATAGGCTGATTGATTAGAACTTCAGTGCCAAATAAACAAAAAACGTGTTACCTTTTAACTTGGAATGAAAAGAAATATTGAATTTTCATGTCTTGAGTTGTGTATGAAAACGTTGTTGGTGTATAAATATATACCAGAAATAAGTGTGCAACTGTGTGAAGTTTGAAGCTTGAATGTAAACAAAACAAACTAAAGGGGCTTTCAAGATAAGAAAATAAAAATCGGAAAGGGGCCAAGACAAAGAGAGAGAGAGAGAGAGAGAGAGAGAGAGAGAGAGAGAGAGAGAGAGAGAGAAACAGAAAGAGAAAAATAGGAAAGAAGAGAAAGATGTGGGTCGTCGTAGTTTTGTTCAGTGTTTCTTCCAGACTTCTTTTTTCTTGGGGGGGGGGGGGGCACTTGAAATTTTCGGGGGGGGGGGATTCGGACTTTGTTAAAAGCGTATATGTTCTATATAATTCCATTTCGTTTCGGGGGGGGGGGGGTTGACCATCTTCGGAGGGGCTCCGCCCCCCCCCCAACCCCCAGAAGAGATGCCTGGAAGAAACTCTCGTTTAGTCGTTAAAGTTCATGGTTTTCCAAATCCCAGACAGAGGGTGCTCCATAACTGGGGACGGCGACCCATCCAGGTGAGAAAACTCCAAAATGACACAACTAGGGGTCGGCGTGGTCGAGTCGGTAAAGCTCATGGTTGCTAAACCGAAAAGTCTCGAGTTCGAACCCTCGGGCAGAAGAGGCTCGTTAGCTGGGGACAGCCACTCTTCTAGGAGAGACAACTCCAAAATAAAAACATCTGCTGCCTTATAGTTTGTTCTTGGTTGGACAAAGGCTATGGAAGCAAATCCAAAAAAAAAGCAGGCTGAAATCGGAGTCAATTGCCTCAATGGCGCATAACCAGTTGACACGTAACGCTTAATTGTGTTGGAGGCGTGGTCGAGTCGGCAACAAGCTCATGGTTGATAAATTCGAACAAAGTCACTGGCAGATAAATCTCGATCCCCTTCAACACTAATAATTAAGAACGAAGAAGAAGAAAGAAGACACAACTACTGCCTTGCACTTTGTTTTTGGTTGGAAAAAGACAATGGGAGAAATTCAAAAAAGAAAAGCAGGCTGAAATCGGAGTCATCCGACCATGTTGCAAAGCATGTAGACATGTAATACTTAAGAGTGTTAAAAGGGGTGGGCGTGGTCGAGCCGGTAAAGCTCATGGTTGCTAAACAGAAAAGTCTCGAGTTCGAACCCTCTGGCCCGTTAGCTGGGGACAGCCACTCTTCTAGGAGAGACAACTCCAAAATCAAACAACTGCTGCCTTGTAGTTTGTTCTTGGTTGACAAAGGCTATGGAAGCTGAAACCAGAGTCAGTAGTCTCAATGGCGCATAACCAGATGACACGTATACTTAATTGTGGCTGAGGGTATCCCTTCAAACACTAAAATTAAGAACGAAGAAGAAGAAGAAGAAGCAGAAGTATAGTGTTAAATATTATCCTCTTTTGACAAATATGTTTATGTATACCTAGCACGCACTTGACTATTTTTGTTAGAACAAACATTTGCTAAAATGCAAAAAGAAGTATACTACTAAACATCTATATATATATATATATATATATATATATATATATATATATATATATATATATATATATATATATATATATATATATATAATTCCCTTCTGGGAGACGCTAGAAAACAAGCTGTAAGCGCGCCTAGCAGTCCCCTCTCTTCCTCTATAGACATGTCTCTATTACTGTGGTTCACGCTATATGTTTACAAGCGTAGAGACGGGTTTAGTGACGGCTATTAGGGGCAGATAATTTAGTTTGAACTATTTTAAACGTAGGGGAGGTAACTAAGAGGAGCCTGCTTTCACGAGGAGGGGGGTTGGGGGGAAAGGGCTTTAGTGTTTTAATGCAAATATATTTTCAGTGGCAGCATTAGTACTGTCGAATTCATAAATTATGAATTACTGAAAAGTAGAAAAAACAACAACTAAATAGCGGCGTATGATACGCCACGGGTCGGCTCGTTTATAATATCGTATTTGCGGCAAATAATCTAATCTTTATCTAGGATGTCGGGATCTTTGTCCTAACTTCTAGTTAGATAAAATCAATAGTTAATTCTACTCATTGTTGTATTCAATTACAGAAGCTTTAGTGGTTTAGTTTGTGGATGAAGCATTACATTATAGTAGAATTGTAGTTTTTAATTTATCAATAGGTGTCTCTGTTCCTGGGGTGACAGCCGCGTAAAAAAGATGCACTAAGTTAATAAACACTGTGGTCATAGGTTCCCTGAGTTCACATGTGCCCGCACATTTTTTAGTAAATATATTGAGTAACTAGACAAGACTGAACAATTTAGTTATCTTATTTTAAACGAGCCGACCCGCGGCGTATCATACGCCGCTATTTAGTTGTTTTATTTTCTACTTTTCAGTAATTCATAATTTGTGAATTCGACAGTACCAATGCTTCCACTGAAAATATTTGCTTTAAAACACTAAAACCCTCCTTTCCCCCAACCCCAACCCCTACCCCCGCGACCCCCACCCACGTGAAAGCAGCCTCCACTTAGTTACTTCCCCTAAGTATAAAATAGTTTTAAACTAAATTATCTGCCCCTAAAAGCCGTCACTAAACCCGGCTCTACGATGTAAACATGTAGCGTGAACTACAGCTCACCAGACCATGTGGGTGTGTGGGTGGTTGCGATATGCCTAGAGAGGAAAAGAGGGGACTGTTATGATGCATGTTTGACTGGGGAAATCGGTGCGCATGATTGATGGTGCGGCCATTTAGTGAACGAGTGAATGTGTGACGCGATAAGATAGTGAAGTTTTAGGTTAGAGAGTTGGTTACTATGAGCTTGTGGGTGAGTTAGTCGAATCCTTAGCGTCGGTGTAAAAGGACGTGTGCTGGTTGGCATGACTCAAGTCGAGAGATGGGTTCTAGGAAGATAGATATATGTAGATACAAGAATAAAAGATTCTTACAAGAAGTACTTAGTTCCTCTTATTTCTAAACGTCGTTGATTTGTATGAACGTAAAAGAGCCATAGTGGTTCTCAAGGTTTAATACTCTCTCCCTGGTATTGGAGAGGAGTTAAATGGTAGCTGGCTGAGTCGAGTGACTCAAACCCTCTCACAGCAGCAATATAGTATAACAGGGACTGCTCGGCGCGCTTACAGCTTGTTTTCTAACGTCTCCCAGAAGAGAATTATATATATTGATGATGTTAAAAAACCCTGAAATTTTCAAGTTCTGGCAAAGATTCAAAGGAGAGAAGTAATATGTTGATTTGAAGCATGATATGCAGAAATTTGAATTCTTTTTTACCATTAATTTTGAACTCAAAGTAAACAGTGCATCTTGTGCTTTGCAATCAGTTGAAATAGACATATCTGTTGCTACACAATTTCTGTCAGACGCAATTTATAGGAAATTATCATTACCCCATTGAAATGTTCTTAGCTTTGTAAATGTTAGAAATAGAATTAGATAAACTGAACAGTGAAGATTCAGAATTAACTTTCAAGACTCACGTCGTTTTGTTGGGGTTTTTCAGTGTCTACGGCCATTGCCAAAATGGACACTTGCCCTAATGCGACTAATGCCCAAATGGACACTTGCTCGAATGCGACAAATGCACGAATGCGACAAATGCCAGAATACCTTAAAGCCATTTGTGTGCGTACGTGTTTATTAAGTAAACATATTAAATGAAGTAAGTAAAAAAATATATACTAGATAAGCTATTTTTTTTTAACGGCTTCTTTTATTGTTGTCCCATTCTTAAAAATTGAAGTTAAAAAATGAGAATATGGTGACGTAGCTACAAAAAAATCTAAATCTAAATTTGGAAATTCTTTGACGTTTTAAATTCTTCCGGCTTCGGAAAAAACTTAGTTTCACAATTTCGTTCTTGTTCCTGTGTGTCTGTGTACATAATAGCTTGAGTAATGTTTCGTTGTTGTTGACAAAACTCCAAATATAATTATTATTTCAAATCAGGTAGCCTTTATGTCAACATTTTTTTTTAAAGTCTTGTTTAATTTTCTTAAATACAAATGCGTGTGAGTATTCAAACAGCCTTTTTAAAACTTTGAAATCCACTGATGAGTTTCATTTATGTAATCTCTATGGGAACTTTCATGGGGTTACCAATACATTTGTTAAAACATTGATCAGATTTTAAGAAAACTATTCACTGTGCTTTAAAATGTTACGGATGACTTCTCATGATTGACTTGTGTTGGAGGCTGACACTCAAAAAAAGATTATATCCAGCGGCGTAACAAAAGCGGTGCGTGAGGTGCAGAAAGCGCCGGGAGCCACCATTTTGGGGTGACACCAAGGCAAAAAAGTTGCAAAATGTACAGACGAAAAATGCTTTTTTTGTAAAGAGAAATAGTTATTCAGGTACAAATCGACAATTATTACATTATGAAACGTGCTAACTCTTGAGAAAACAATGCTACATCCTCATTTATTATTAACAAACTATAGATAAACATCGTTACAATTACATCTGCAGTGATGAAACGTATTCACTTAGATGAACGCGTATGTGGTATATATTTAAATTAGAGGCCCATGTAAGCTCACACACACACACACACGTCCAAATCTACATATATATATATATATATATAGAATGAGATTTAACCGGGTTTTGGTTTTGGCGGCACCTTTTTTACACATCGCCGATAAGGAAAACTAGGGTGTGCTTGTCTGAAAAAATAGAACATGTATATATATATAGACACACACACATATATATATATATATATATATATATATATATATATATATATATATACATATATATATATACATATATATATATACATATATATATACATATATATATATATATATATATATATATATATATATATATGTGTGTGTGTGTGTGTGTGTGTGTGTGTGTGTGTGTGTGTGTGTGTGTGTTTAATAATATATCTATCAATCTTTACATCAAAATTTTCATGGAATTTATATATCGATATTTAATTATCTACCCATATTATAATATACTTCTTAATTTAGAATTTATAGCAAACATACACGCATTCATACTGTAAGCAACAACCGCTTAACTGGTCACAGAGAATGCCATCACACCTGTGAAAATGAAATTATCTATATGAATCATAATTTTAAAAAGTTTCCCATTCAAACCTGACGGTCTATGGGGCAAGTGAATTAGAGTTCACTTGTTTCTGTGACCTCGGCATATGAAGAGATAGTGTGTTCAGCACTATGCCCAGCCGCCTTTACTTTCCCTAACGTGACTTGAACCCGGATTCGAACTCGAGACTTACGGGTTAGCAGTCCAGCTCTCTACCGCTAGACCACTCCGTCCCATTATGAGTCATAATGCAATGCGTTATATAACGTGTTTATACATTAGAATAACACATTAAAATATGTGTGCATTATTTAGCTTAAAATTACTGATATGGTTATTGGAGTAGTATTCAAAATGAAATGTTTGTTTTTCCTTTTTATACGGATTTTTTTTTTAAATTGTTTTAAAATTCGTACCAAAAAAAATGTATTTGTTATGTGATGTATGTGTTCGATCCGTGATGCTTATCGCTTACATGACACTATATATTTGAAAATCGTCCTAGTTTGATACGAAGGGAACAAAACAGAGGCGTAGCGACCCCTCCCGGCGCCCGTGGACAAATTTTCAATTTGGCGCCCCCCCATATATTTTTTATATTTATAATTCAAAATTTTGGCGCCCCTAGGGTCGGCGCCCTGGGACATATGTACCCCCCTCGTCGCTACGACTCTGGAACAAAGCTCCGGCGTCGGAGATCTTATTTATTGGCACATGTGTTGTCAAAATAACTGCTTTCGGGAAGTTTTCGATACGCCCTGAATGTTAGCTCATGCTCAATGTTTTTGTTTTTTTTTGTTTCGAATGGGCATTTAGTTTTTTTTTTTTAATTTCTAAATCAACGGTTTGAAGTATTATACAAATAAATTGATATTTGGTGAAAATTCGAATTCTATATTATGCTCAGTTATACAAAGTATCGTTCCAATGTATTGCTTTGTTTATGCGTACTACAAACGCTTACCATAATCTGTTATTCTAATCTGATTACTATCTATGCAGAACTGGCAAAAAGCAACAAATTATTGCACTTTGTTCATAACTAGCAAACAAACCTTGGTAAATAAACTTAATCAAGCCCGCGAATATTTTAAAAGAATATCTTAAGTGAAGCTATACTTCTTAGATGTTGATCTGTTTTGTATAGTAGAGATAGACAAGACAGTTATTTATAAGGAAAGTATTCTAAATTATTTTACATGCTTTAACAAAAAATGCTATGAATATAGGTTATTCAGTCCCGTACAGCCTAAAAATGTAAGAAACTAATTTAAATAAAATGTCATATTCTTACTAGTGTAGGGCCTTAAATTTGGGACGTAGATGCCCAAGATAATTTTTATGATAAAAAACTTAGATTCTACTCCCGTTTTCGACCACATTAAAGCTTAATGAAATGCTTGAAAAGATTCAACTTATCCCAGTTAAATTATATTCACCTCGGCGTAGCTCTTTTCGCCGTAGTAGACGCTGCGACACCAACCATAAGAAGAAGAAATAGGAGCAAAATTTTCATTATTCAGTGGTCAAGTCTCTATCACCTTTGTTAAAGATAGAGACGATTTGTAATGTAAAAATTGATTTCATATGCTATTAATGAGCAGGCACCTGTAGCACGTCTGCTTTAGTCGCACGTAGTATAAACATGTATAAAAATGAATAATTATAATCATAAGGACAATATATCACAAAGTAAATATCTAAAATTTAAAATTTATTTAAAACAAAAAAAAAACATCTTCAGATCCTTTCATCAATGCGAAGAAATCGCATTGTAAACCGATAGACTAAGACACGAGTGTAGCCAATTTAATAAAATAGTTACTTATATATAGTTACTTATATATATATGTATACATATGAATACATATATATATATATATATATATATATATATATATATATATATATATATATATATATATATATATATATATATATATATATACATATGTATACATAATAATATGTATACATATATATATACATATGTATATGTATGTATATACATATGGGTGTGTATGTAAACAATAAATCATAAAAGTTTATTTTTACTTGCTCGGCTGAAGTTTTTCATGTGATCCTTATTATGCAATAGTGCATATATATATATATATATATATAGAATGAGATTTAACAAATTGCTAAAAAGTTAAATTGAGAAGTGCAGTGTGTTAAAATCTCATTCTTTAAAGATATAAACGATAAATAAACAGATGCTATTACTAACATTATATTCAACAACCTTGTATTAAATAGACATGGGTGAGTATTTTAAGCAGCGGAATTGCGTAGATCAGTTAGAGAATGGTCGAATAATTAGATTCAAATTCAAATTCAAATTCAAATTCAAATTCAAATTCAAATTCAAATTCAAATTCAAATTCAAATTCAAATTCAAATTCAAATTCAAATTCAAATTCAAATTCAAATTCAAATTCAAATTCAAATTCAAATTCAAATTCAAATTCAAATTCAAATTCAAATTCAAATTCAAATTCAAATTCAAATTCAAATTCAAATTCAAATTCAAATTCAAATTCAAATTCAAATTCAAATTCAAATTCAAATTCAAATTCAAATTCAAATTCAAATTCAAATTCAAATTCAAATTCAAATTCAAATTCAAATTCAAATTCAAATTCAAATTCAAATTCAATATATTAAATATTTTGTTTATAATAGCAACCACTATATCATACAAATAATGCGATCACTACAGCCGGGCTAAATAATAGATTTAACGTGACAGGTTAAGCAAATCGATGAGCAACATAAATAGAGTTGTAATAGTACTATAGCTTCTAGTACTCTGTTATTTTTTTTATTTTTTTGGTGACTTATTTTTACATTACCACTGTGAGAAGTTTCACCAGCAGTATAATGAAGGCTATGATTTTTTTTATACTTCTATTGAGTGCCAGCACTTGGGAATTAGTTAATGCAGTTTTACTCAAGTGAGTGTCATTATGTTATTATAATTAAATAAACCACAATAAATCGCCACATAAAAATCGTGGAAAAATATGTTCCATTTTTTTAAAAAACAGCTAAGAAACATTAATGAAACCTTTTATAAAAACTGCGAACGATTTCCTAAATACTCATAATTGTTGTATTTTCAGCATTGTATACGATGATGGCGATAATCTAAAATTACTCACTCTTTTACATTCGATAAAGCACTCAGATACACACATTCACACATACACACATGTATAAATATATGCATATAAATATATATATATATATATATATATATATATATATATATATATATATATATATATATATATATATATATATATATATATTGTATTTTGATACATTTTAATCTTTAATCGAAGATATTTTTTGCTTCATTTCTCCCAGGTGTTCAGATACCTATGAACCGTGCGATTCGACCAAGAAATGCTGCTTGAAATCTGATACTTGCAGGCAAAAGTTAAAAATTAATAAATTCTGATCATTTTACTTCTACTATAATATCAATAAAAATGATTCACAATTATTTAAAAAATTATATCGATAAATACGAAGAGGCAAAAATGAACGAATTAACAATATTCTATTAGATAGTTATTACGCAATATTACGAAACAGATTGTATTGAGATCTTAGTTATAATGTTCTATTCAGTTCTAAAACGATGTTGGACAAATTTGTTGATAAAAAGAAGTTGGATAAGGAAAAAGATCTTGAAATATTTAATGAATATACATATATATATATATATATATATATATATATATATATATATATATATATATATATATATATATATATATATATATATAAGTGTGTGTGTGCGTCTGTCTGGAAATATGGCTACATTCTACTTTTAGAAGAATGCATTGCTTAATTGAGAATATAAAGTGTGAAAACCATAAAAATAAACCGGGAGTGATCTCCCCTAAACTTTCTCGAATATTCTAATATAACACTACGGGGGATGTCAACTCGGAATATAGACATGATTTTTGTTTACTTAAACTTTTAAAAATAGAATAAAATCTAGTAGAAAAAAAAATTGCGCACCAAGCGAGCACCAAAACCAAATGTGCGTAATAGTGCGCAATATTATTAGTACTTTATAAATTTACATGCGTTTTTTGAGAAATCAGAAATAGCGTAAATTAGTACTTCCGGTCAACGGAAATTGCTCAAAATTTGATAAAAGGTAGAGAATTAGATCTTTTACTTACATGTGAAATTTCATTTATCTATCTGAATTAGTACTCAAGTTATAGGCTTTTGAAAAATTCAAAGTAGAAAAAGTACCACTTCCGGTTATCGGGAATCGCTCAAAAGTTGAGACGGATCTACGATTTTGATATAATACTTATATATGAAATTTCATCAACCTACCTGTAACGGTACTCAAGTAATCGTGTTTACACACAGACACACAGACACACAGACACACACACAGACATACGGACAAGATTGCAAAATTATGTTTTTCCGTATCAGTGAGGTGTAAAACGTCGAGATTTGTAAAAATCTCGATTTTTTTTTTGCACGATTACAATACTTTCTCTATACTACGTATATACGAGAAAGTAAAAATAATCAAAAATCGGTGTTAGAACAGTATGGTACTGAAGAAATATATATATATATATATATATATATATATATATATATATATATATATATATATATATATATATATTCAAATTATTTTGATAACTTAACAATTAATATGCATCTTTTTCTGTATACAATCAGATGGAGAAGTGCGGGACACGAGTGTGAACCAAACCATAAGTGATCGAAAGAGGAAATTGTAATTAAAACATTGTTTGAGTAAAGCATACAATATGATATGGCATGTGTGTCTGATTATGCTTATGGTTTTCTTACTTAACGTTGATTGAACTGAGTTGAATATTTTATTTATGATTGTTCATTCTAATCCGAACAATTAGTATTTCCTTATATATATATATATATATATATATATATATATATATATATATATATATATATATATATATATATATATATATATATATATATACAGAGAGGGCAAGAGAGAGAAAGATCATATACTTTTAATTGCGTAATTAATCTCCACTTTGCCCATAACTACGATTCGGTAATGGTTGAGAAATCTATACATAATTTGTTGTATGGAAATTAACTCCAGTTTTCAGATGTTTCTTTTTTCTCCTTCTTTGTTCTCAGTAGTAATTTTGGACTTGATTTCATCCAACACAATTATGTATAACGTGTCAACTTGTTATGCGCCATGTAGGCCGTTGACTTTGATTTTAGCTTTTGTCCATCCAATAACAAACTACAAGTCTTCAGTTGTTTTATTTTAGAGTTTCTTACTTAGATGGGTTGCTGTACCTACCATCTGCTCGATGGTTCGAACTCGAGACAATTCGGTTTAGCCACGTTAAGCTCTAACGACCCGACCCTGCCGACTCCTCAAACAATTCTAAATTCTGGGTTAAAATGAGGAGTTAGTTTATAGCTTAAAACCACCAAGTATTCAATACTATTCTTTTTAAACAAATGAACTTATCTAAATAATCAATGCAACTAATTTGTAGACTAGAAATATTTTACATTAAATTAACGGGATTCCCAATAAACATTAGCAATCATCATTTTTAATTAAATTAGCATAGAAATTTTACTGGCCTTACAACAGAATGAGGTGTTCATTCTAAAATCTCAACATTTATTTATGTTGTTTCATGAACGAAAGCCATAAACCATATTTACACTCGAAGAAAAAAAAATCCTAATACCTATCAAACTAACAATGTTGATTTTATGTTCAAACTATAAACACTCCCACATACCAGTGATAAAACTATAACCATCCTACATACTAGTGATAAAACTATAACCATCCTACATACTAGTGATAAAACTATAACCATCCTACATATTAGTGATAAAACTATAACCATCCTACATACTAGTGATAAAACTATAACCATCCTACATACTAGTGATAAAACTATAACCATCCTACATACTAGTGATAAAACTATAACCATCCTACATACTAGTGATAAAACTATAACCATCCTACATACTAGTGATAAAACTATAACCATCCTACATACTAGTGATAAAACTATAACCATCCTACATACTAGTGATAAAACTATAACCATCCTACCTACTAGTGATAAAACTATAACCATCCTACATACTAGGTGATAAAACTATAACCATCCTACATACTAGTGATAAAACCATAACCATCCTACATACTAGTGATAAAACCATAACCATCCTACATACTAGTGATAACACCATAACCATCTTACATACTAGTGATAAAACTATAACCATCCTACATACTAGTGATAAAACTATAACAATCCTACATACTAGTGATAAAGTGATTGGGGAATATTTTTTAACTATGGTACTGGGTACATACAGATAGACATAATTTACAATGACAGATAGTCAATTTTCAATCTAAATGTTCCGCGCACATCTCATTGCATTATACCTAAATTTGTCCATACCATAATTCGAATGGATTTATTGAAGATTAAGCCCATAAGGCTTAGCTAGCTGGATTTTGTAATTGAAAAAAAAACCCACGCGTAAATGGGTATATGCAACCTTATTAAGACTCCTCTAACCTACCATCTTATGTTCTATCACTAGGGCTTCACTAAACTACCACCGAATGTTTCACTAGGGCTTCACTATACTACCACCAAATGTTTCACTAGGGCTTCACTATACTACCACCGAATGTTCTATTACTAGAGATTCACTATACTACCACCGAATGTTCTATTACTAGGGCTTCACTAAACTACCATCGAATGTTTTACCAGGGTTTCACTAAACTATCACTATCATCGAATGTTCTATCACTAGGGCTTCATTAAACTACCATCAAATGTTTCACTAGGGATTCACTATACTACCACCGAATGTTCTATTACTAGAGATTCACTATACTACCACCGAATGTTCTATTACTAGGGCTTCACTAAACTACCATCGAATGTTTTATCAGGGTTTCACTAAACTATCACTATCATCGAATGTTCTATCACTAGGGCTTCATTAAACTACCATCAAATGTTTCACTAGGGATTCACTATACTACCACCGAATGTTCTATTACTAGAGATTCACTATACTACCACCGAATGTTCTATTACTAGGGCTTCACTAAACTACCATCGAATGTTTTACCAGGGTTTCACTAAACTACCACTATCATCGAATGTTCTATCAATAGGGCTTCACTATAGTACCACCGAATGTTTCACTAGGGCTTCACTATACTACCACCGTATGTTTCACTAGGGCTTCACTATACTACCATCGAATGTTTCACTAGGGCTTCACTATACTACCACCGAATGTTTCACTAGGGCTTCACTATACTACCACCGAATGTTTCACTAGGGCTTCACTATACTACCATCGAATGTTTCACTAGGGCTTCACTATACTACCACCGACTGTTTCACTAGGGCTTCACTATACTACCATCGAATGTTTACTAGGGCTTCACTATACTACCATCGAATGTTTCACTAGGGCTTCACTATACTACCACCGAATGTTTCACTAGGGCTTCACTGTACTACAACCGAATGTTGTATTACTAGGGATTCACTAAACTACCACCGAATGTTTCACTAGGGCTTCACTATACTACCACCGAATGTTTCACTAGGGCTTCACTATACTACCATCGAATGTTTCACTAGGGCTTCACTATACTACCATCGAATGTTTCACTAGGGCTTCACTATACTACCATCGAATGTTTCACTAGGGCTTCACTAAACAACCACCGAATGTTTCACTAGGGCTTCACTAAACAACCACCGAATGTTTCACTAGGGCTTCACTATACTACCACCGAATGTTCTATTACTAGGGATTCACTAAACTGCCATCGAATGTTTCACAAGGGCTTCACTAAACTACCATCGAATGTTTCACAATGGCTTTACTAGACTACCTTTAAATGTTTCACTAGGGCTTCACTAAACTACCACCATATGTTTGTATTACTTCATTAGGTCTTAACTGAGCTATAAACGAATGATCGCTAAACTACAATAGAATGTTCTAGTAAACTCATTACATGATCCTACGCAATTGAAGCAACATATGTGACCTAATTTAAAGCGGATTAAAACCTCGAGGGTTTTGTTCGCCCTATTCATCTGTTGAATGAAGTAAATGTAATGACCTACACACACCACATATCACTAAACTAGAACGCTGGGGTCAAATTACTTAACACCTACTTCATGTAATGCAAACGTATGTATGACAGTCATTCTAAGAGCAAAAAAATGCGAAAATCAAACACAATAAACGAACTGTCTTCCTTTTTAAATAAACCGGGAGTGATCTCCCCTAAACTTTCTCGAATATTCTTATATAAAATAACAGGGGATAGGAACTCGGGCTATAGACATGATTTTTAATCCATTTTAAATACTTAAAGTTTTAAAAATAGAATAAAATCGCGTAGACAAATTAATTGCACACCAAGTGAACGCGAAATAAAAAAGCGCATAATAGTGCGCAATATTATTAGTACTTTTAAAATTTACATTAGTTTTTTGAGAAAAAATTACTACTTCCAGTCAACGGAAATTACTCAAAATTTAACAGAAGGTAGAGAATTAGATCTTTTACTTACATGTGAAATTTCATTTATCTATCTGAAATAGTACTCAAGTTATAGGCTTTTGAAAATTCAAAGTAGAAAAAGTACCACTTCCGGTTATCGGAAATCGCTCAAAAGTTGATACGGATCTACGATTTTGATAAAATACTTATATATGAAATTTCATCAACCTAGCAGTAACGGTACTCAAGTTATCGTGTTTACACACGGACAGACAGACACACAGACACACACACACACACAGACATACGGACAAGATTGCAAAATTATGTTTTTCCGTATCAGTGAGGTGTAAAACGTCGAGATTTGTAAAAATCTCGATTTTTTTTTTTGCACGATTACAATACTTTCTCTATACTTCGTATATACGAGAAAGTAAAAAAAGTTAATAAAAAGTCTAGTGACAATTTAAGCGCAATTTCCTTATGTTATCCATAACAATTTTTAATTTTTAACTTTTTGTAAATATCATCCTATAAATATAAACTCCTACACGATGCTCAGTTTAAATCATCCTAGGCCTACACGATGCTCAGTTTAAATGTTCTTAATTATTTTTTTGTGACCGAACGAACGGATATTTTTGAAAACTTTCTTCGGCAATATTGGTCTAAATTATAGCAGGAATCGATTGATAAATGTTTCAAGTCGCTAAGTGGTCTGTTTGCCGAGATATGGAGCAAAAACTGCATTTTTTCGAGGTTTTTTGGCTTTTCCGGGAAATCCAGGAAGGAATTCCGGGAATTTTTTTGGCCCACAATCATCGTCGAAACTTGCTTAACATATTTGTTTTGGAACTAGTCCTCGATATTGCTTCGTTGAGGAGGAGATACGACTTAAAGCTGCGGACACACATCCATCCATCCATTCATTCATTCATCCATCCATCCAGAAATGACGAGTTAATAACCGCAATTGTCCGTGTGGAAATTGCGCTAAAAAGTGTTAACAAAATGAGAATATGCAAAAATGTATCTTGAATGTTAAATATAAGTCGTTTAGAATGTTTTGTATAATATAGTAATAATTGCGAAAATGTCATAATGTTGATTTTGTAAATTTGTTTGGTTGTATAAAAAATTGACACTAAAATTGCATTATATAAGTCCAACATATATCAGAATTTTTATATTAAAATAATAATAATAATATATAATTAAAATAATATATAAGAAAGCTTAAATAAAATTTGAGTTTTCTAAACAAATTATTACATCCTAACCTTGAACCACCAGAAATTCAAAACAGAAGCCATCTGCACTAGCAATTCTATATGGCTACAGGACATTACCGCCCCCGCCCTCTTTAATTACTCCCCGGGACATCCCCTCCCCCGTATTAACCCCCGGAGAAATTACCCCTGTCACTAAACCCGCCCCCTGTCAATTACCCCCTGGGGAATTACCCCCCCCCCCCCCATCCCCCAAGATAGAATCATAATTCTAACTAGCCCTAACCCTATCCCTAACCCTAACCCTAGCTGAACTTTATACTTTTACCAGTGTCCGCCCCCCCCCCCTGGAAAATGTAGACCGCCCCTCCCCCGAAAATATCAAGTGCCCCCCCCCCGGATAAAAAAGTCTGAAAGAAACACTGTGTCCAACTAGAGTCTGCAATAGAGGTGTAGCCCTAGTCTTTAGTTCTGCTGGGACTTCCCATAATTAAGTCAAAGTCAAGACAAAACGAAAGCAACATTTGCACAGTATGGAGTGGCGTCAATGAGGCCCGCGCCCCCGCACAGTCCATGTGGCGCCCCAGACAGTATGACAGTAACATGCCGTGGTAGTTAATATTGTTGTGATAGAAATACACTACTCAAATATTTGATACTGCTCGTTATTTTTTTATATAATGAAACCTACCTAAACAAGATTTTGTCGCAATGTATCGAAGTCAAAGAACAGCAATCGATCACTGGTTATACTAATGTATATTCAACGATGGCTTCCCTTTGACCTTATTCGCCAATTAAAAACAAAACACTCCATTTAATATGTATAGAACAATGACTTTGAAAAACACATTTTTTATTAAATGTTAGTTGCAAAACAAACTTCATTATACTTATGCAAAACTCGGCACAGTTTATATAATTAGATAATTACATTTCATTAGTAATTGTTTTTTCAAGTATTTTTAATAATATGAAATTGTTTAATAGATTCTGCACGTTTTCTTCCAAAAAATGAGACTTTAATTTATATATTCATTTTAATCACGTAGTAATAATAACTTACACCTTACGTACGAAAAATGTTTTAAAAATGTCTACATACTTTGGCAAATCTAGCACACGATTTTACACATTGATTAGATTTAGTGTAGTATTAGCTATTCAAATTTGTATTGTTTCGTATGTTTCTTGACCTCGTTATAAGAAAGGATAATGTGGTCAGCACTATGTCCAACCGCATTTACTTTCACTAACGTGAGTTAGGTACCCGTCAGAGCTCACCTGCCTCGAGGACGTTCTACTAACTTGAACCCGATTTCAAACAAGAGACTTTCGGGTTAGCAGTCTAGCGCTCTACCTCTAGACCACGCCGTCTAATAAGCAGGCCTTAGTGCTGACCACATTCGCCCTTCAAATGCCGAAATCACAGATACAAGTGAAAGATACAAAGTATTTCTTCCAGACATTATTCTTGGGGGGTGGGGGGACTCATTTGAAATGTTCAAGGGGAGGTGAACATTGATAAAAGTATCTATTGTGTATGTAAATTTTATTTAGTTCCGGGGGGGGGGGCAAGGGGAGACGTTTTTCGGGAGGGGTTTATCCCAACCCCCACCCCGAAGAGATGCCGTGAAGAATATCTGAATTTACATTCATTTCCCCATTGATCTCACAATCCGCAATGGTGACTACTTTTTTTTTAAAAAGTCTACGTCAAATAGCTATTTATAAATAAAATAAAATTTGATAAATCATTACAACATGCAAGAGAACAAAAATAACTATCTGAGTCAACAAATTACAATGACATTTCTTGTTCAATAAATAGTTCACCTAGTGACCTCCCTTACAACCACTTATATGGATGCATTCTGTCAAGCTTCACAAAGAGATGTGTTAACCTTACAATTGATTGTTGTATGTGTGCCACTGGGTCAGGTTCTATAAATAGTATTAAGTGACTTGGTAGAGGATCGTTGAAGTGCAAAATAAATAGTAGTTTACATATTACACCAGGGCTATAGTATATTATACCTTATATGTCTTGTACTTTTTTGTTCTAAATTGGCATACTTAAAGGTATTTCCTCCAACACAACAAAATATTACGTTTTAACTTAATATACCAATAAAAAAATTTAAAAAAAAAAGAAGAAATTTTTTTTTTACAGAAATAATGTGGGCCCGCAAGGTAGTTAAGCTCCATATATGATTTTGTAAACTAATAAAACTATTAATTTAAGAATTTTTAAAACCCTGAATTTCATGTTTATTTTTATTTCTCTATACCGAGATTTTAATTTTAAAAAATACAGTCATACACAGTCATACAGTCATACACAGTCATACACAGTCATACAGTCATACACAGTTATACAGTCATACACAGTCATACACAGTCATACACAGTTATACAGTCACACACAGCCATACACAGTCATACACAGTCATACACAGTCATACACGGTCATACACATTCATACACAGTCATACAGTCATACACAGTCATACAGTCATATACAGTCATACACAGTCATACACAGCCATACACAGTCATACACAGTCATACACAGTCATACACAGTCATACACAGTCATACACGGTCATACACAGTCATAGACGGTCATACACGGTCATACACAGTCATAGACAGTATAACACAGTCATACACAGTCATACACAGTCATACACAGTCATACACAGTTATACAGTCATACACAGCCATACACAGTCATACACAGTCATACACAGTCATACACGGTCATACACATTCATACACAGTCATACAGTCATACACAGTCATACAGTCATATACAGTCATACACAGTCATACACAGCCATACAGTCATATACAGTCATACACAGTCATACACAGTCATACACAGTCATACACAGTCACACACAGTCATACAGTCATACACAGTCATACACAGTCATACACAGTCATACACAGTCATACACAGTCATACACAGTCATACACAGTCATACACAGTCATACACAGTCATACACAGTCATACACAGTCATACACAGTCATACACAGTCATACACAGTCATACACAGTCATACATAGTCATACACAGTCATACACAGTCATACACAGTCATACATAGATAGACACAGTCATACACAGTCATACATAGATAGCCACAGTCATACACAGTCATACATAGATAGCCACAGTCATACACAGTCATACACAGTCATACACAGTCATACACAGTCATACACAGTCATACACAGTCATACACAGTCATACACAGTCATACACAGTCATACACAGTCATACACAGTCATACACAGTCATACACAGTCATACACAGTCATACACATATAGCCACAGAACTGTATTAGACTAAGAGGCGGAACGACCCATCCCGGCGCCCTGGGCAGCCGCCTCACCCGCCCTCCTTTAGCTACGCCACTGGTTATATTCCTGGCCTACAGGTAGACAAACCTTGACACAATAGAAAAATAGGTCTACGACAAATTTCCGAAAGACACTTGCCCGAATGGCGTTTGCATGAAGGCCGATTTCCCGAATGGGCACTTTCCCGAATGCGACAAATACTCGAATGGACACTTGCCCGAATGCGACAAATGCCAAATAAAACCCAAAAATATTTCCATTTTAAACAAACTTTCTGAAACAAGACATAATCATACTGGGTTTTTTTAGCAAACGTCATGAAGACCTGACAAGCTATCATAACTTTCAATGTCGAAAATTCAAAATCAAGGAAACGAGCAACAAAGAACAGACTAATTCAATTTAAAATAAAACAAGAATGATTTTTTAATTTCTTACCAAATATGTCAAAACAGGGTTATCTATTATTAGTGTTGCGGTATAAAAGACACTCATCAATCAAAATTTGACATTTTAAACGCTCCATGTGACATGAAACATGCTGATGCTCTTTTACCATATTTGTAAAAAGGACAAATTATTTATAATTATTACGCCATTTGTGACACATCAACTTTGAGGGCATTCGGCTGTGATGAGTCACTGAGTGACTTGTGTATCACTTCACACCGTGAACCCGGATATTCTTACACTGGTGAGCAGCAAGTCTATATAACTAGCGGTGTCTTCCATCCAGCGTTAAACTTCCAAGTAGCAGTTATATTACATCGCTAGCCACACTTAGATTGAGTTAACTTGTTAGTTAAATCCTGGTCGTTATTTTTTGTCAGTTAGTTACACTTGAATTTGTCATTGAAATCCTAGTTGTTTTAAATTGTCAGAGACATATGCGTTTTGTAGAATTTTCAGTGACATGAGTTTTGTAGAATTGTCACTGACATGAGTTTTGTAGATTTGTCAGTGACACATGCGCTGTTTTAATAATAATTGACATCTGTGTTTTATAAAGCTGACACTGTCCTCAGTAATGCATATCATCTTTAGATAATCTACGCAGTTGTTTCAATAAATCGAAATACCTTCTGAAGCTAAAATAACGTGTCCATTATAATTTGAGCATAAAATAAAATACATCTTTTACAATGAGTGTTGGAAGACAAATTCAATTCTTACATCCGCAAGTTGTTTCATTGTTTTTGCTGGTGAGTATGCACATGTAATATGTTTAAAACCAATTTCTCTCGTTCACTTACGTTGTTAGTTAAAGATTCTTATATACGTTTTTTAGAGATGTGTGACGACTCCCAGTTTGTTCTAAGATTATTATGCCTGTTTGGGTTAGCTTTCTTCTTTGTGGACTATAATATGTGTTTTTTAAATCTATTTTACTTAACAAAATACGGTTTACGATGAACAGGTCATGACAAGGACTATAATATGTGTTTTTTAAATATATTTTACTTAACAAAATACGGTTTACGATGAACAGGTCATGACGCACACCTGTCCAGCAAGTAGTTCAACACTTGATGAAATCATAGCCGGAGCCTCGGTCTCAATGGACAGTTTGATGATGCAGGACATTGACTCTCCAACACGACTTCAAGAGCTGGACATGGTGCTGACACTTGACCAATGGAGAGCTCTTCAAGTGAGTTCTATCTTTAATAGCATCTTTTTAGCGCAATTTCCATTCTGGAGAATTGCGTTTATTAACTCGTCTTTTCTGGGAATGGATGGATGGATGTGTGTTCACAGCTTTAAGTCGTATCTCCTCCTCAACGAAGCAATATCGAGGACTAGTTCCAAAAGCAATTTCGTTAAGCAAGTTCCGAGGATGATAGTGGGCCAAAAAAATTCCCGGAATTCCTTCCTGGATTTCACGGAAAAGCCAAAATAACCTCAAAAAATGCAGTTTTTGGCCCATATCTCGGCAACCAGACCACTTAGCGACTTAAAACATGTACCAATCTATTTCTGCCATAATTTAGAACAATATTGCCGAAGAAAGTTTTCAAAAATATCCTTTCGTTCGGTCACAAATTTTAAAATTACATAAACACCTACAAACCGATCGTTCTCCTAGCTTGAACGCACCCCAGCATTATACGTCAGAGCTATTTTTAGATAACATAAGGAAATTGCGCTTAAATTGTCACTAGACTTTTTAATTCACTTGTTTTTTGGTATTTTATAGGAAGTAAATTTTAAATATATATATTTTGAAAAATATTTTTTTATTTAAAAAATAAATATTTTTCGTGTGAAGAGGATATATTGACATAATTTTGTTGCCATTGTGTGAATCACAATTGATACACTTTATGCATCAGTGTCTTCAGTTTTTTTGTTTTGATTTCATAGCTCTTGAATACCATCTGACAGTGAGAGTATAAAATATTATTCAAATATTATTTTACTAGACAACTTTTCATAGATCGATTCTTTGAATATATCACTCAAAATATTTATTTAAAGTTGTATTGTGTTGAATTTTATAGTGGTTTTTATTTATTTATTTATTTATTTATTCAAATATTATTTTACAATACAACTTTCCGTACTTCTATTCTTTGAATGTAGCAAACAATATATTTATCCATGGTTGTATTGTGGGGAATTTAGTATTTTTTATATATTTATTTATTCGTCTTTATTGTTATCTAAAAGGTAATCGACACATCTTCCAAAGGCGACGGATATTTCAGAAAGAAAAGAAAAGCGATAAACAATCCGGCGCTTCGTTGGAAGAACAATCTCATCCCTTACAAAATAACCGGAGCGTTCAGTTACAATGATAGAGAGGAGATCATGGGCGCCATTGAAGAGTGGTCGAACTATACCTGTATCCAGTTTCGTCAAGCACAAAGAGAGGACCGTAACTTCGTTTCGTTTGAAAACGGGAACGGCTGTTATTCAAGCATAGGCATGGTCGGCGGTTCTCAAACTATAGGGCTGGCGAAGTTGTGTAGGAGTAAAGGGGTTATCATACACGAGATAGGGCATGCGGTGGGGTTTTTCCACGAGCAGAACCGCCCGGATCGGGACGACTATGTGCGGATAAGAACCGAGAACGTCGATTCAGGTCTGTTGTACAACTTTCAGAAGTACCCGTCGTCGGCCGTGTCAACAATGGGCGTCCCGTACGATTACAACAGTGTTATGCATTACGGGAGATCGTCCTTCACCTTAAATGGGGAGGACACCATTCAAACCCTTAACCCCGCCTACCAGGATGTAATAGGCAACAGAAAAGGGTTGAGTTTTTATGATATTAAATTAGCGAATTTAATGTACGAATGTAAAAATAGATGTTCATCAAATGTACAATGCCCTAACCATGGGTTTCTGGGTAAAGACTGCAGATGTTGGTGTGAGGGTTCGCCTGTTAAACTCTGCGAAAACTCTAAGCCACGAATAATAACAACAAAACCAACTACAAAAACGACCAAAAGTCCAGTAACGAAAACTACTCCTACAGCTTCAAACTGTGTTGATATAAACGAGTACTGCCGTTCCTGGGAAAAAGAAGGATATTGTAGCAGCAATAGTTACGTCAAATCGTATTGTAAAAAATCTTGCCGTTCGTGTCAACCTATAACCAGTGAGCCAAAAAAAGTATGCAAAGACAACTTCCTGAGCTGCTCAAAGTGGAAGGTCAAAGGTTACTGTAGCAAGTACAAGGCGGTCAAACTAAACTGCGCTCAGACATGCAACACTTGCAGAAGTCTCGTAAAAAGTAACGTTGATGAATTAACTACGAAGCCCTCGAACAATGCTCATACACATTCCCTCCATTTCTCGTGGATTTTCGTTCTGGTTGTGAAGACATGTATGACGACTTTTGTTATTTAATTTATGATTTAATTGCCACTATAAAAATAATAACAAATTCCAAATCTTGGTTTAACAACTTAAAATACTTAATTTTTAACAAATGAAATCTCAATTACATTTAAAGCTATTACTTTGATAAAAAAAATCGATATTTAAAAATGTTAGTAGCTTTCTTATTTGATTTTGTTTTACAATTTTTCATTTTATTTATTAGAAATCATTTGATACATATTCTGTTGAACAAGTTGTTGTTATTAGCAATCATTCTTATCAAATACTTAAGAATCACAAGTAATTCATTCAATAAAATAATAAACTTTATTTATATTGCTACAATTTTGAGTCGATTAAGTCAGTAAGGTGAGATCATTTATAATGTATAATTGGTTTTGTTTACTCTAATTTTCATAAACTTCTTATGTAAACAAGTTACACAGAAGAAATATGTAGTGGCCCAGATACATCCGACTTCATCCTACTTTGAAAACACTTGTACTAACAGCCACAAAATACTTCTGTTAATTAGAACACTTGAACTTAGTCATGTCAAATTACTTCAGCACATTTTGAAGTTCTGCGTTGAAAGTAAAGGATTCAAAACTGTTATTTTTAGTCTACTAAAAATTTTACAGAAAAAGTAACCCTGTATAACACACAAGGGTGCCTGAAATTTTGGTAAAAACAGTAAAAAAAAAACAATATTATCAAACGTGTTCATATGTTTAATTCATTATATAGAATATTTTTGAATTGATAATATTTTTTAACAAAATCAAACATAACGCAAAATAATGTCAGGAAGCTACAATTTAATTGGAAACATTTTAAAATTATTTAACTTTTTTTTTTATTCAGAAGTAAAAACTATTGAATCAAATTAAAGTAGCATACACATACAAATTGTTAAAAAATATAATTATTAAATAGCATGGTATCAGTGCGGGCTCTTCTTTGTTTGTGTCTGAAGTTTTGTTCTAGTTAACAACTAGAATGGTAATGAAGACTACACTTGAAATTACAAGAAACAAAATGTAAAATCTCAGCAAAATGGCGTCTAGCACCATGGAAACGGTTTGCCACGAGATCTCCGTACCACGTGATTGTTCCTCGGGCGTTGATTGGACGGTTGCTGGGCGGAGTCCCAGGAAGCTTTGCTCGCGTGAGTTGGGTTGCTTGAGCATAATGTGGTTGTCAGACTCGAAGTGTTTGTCCGGGTTGTTCTTCCCCGACCCCAGGGGATCAGCCACACCGTGGTAGGTCACTGGTTTAAACAGCTTGGTGCCCGGGGGAGCGGCTGTAATTATGAAACACACACACACATTCAGCATTTAGTTAATACTTTGATTCTAGCATAAAAGACACAATAAATATGTCCAAAAGTAAAATGGTATTATAATTTCTGTAACAGTTGTCACTTTTGGAAAGAAATTATTTGGATTAACAGCATTGAAACTATAATTGTTATTAATCGTAATTTAAATACACCGACGAATTCCGCACAGTGTTTCTTCCAGACTTTTTTCTCCGGGGGGGGGGGGGGGGCGTGCACTTGGAAATTTTCGACACTCTTAAAAGTATATATTTTCTATATAAATTTCATTTCGTTCGGGTGGGGGGGGGGGGCGGTAAACTTTCTTCGGAGGGGGGGGGGGGGGGCTGGAAGAAACTCTGATTCCGCAATGGAAAATATTTTTTTAGAATATTTTCTTTGTTTTATTCTTGTGCAAGTTAAAAGTTAATAATTATTGATTTAGCATTTTCTTCTAGATTTCTGATTGTAAATCTCATGTACCTTACTTTACAAATGCTTGAAATCGAAAATTAAATTTTGATCAGTAAAAATTAAGTATCTATGAATTATTTTCCTAACCAAATAAATTAAGGTTTAAAATCGACATGTACATGATGTAATTATCAAAATAACTAACACGATATCCTTTAAAACAGTATCTTACAAACAGTTGCCCAAAGCCGGCGCCAGGTTATTTAGCGCCCAAGTCAAAACTTATTAAAACGCCCTTTTTCACACAAACGCAAGGGAAATAACATTTTTAGGAATAGATAAAATAACCAGATGTAACTAAAAAATGCTTAAAAGACACAATAAAATGATATAAATTTCATTACGTACATATTACATCAATCTTTTATATTATCTATGTAACTGTGAGAAAAAAAATATATTATAATAATTGACTACTTAACTGTAGGTTTTAATTAACATCCTAAACACATTAGATTTATTATAAACTTTTTCTAGTCAATTATGAAGACATAAGGTATAATGTAGTTTCTTCATTTGCTACATTTAATTTCTAAAATTTTCGATTCCCTAAATAGCAGGATGTCTTTAAAATAAAATCCAATACGGGTAACTGTTTAAGATATCGCTAAAGTTATAGATTAAATATGAAATGATTATAATTTGAAACAAAAAAAGTTTACGGTAAGTTATAAATTCCAGCATATATAATACTAGGCATGCTGCCCAGCTTCGCTTAGGTTTTCGAAAACATTGAGAATTTGAATGCTTAATTAATTCGCCCGAGGGTCGGTCTACCACCTCAGGAGTTATGAAGAGGTTCCTCCGTGGACATTTTTTTTTATGTATAGCTCATATAAGGCGCCGGTCAGTCGAGGTCAGTTTTGACCCTCTCATTGTAGACTTTTCGGCCAACCGGCCCCCGTGTTCTGTCGCCCCAAGGCAAGATCCTGCCAAATTTGAAGCGCCGGCGGCGCTGGGAAGTGCCCGACAACTTCGCTTTATATATTACTAGCGTACCCGTCCCTGCGCGTTGCCGCGGGAATAGAAGATAGTCCGACAAAATATATAAGAAGGGGTTCATCCATGCGTTACCAATGCTATATTCTTAGACTCGTGACCTTGTTATCTAAAAGTGAGTTATTTAAATGTAAACAATGCCTGCGCTTGGATCATAAATATCGGGACACGGGTTTACCTACACTACCGCATGAAAACCTTATGTGTACATTAATCACTCAAAGAAATAATGAGGTAGAACACACTTCGGTGACCACCCATGTGTTAGGGACGTAGAGGGACGCTCTAAGGAGCCCCCCACCCCTGATTACACTCTCTCATAGGCGCCATCGTGCTCATAGGATAACCCGGAGTACAAAATAGCATCCTGTAAACACTGATGCACATTTCGTCATTCGTTGAAGTGACACAAATGAATAGGATTTTTTTCTTTAACACGTAAAAATTATTTGACGTGTTTTAAACATCAGTGTGACTGATGCAATATGGTATCGTTACTGATGGTCTATTATTAGATGCTCGATCTCAATTTCTGACTGGATCGGCTTATAATAGATGCTTATTGCATCATTCGCAAAGTTACGAAACTCTACAGTAGGCCAGAGGCGCAGCGACCCTTCCCGGCGCCCGGGGACAAACTTTTCGATTTGCACCCCCCCCCTCGAGATTTCGATTTGCATCCCCCCCCCCTCAAACTTTCGATTTGCACCCCCCTCGAGATTTCGATTTGCACCCCCCCCCCTCAAACTTTTGATTTGCACCCCCTCAACCTTTCAATTTATTTTTCCAACCCATTTAGGCGCCCCCTAAGCTCGGCGCCCGGGGACATATGTCCCCCCCCCCGCCCCCCCCCCCCCTCGCTACGCTACTGCAGTAGGCTCCTCAGATTCAAATAGTTATTTTTTCATCTTTCGCAAGGTGACGAAACTGTACAGAAGGATTTCCTCGCGTTACAAAGTTATTTTTAGAAGCCTGTTGTAGCTTTACCGCTGAATATAGTAGTACTCCTTAATCGCTATGCAGGACGCTCGATTAACAGATGCCAAGTGCCAACATAGTCGCTCTAAAACTTTGGGCGCCAAACCGTGTATTGACGAAATTGTACCCAACATGGCGCCGCCAATAAGAAACTTTAGTTTTCTTTTTCGCAGAAATATTCTCGGGAGTATTCTCATCTACTCCCTAAAGTTTCATGGCACTCGGATGAACCGCATCCGAGTTTTAATTTTTATATACCGTGTATAGAGAAAAAATCGCTCTCCCCTGGGGCGCCGCCCTTGCAATATTAAATTTTTTTTTTTTTTTATTATTTTTTTTTTTTTTGCAGAACCCTACCATTGAGTGATCTAATCATCTCCCAAAAGTTTCATGGTACACGGATGATCGGTGTGAAACCGAAATAGACTTAAATTTTATAAACCGTATATAGAGAAAAATCGCACCTTCCCGTGGCGCCGCCCTTGCGAAATTAAAAAAGGATTTTTTTACAGAAACCTTCCCAGGAGTGTTCTAATCAGCTCCCCAAAGTTTGATGGCGATCGAATGAACGCCGTGAAACCGCAATCGACGTTTATTTTTATATACCATATATAGAGAAAATCGCACCTTCCTGTTGCGCCGCCCTTGCAAAATTAAAAACGATTTTGGACGGAACCCTTCCCGGAGTGTTCTAATCAAGTCCCCAAAGTCTCATGGCTATCGAATGAACGCTGCCAAACCAAAATCGACTTTTATTTTTATGTATCGTATATAGAGAAAAATCGCACCCTCCCGTTGCGCCGCCCTTGCGAAATTAAAAATTATTTGTTTACAGAACCCTTCCCTAGAGTGTTATAATTAACTCCCCAAGGTTTCATGGCTATCGGATGAACGCCGTGAAATCGCAATCGACGTTTATTTTTATATACCGTATATAGAGAAAAATCGCACCCTCCCGTGGCGCCCCCCTTGCGTAATTAAAAATGATTTTTTACAGAACCCTTCCCTAGAGTGTTATAATTAACTCCCCAAAGTTTCATGCCTATCGGATGAACAGTGCCACTGCAATTCACTTTTATTATTTTTATATACCGTATATACCGTATATACCGTATATAGATACAAATCAAAACGCCGTCCTTGCGAAATTAAAGATTATTTGTTTACAGGACCCTTCCCTAGAGTGGTATAATTAACTCCCCAAAGTCTCATGGCTATCGGATGAACGATGTCAAACCAAAATTGAATTTTATTTTTTATATACCGTATATAGAGAAAAATAGGACCCACCCTTAGCGCCGCCCTTGCGAAATAATTTTTTTTTTTTTACGGAATCCTTCCCTAGAGTGGTATAATGAACTCCACAAAGTCTCATGGCTATCGGATGAAAGTTGCCTAACCAAAATTGACTTTTATTTAGTTATATACCGTAAATAGAGAAAAAAACAAATCGCGCCATGCCAGGGCGCCACCCCTGCGAATTTGAATTTTTTTTTCCGCAGAAACCTCCCCAGGAATATTCTCATTAACTTCCCAAAGTTTCACGGAGATGTGATAAGAGGTGTGGTAATGCATAAAAGACACACAGACAGACACACACACATACATTGCTTTATATATATATATAGATAGATAGATAGAGATTAGCAAATTGCATAGATAAACAAAGATTTCAATAAAGTAATTAAGGCCTGAAATACTTTAGTATACTTTAGTATAGAAATGTATTGTTTGAATAGATTATAGATCTAGGTAGGGTCTACATCTATGTAAGTCTAGTTTTTCCGTAGATCTAGATCTAAAACACGGATAATGAGAGACGCATTTTAAAATCTTAACTTACGCGAATATGCCTATTCTTTCAAGTTATTTTTTTATCCCAAATTAGCCAGTTCCAAACAAAGATTTTGTATAAAATAATGAAGTCTTGAAATAGTTTAGTCCTAATATAGAAATTTATTTTTGGAATAGATTCTAGAGTAGTTAGAGTCTAAATCTAGATCTTAGCGTCTACGTCTAGTTATTGCGTAGATTTAGATCTAGTCTAGATCTAAAATCTCTAGATCTAGAATCCAAGTAAATAAAATAAGTTTTATGAGTTTAGGCCAGAAAAATTGAATTGTATACATTTCATAGTGTACGTAGCTATAAATCAAATTTGAATGAAATAGTTCATTTCTTTTTATTCTAAACACGCAGATGACGTCATTAGTTAATTTATAAACATTAGTGACGTCACAGTTTTATGCGTTCTTTTTCACACCTATAAATGCTTTTCCTGTTGCATAATTAAAATTGTTTTCCTTCATTCTAATACGCCTTTATTTTATATTTTTCTTCTTGAAATAAAATTGTGGTTATTCATTTAAAACATCTAACATATTATTTTCAAAAGTCCGTATAAAGTTCTTCATATATCGCTACAGATTCTGATGTGATGTCCGGCGAAAATATTTTGCGGACAGAGAGAGAGAGAGAAGTGCGCACAGGGGCTTTTATATTAGGATTACATATTATTAATACTTTAAGAATGGTAATGTAGATACCTAATAAACAAGATTTTTCAGCAAGAGAGCGCCTACCTTTCTCTGTAGTGTGTTCCGTCCTGAATTTAAATAATCTATCTTGCGATAAACTCGACTATTCAATATACTACATTCACAACACATATCAAACTTCGATACCTAAACCTAACTTGACTTGATGCTCCAGTACTACGACACCAACACGCTTAACTTCTATCTCTACAAACGATACTCCCAATCAACAACGATTTAACTGGACCCACTACTAAACTTTAACAGTCAACACAATTCGATACCTTAATACCACAAGACTCGATAGTCCCGAACTCCAGAACTACGATACCCAATCATCTACATTCTCACTTCTCTACTACAAACAGCGGCGTGCAGGGGGGGGGGCGGACGTGACCCAGGCCCCGGGCATCCAACGGGGATTGTTTTGTTGTTTTTTTAAATTTGTTGCTGATTGATTTATCAATTTTACCCAAAACAAATACTCAATCGTCTTTCCCTCGTTTCGACATAATACTGTCCTTATCGCAAACAATACATAGAAACAGCGGGCATTAGTGATAAGGGAATGGTAGTCCCGTGGTAGTCATTGATATTCCTTTAATAAACGCGGTATTTATATTAAGTGTGTGATATTTATTTATTTAGTATAGTGTAGGGGCATCTTTTAGAGTAATTTCGCCAATATACTTCCGATGCACTATATGGGCATCTTTAAAGTAAGTATTCCCATGTTCGTTATACTAATTTTCAAAGATATCCGTAAAATAGTTATATCAATATATATTTTTATAGACTCTAGGGGTATCTTTAAAGTAATTATTTGTATATTCATTATATTATATTTAAGGTCATTCAGTAACGCACGCCGTTAGCTCTTACATCATCCTGGGTGTGGCCAAACTACTTTGTGGATCCAGAGGCGTAGCGACCCTTCCCGGCGCCCGGGGACATACTTTCAATTTGGCGCCCCCTTGGGAGCAAATTTTCGATTTGCAGCCCCCCCCCCCCCCTCGAACTTTTCATTTGCACCCCCCCTCAAACTTTCGATTTGCACCCCCCCTCGAACTTTTCATTTGCACCCCCCCCTCAAACTTTCAATTTGGCGCCCCCCCTAAGGTCGGCGCCCGGAGACATATGTCCCCCCCCCCCCTCGCTACGCTACTGTGTGGATCTGCCACTTGAATAGAGCTGGTAAGTAGGTCACCAACCAGTGCTACGGCTCAATAAAACCTGCATGAGCCAAAGAACTGGTTGGTGACCTACTTACTAGCCCTATAGCGAACCACCGGTCCAGCGGAAACTTTGGCCAGACTAACTCTATGTAACAAACGGGCTGGAACCGTCCACGACACGTAATGGACCGGTCAGCTGAATGGCGACCCACCGGTTAAGCTGATCGCGGGGCGGCACAAGATATCTATAGTTTATAAAAAATAATCAAAGTTATTAATTATTCAGTACTTTTTTGATAATAGCGATTAAATCTTTTTGTAGCTCCTGAGGATGGCGCCCTAGGCGACCTCCTAGTTTGCCTTATAGGTAGCGCGGGCCCCTTACTTGTTTCTTTTCATGTTTAACGTAATACATGACCAATAACCAGAGGTGTAGCGAGGGGGGGTGCGGACCGCACCGGTTGACACCATTTAGGTGGGTGACACCAAGGCAAAAAATAGCAAAATATATAGAGAAAACTGATAATTCCACTTAATTAAGTGATTAATTCGAGTGTTAAATAGTGTTTTAAGAGGTGCTAATCGAAAGTTTGAGGGGAGGCGGGTGCAAATCGAAAGTTTTGGAGAGGGGTGCAAATCAAAAATTGAAAGTTTGTCCGCCTCTGGGGGGGGGGGGGTGACCACGATTAGGTGCCGCACCGGGTGACACCCGACCTCGCTACGCCACTGCCAATAACATTTATTTATACTTTTTTAAAATTATTATTATATCACATCAAAAAATATATTGATTTGTTAAACACATTAAATAGTCTGAGAGAAATAATTTAATTTTTTTGTCTGTGTGATATAAAAAATAAACTTGACTCGCACACATTATTTTGTTGATTCTGAATTAATGTGAAATACGCTTCGACGTTACATTATTGTGTTGATTGTGAATGAATATGAGTCAGTTGGAGTCAGTGGCGTAACTAAAGGACGTGATGATGGTTCAGGGCCCTCATCCCTAAAAATAAATATTGCCGACACCTTTGACTGGAGTTAATCAGCGTATCCCAGAAAAACGAAGACTTACAGGAATTCTGAGCTGAGCCTCTTCTTTGCCTTAGTGAATTCATTTCAGTAGAGTGTGGGGGTAGCGGTGGTTGCCATTGGACGCCTGAATGGTTTGGCAGGATGGATGAAAAACCCAAGTCAAACTTTAGTTAACTGTATGTTTCGCATATATGCATACACAATTACAATTTCAAGAGTTGGAAGACGCAAGATACAACGTGTATATACATGTATATTGTCCAATCAAATTTTCTCTTCTATTCGACTACCCTGGTAAACTGGTAAGTTCCTTAGCTGGTGACTGACACACTACCTAAACGCAACATATTATAGATGGGTTTTTTTCCTCTTATCCTATAAATAAACAAAAGTGTATTGTTTTGAGTAAAGACACATGAGAATCTGTAGAAGTACCGCCAGATCATATTACGGATACACATGCATGTAAACAAGTGTATAAAGTATAAAGGATTATGAATGTCCGCGTCTTGACACACTCACTAAAGGGAAATAACCGTGATTATCAAGATAATACGTCATGCGTTTGACACATCCTATTAAAATGTGCTTGTTTCCCTAAGGATCTTATGTCAACTTGACACTGATACACTCATATGTCTTTACTCCTAACAAACAAGATTTTTTTAGAGAAGTTACATCAACATTACTCGTGATGGGATGAGCAGTACTTGAAACTTCCCCAAGGGTACTTAATACTTCCGGCACTGAGACGGACAGAGGTTAAAGAATATAAATGTTGTTTATATTAGTTTCGTTTTTATTTTCTATTTGGTCAGACGCTGGGTAGGTGGTGGGCGTGTGAGTGTGTGGAGGGAAGGGGGAGGCATTGTTCATTGCATGGCTTAAAGAAGGAATACCACACTTTCTCTTCTCAAAAATAAATTGCGCTTTACAATACTAAAACACAAACTCTAATTGAAGAATATTATATTATATTTTTTTTAGCTAAAAGGTGAAATTTTGAGTGTTCCACTTTTTAAATGACATTTATTGATTGATTCATTACCGACTAGCTTGAATTACCAGGCCTAACAAGCTATTTTGTTAGCAATTTAGAAAAAGGCGTCGCGGGGCGGGGGCGGCGGACCGCACCGTGTGACACCCAACCTAGCTACGCCACTGGTTTAGGTTATACCTCGCATGTATAGTGCATGGTTACCCTGTAGAACATAACTTATATTTAAAACTTAACGTGTGCGCCCGTATCTAGACTAAGCTAATGTCGTCTCTTCAACACAAGCTCGTATCAAGTGAGAGGTGGTAACTCTAAAACTACTTATATCATCAACCGCTAGAGTACATAAGTCAAGAGAGAGGTGGTAACTTTAAAACTACTTATATTTTCAACCGCTAGAGTATACAAGTCAAGTATCACGCAGCAAACAAAAATTACTCATCCTCCAAAACTTAACGGTGAAAAGTTTATTGTTTTAAGATGATGTTTTGCAAGCAGAGATTATTTCAAGCACTTCTTTTAAGAAAGTCAACCGCCCCCCCCCCCATCTCCCGGAAGGAACTTAAATTTAAAATATACTTTTATACTTTTATCAGTGTCCAACCCCCCGCCCCCATAAATAAATATCAAATGTCCCCCTGAGTAAAAGTCTGAAAGAAACACTGTAAGTGGTTGGTCCGACTAATAAAAGTTTTTTCAAACTAAATATTAAAACGTGGATTGATTGATCATCAAAACAATTGATTTTTATAATAGCCAAAACGAAGTTATTTTAAGTAATTTATAATATTAAGTTAAGTACTACGTTGTATTTAGTGACTTACGTAACTGATATTTTCTTATCACTAATCCTAATATATAAAACCCCCCGTGCGCACTTCTCTCTCTCTCTCTCTCTCTGTCTGTCCGCAAAATATTTTCGCCGGACATCACGTCAGAAACTGCAGCGATATATGAAGAACTTTATACGGACTTTTGTTGAAAATAATATGTTAGATGTTTTAAATGCATAACCACAATTTTATTTAAAGAAGAAAAATATAAAATAAAGGCGTATTCGAATGTAAAAAAACAATTTTTATTATGCAACAGGAAAAGCATTAATAGATGTGAAAAAGAACGCATAAAACTGTGACGTCACCTTTGCTTATACATTAACTAATGACGCCATCTGCCGTGTTTAGAATAAAAAGAAATGAACTTCTTTTTCTTCTTCTTCGTTCTTAATTATTAGTGTTGAAGGTGATCGAGATTTATCTGCCAGTGGGTTTGAACTCGAGACTTTGATCGTATTTATCAACCATGAACTTTTTGCCGACTCGACCACGCCTTCAACACAATTAAGCGTTACGTGTCAACTGGTTATGCGCCATTGAGGCCATTGACTCCGATTTCAGCCTGCTTTTCTTTTTGGATTTGCTTCCATAGCCTTTGTTCAACCAAGAACAAACTACAAGGCAGCAGTTGTTTAATTTTGGAGTTGTCTCTCCTAGAAGAGTGGCTGTCCCCAGCTAACGAGCCTCAACTGCCCGAGGGTTCGAACTCGAGACTTTTCGGTTTAGCAACCATGAGCTTTACCGACTCGACCACGCCGACCCCCATTTCTTCCGATCCCCGGCTATTAATTTTGCCATCGCCCAAGACATCCCTGTTGGCTTCAGTTCTTCAAGAAGACTCCGCCTCCAGGTCTGTTCCCTCATGCACATGGGTAAACGACATTACCCCCTCTAAATCATTAACCCACCAGTCATTTCGAAAGACAGATAGGGGTAGGAGCAGTATTATTTATGCAACCGGAAAAGCATTAATAGATTTGAAAAAGAACGCATAAAACTGTGACGTCACTATTGCTTATACATTAACTAATGACGTCATCTGCCGTGTTTCGAATAAAAAGAAATGAACTATTTCATTCAAATTTGATTTAAATCTACGTACACTATGAAATGTATACAATACAATTTTTCCGGCCTAAACTCATACAATTTATTTTATTTATTTGGATTCTAGATCTAGAGATTCTAGATCTAGACTAGATCTAAATCAACGCAATAACTAGACGTAGACGCAAAGATCTAGATTTAGATTCTAATTACTCTAGAACTATTCCAAAAATAAATTTCTATATTAGGACTAAACTATTTCAAGACTTAATTATTTTATACGAATTCTTTGTTTAGAACTGGCTAATTTGGGCTAAAAAAATTAATTTGAAAGAATAGACATATTCGCGTAAGTTAAGATTTTAAAATACGTCTTTCATTCTCTGAGTTTTGTAAGATGCCTAAATAGCTGAGATGATAGTGTACTTTAAACCACGCAGGTGGTGCGGGTTTGAGACACACCAAGTCAAACTTGGTTGTTGTTTTCTTTTTATTTTGCTCGGGCTAAACTTAAAAAAAAATTCTATTGGGATTCTAGATCTAGATATTCCAGATCATCTAGATCTAGATATTCTAGATCATCTAGATCTAGAGATTCTAGATAATCTAGATCTAGAGGTTCTAGTTCTAGATCTAGATGATCATGATCTACGGAAAAACTAGACTTACACAGATGTAGACCCTACCTAGATCTAGAATCGATTCAAATAATACATTTCTATACTAAAGTATTTCAGGCCTTAATTACTTTATTGAAATCTTTGTTTATCTATGCAATTTGCTAATCTCTATAATATATAAAGCAAAGTTGTCGGGTGCCCGATAGGGCACTTCCTGGCGCCGCAGGCGCTTCAAATTTGGCAGGATCTTGCCTTGGGGCGACAGAACACGGGGGCCGGTTGGCCGAAAAGTCTACGATGATGGGGTCAAAACTGACCTCGACTGACCGGCGCCTTATATGAGCTATAAATCGAAAAAAAATGTCCACGGAGGAACCTCTTCATAACATTAATTAAGCATTCAAATTCTCAATGTTTTCGAAAGCCTAAGCGAAGCTGGGCAGCATGCCTAGTTGTCTATGATCCTAACAATAGCACAGCTTTGATAATGTTAGATTGTTTTATAAAGTCAAATTATATAAATTATCTGTTGACAATAAAATGAGCCTACCGTTTGTTGTAACGTGACATAAATTATATACTGACCACTGTTTTAAAACGAACCTACCATAGGTTGTATTGTGACAAATTAGATACTGACCACTTCTATAGCATGAACCTACCATTTGTTGTAATGCGGTTCAAATGATAAGCTGACCACAGCTACAAGATAAGCCTACACTCATATGACTACATGAACCTACCACTACATAGGTTGTAATGTGATATAATGACCTGCTGACTATATGAACCTACCATAGGTTGTAATGTGATATAATGACCTGCTGACTATATGAACCTACTATAGGTTGTAATGTGATATAATTTTTTCTGCCGACTATATGAACCTACCATAGGTTGTAATGTGATATAATGACCTGCTGACTATATGAACCTACTATAGGTTGTAATGTGATATAAAGACCTGCTTACCACATAAACCTACCATAGGTTGTAATGTGATACAATAATCTGCTGACCACAGCTACAAGATAAACCTACCATAGGTTGTAATTGATATAATGATTGATCTGCTAACTTTATCAAGTTATGTGATATAATAATCTGCTGACCGCATAAACCTACCATAGGTTGTAATGTGATATAATGATCTGCTGACTATATGAACCTACCATAGGTTGTAATGTGATATAATGATCTGCCGTCTATATGAACCTACCATAGGTTGTAAGGTGATATAATAATCTGCTGACCACATAAACCAAACATAGGTTGTAATGTAATATAATGATCTGGCAAGCACATGAACCTACCATAGGTTGTAATGTAATATACTGATCAGCTGACCACATGAATCTACCATAGGTTGTAATGTGATATAATGATCTCTGCCGACCACATAAACCTACCATTAGCCTCCGCGTTGTTTAAAGGATGAGCCGTAGGTTCGACCCTGGGTGAGCAGCAACTGTTTTCAAAGCAGCAGATGCGCATGCCCAGAAGAGTCAGACGCCGGATGTAGAGCGGGATGGGCCTGTCGTCTGGACGGTGGTAGAGTTCAAGGACGTAGATGGAGAAGACGACGGACAGTCCGCCCATGATCAGCACCACGGCGATGTAGAGTTCTGGGAGAAAAAAGATCATTAGACATCGATATCAAATGTAAAGGGCGATGTATAGCTCTGGGAGATACAAGATCATTAGACATCGATATCAAATGTAAAGGGCGATGTATAGCTCTGGGAGAAAAAAGATCATTAGAGATCGATATCAAATGTAAAGGGCGATGTATAGCTCTGGGAGAAAAAAGATCATTAGACATCGATATCAAATGTAAAGGGCGATGTATAGCTCTGGGAGAAAAAAGATCATTAGAGATCGATATCAAATGTAAAGGGCGATGTATAGCTCTGGGAGAAAAAAGATCATTAGAGATCGATATCAAATGTAAAGGGCGATGTATAGCTCTGGGAGAAAAAAGATCATTAGAGATCGATATCAAATGTAAAGGGCGATGTATAGCTCTGGGAGAAAAAAGATCCTTAGACATCGATATCAAATGTAAAGGGCGATGTAGTGCTCTGGGAGATAAAAGATCATTAGACATCGATATCAAATGTAAAGGGCGATGTTTAGCTCTGGGAGATAAAAGATCATTAGACATCGATAGCCAGGATTAAGGGCCGTAGTGTCACAATGTAGGGGTGGAAGAGTTGGGGGTGAAGGGGGGTGAATGGGGTAAGCACCAGGAGACATCAATTAGGGGGTTGGGGATACCAACTTGAACATTGTAAAAGTTAATGTCAAAACAATGTTTTAATTTGTTAAATAATAGGATAGGTAGTGGGGGACTGCTTTGAAAGTGACCGACAAAAGTGTCTTGAGCCAAACGTGTCTTGAGCATAAAAGGAAGAAGATGGTGAACGGGAGAGGGGTGACTTTAAATCTAAAATATAAAATTGTTGAAAGGGTTGGGTGATACCCTCAGTTACTGCACGGGTGGAGCCGCGACCAGGTGACAAAACTGGTTCCGGGTACAAGGATATATATATATAAATATTAATATATATATATATATATATATATATATATATATATATATATATATATATATATATATATATATATATATATATATATATATATATATATATATATATATATATATATACATATATATATATGGACGTTTTATGATTCATGTCATTTGCACACACATTCTCTACTGATTTTGTTTTTTGCAACATTTACAAAACGGTACTGAAATTTGTATTTTAACTATTTCTCTCTCTCCCTCACAAACACACGCACACGCACACACACACACACACACACAAACTGGGTTGGCATGGAGTAGCAGAAATGTTTATTTTTACAAGCTTTTATTTAACTCACTTCCTCTGTCGTCAGTCTGTCTAGACGGAAACGCCGGAGTGAAAATTCGGAAACTTCTACTTGACCGATACGATTTACACTTGGCACGTGGGTCAAGACATGAAGACAATGCAATCTGAAACTAAATTTGACTTAATTGGATGCCCAATTAATTTTTTATGAATTAATTAAAATTTGGACCGAATTAGTAGGCATGTCTAGCCAACCACACCACACGCGTCATCACCTTCAATAGCTGCGCCATCACGTAATAGCTGCGTTCAAAAACCATTGCGCGCCTACTGAACGTGATGTTCAGTAGGCGCGCAATGGTTTTTAGTCATGTAACTCTATTGTAAATAAAACATGTAAAGTACTGAAAAAAAAATTCATAAAAAACGTTTTAATAACAAGCTTTTATGTAATAATGCACTAAAAAGTAGAAAATAAATTATAGACTACTATTTAAATAACTATAAAGAAAAGCGTGGGTGTCTTCCTTAACATTAGTAAAGGTATCCAATAGATACTAAAGTGACCCACGCTTTTCTTTATAGTTATTTAAATAGTAGTCTATAATTTATTTTCTACTTTTTAGTGCATTATTACATAAAAGCTTGTTATTAAAACGTTTTTTATGAATTTTTTTTTTACAAGCTTTTATTTAACTCACTTCCTCTGTCGTCAGTCTGTCTAGACGGAAACGCAGGAGTGAAAATTCGGACAGTTCTACTTGACCGATACGATTCACACTTGGCACGTGGGTCAAGACATGAAGACAATGCAATCTGAAACTAAATTTGACTTAATTGGATGCCTAATTAATTTTTTATGAATTAATAAAAATTTGGACCGAATTAGTAGGCATGTCTAGCCAACCACACCACACGCGTCATCACCTTCAATAGCTGCGCCATCACGTAATGGCTGCGTTCAAAAACCATTGCGCGCCTACTGAACGTGATGTTCAGTAGGCGCGCAATGGTTTTTAGTCATGTAACTCTATTGTAAATAAAACATGTAAAGTACTGAAAAAAAAATTCATAAAAAACGTTTTAATAACAAGCTTTTATGTAATGATGCACTAAAAAGTAGAAAATAAATTATAGACTACTATTTAAATAACTATAAAGAAAAGCGTGGGTCACTTTAGTATCTATTGGATACCTTTACTAATGTTAAGGAAGACACCCACGCTTTTCTTTATAGTTATTTAAATAGTAGTCTATAATTTATTTTCTACTTTTTAGTGCATCATTACATAAAAGCTTGTTATTAAAACGTTTTTTATGAATTTTTTTACAAGCTTTTATTTAACTCGCTTCCTCTGTCGTCAGTCGTCAGTCTGTCTAGACGGAAACGCAGGAGTGAAAATTCGGAAACTTCTACTTGACCGATACGATTCACACTTGGCACGTGGGTCAAGACATAAAGACAATGCAATCTGAATCTAAATTTGACTTAATTGGATGCCTAATTAATTTTTTATGAATTAATTAAAATTTGGACCGAATTAGTAGGCATGTCTAGCCAACCACACCACACGCGTCATCACCTTCAATAGCTGCGCCATCACGTAATGGCTGCGTTCAAAAACCATTGCGCGCCTACTGAACGTGATGTTCAGTAGGCGCGCAATGGTTTTTAGTCATGTAACTCTATTGTAAATAAAACATGTAAAGTACTGGGAAAAAAATTCATAAAAAACGTTTTAATAACAAGCTTTTATGTAATGATGCACTAAAAAGTAGAAAATAAATTATAGATTACTATTTAAATAACTATAAAGAAAAGCGTGGGTGTCTTCCTTAACATTAGTAAAGGTATCCAATAGATACTAAAGTGACCCACGCTTTTCTTTATAGTTATTTAAATAGTAGTCTATAATTTATTTTCTACTTTTTAGTGCATCATTACATAAAAGCTTGTTATTATTTCGTTTCCAGATAAGTAATTTTGAAAAATTAAAGAGAGACAACTCTTTTTTCAAATTGAAGAATAAGTAAAAACATTTTTCTTCATGTTAAATGGAAATTTTTTTTTTATTTTTCAGGATTCTATGACAGTTTAGAATAAATATGTTTATGCCTGGTCAGTAGGTTAATGGGTTTAGTATCAATGTCAACATGGCTCACCCAAGATGGACGTGTACTGGGCCGTAGTCGGAAGGTCAGCAGCGATGAGGGTCAAGATGACCATGTACCCCAGCATAACGGTCAGACAGTAGCCGATCTTCTCTCCACACTCGGCGGGCAGGACGAAGACGAAAATGATCAGGAAGGACGTGATTAGAACCGGAAGTAGATAGTTGAGTCCATAGTAGAGAGGTCGTCGGGTCATTTTAAAATAGTAATAGATCTGCAAAATTAAAAGAACTATATGTATGCATGAAGACCACTTGGAACATTGAGGAGAGAGATGGAAGAAGAAGTGCAGGCTACTGGCAAGACCTGGCATGAACTGAAGTGGCTCGCCCAATACAGCGTGGAATGGCGGAAATTTGTTACTGCCCTATACTCCACAGGGAGTGATGAGGATTAAGCAAGTAAGTAAGTATATGCATCCATATAAAAGTACTATATTTATCCAGGGGTAGACTGTTTGTGTCCAAAACAACTGGAAAATTTTTAAAGGGGCACCATCTCTAGATTGACATTTTCATAGACCAAGGCCTACATATAAAAACCACGGGTCTCTTAAAAAAGTACAAAATAGGCCTGCAATTGTAAAGAAAACAATAATCCGTCGCAGTACGCATTGAAGCTTTACTTCTGTTTAAAGATCAAATAAATTTTATTATGTTTGTAAACATTAACTCAACTTGATTGAAAGTCACGCGACTCGGCTTCATTATATATATATATATATATATATATATATATATATATATATATATATATATATATATATATATATATATATATATATATATATATATATATATATGTGTGTGTGTGTGTGTATTTAGAATATATACATAAATATAAAGATATTTATACATTAAGGCCAATAGTTACATGAATATATGAGGTTACATGTGGTTTTGTTTATCAAGTCTGTTTCACCTTTGTGTACTGATAGTTATCTCCCGTAAATGTAGTTCTATTCGTCCAGTTCTCTTCTAGAACCCATTCACCGTCAGGGTTGAAGTAGGTAATGTCCACACCACTCCCATAGACTTTAATGTCCAGCTCCTGAAAACATTGACGCATCCAGTGAAATATAGACCTGTTGTGGGATTATTTTGTTGTTTTTTTACATTGATATTTTTCTATTGTTTATATATGCATGCGTGTAATTTCCAGAATAGATTTATAAATGTCTACGACAAATTCCCGAATGACTCTTGACAGAATGCGGTTTTTCACGAAAGACGTGTTTCCGCATGCAAATTTGTATGCATGGGGCAAACGCCCGAATAGTCATTTGCTTGAAGGCCGTTTGCCCCAAAAATGTTAATATTATAGATTGACAAGTAGACATTCTACAAAGTTTTGAAGTAGACATTTGAATCATTCTAAGCATAATTATTACTCAGTTCAAAGCAAAAATGTATAAACATAAACTTGTTTATATATGTTTACTTTTTAGCATACAGAGTAGGCCCTATAGAGAAAGTATTGCAGAAAAACTAAATGAAATCGTACTAGATCTAGTTTTCGCATGGATGCATTGTAATCGTGCAAAAATCGAAATCGACATTTTGGCAAATTTTGACGTTTTATAACCTTCCGTAGCCGGAAAAACTTAGTTTTGCAACCCTGTTTGTCTGTAATGTTAACACAATAGCTTGAGTATCGTTTTAGTTTGACTAAATTTTCAAATATGCGCATTATATCAAAGTTAATTGTTTATCAACTTTTAGCAATTTCCGGTAACCGGAAATTATACGTCCTCTACTTCCGGTTTCTCGAAAATTGATAACTTGAGTAACATTAAAGCTTAGTAGACAAAATTTCAAATATAAGTATTAAATTGTATGCAAAAGTTCACTTCAACATTGTGTACGATTCCGGTAACCGCAAGTGGTACTTTGTATGATTTCCTATTGAACACGATAACTAGAATAATGTTTCAGTTAGTTAGACGAAATTTAATAATATGAAAAACCTATATTTTAAAATTTTTTGTGACCTGCGATATCCGATATGTTTTTTTTTTAATATGTTTAGAAATGTGTTGATTATCAAAATGTCAAATTCAAATTTATTAACGTCGGCTATTAAGTAATATCTGATTTTAACCCCTTTTCGGGAAAACTGCCTTCGGACGAGAGGCATTGGGGCATCTGTCCCATTCGGGCAAATGTCAAATCCGGCGTTTGACACTTTTGAGCAACTTTCCATTCGGAAAAACAGCATTCAGGCAAAAGGCAAATGTTTTTTCTACGTTACATGAATTCAACACTGGATAACACTACTATTGTCTATTTTTACTAGGTACGTATGTCTACATAAGATGCGTAAAACAGAAATACATATGCTAGTTTATGAGAAATAACTGTTTATTTTAGTGTATTGGTTACTTGGGCAATTAATCAAGTAAACGTTAATTATGCAACTTTAAACGCTTTTAAAAAAATTACAAGATGACCAAGTCGGCAAACGTTTCAGGAAAGGGAGGCACTTGAACAAAAATTTGATATTCAAAAATGATATTTTGGCCTTGCTTATTCCTGTCGTCCAATAGACTTTATTGCTTGATATTAATGCCTGCGTTGCTTACGTGGAGTATTTATTATAAAATATACTTTATCTTACACATGAAGCATTTGATGGACAGGTTTGCAAGCTTGTGATTTTATTTATTTTTTCTACTCGTTTTCACAGCGTGAGATCGTAGCGGTAAAACACATCCTTGTATTTTATATATTAAAATTCATTGTGTGAGACAGCACTTGTTTATATTATCACGTAATTCGCCTTAATAGGGCTTGTAAGTCACGGTCTCTTTCGATTAAAATTCGAAATCTTGTTAGCCAGGGAAAAATCTACATTTTCGAACTTAAATAACTGTTAACAAGATTCCAATATTTAAAAAAGTATTTGCTGCTATTTGTTTTTAGGCCTCGCTTCAAGATTTAATAATACCAAAAGTACCAAAAAAAGGCAATAATTATACATTTTTGTACTAATAATAAAAACAAATTAAGTAACGGTACGCCTACCGATAGCACAGGCTGCCCATGTGACCTACTTACCAGCCCTATTGTTGAACATCCTATTCTTGAAGCACGAACAATTTTTTTCAATTGTACTCACCTGCACGGTGTACCCAAAGCTCGTGACCTGTATAGCGCACGTGTGCTGATCCCAGGGGAAGTAACTGATGTCCATGTTGCACGAGACGGTCAGCAGACCTGGAGGATTCCAGGACACGGTGCCTGAGTTGTCGATCCTCAAGGGGATGGAATCCTCGTCAATTGCGCTGAGATCGTCAATACTGTACAGGTAAACGGGACGTCAGTTTATTCCCGGACCTCATTTAAATTTGACCTTATTTTATACCTGACACCAAAGTTAATGTGAAGCCGTTTTATACTTGAACCACCGTTGTAGATGATGCAATCCTTAAGGATTTATCTTCCAATATTGTTTTGGGTTGTAAACGATTTGAAAATTATTACACGGTAACCGAAACCTTTGACTTGGAATATTATCCTTGATCATAGTAGCAGTTCATAAGTCTAAATCTAAAATTAAATTAAAACACTACTTGTCTTCCCGATGGCAAGACGCATGATCTCAACAAACTATCCAAGCCAAAAGATCACTCAGCAAAATATTCGTACTAAAACATCACTCAACAAAATATTCGAACTAAAACATCACTCGACAAAAGATTCGAACTAAAACATCACTCAACAAAATATTCGAACTAAAACAACACTCAACAAAATATTCGAACTAAAACATCACTCAACACAATATTCGAACGAAACATCACTCAGCAAAATACTTTTTCATCGATATTTTCTTTTTATGTAATATGTAGACCTACTCACGAAATTTTAACACGCCATATAATGTGTACTAACGATACTGCAAATAGCTTGTGTACTCACGATATTTCAATACACCATACAAATATGTAATCGATATATTTTAACACAAAGTATAATGTGCACTCATCATATTTTAAAACAATATACAGTACCACATCATATTATCATGTGTACTCACGATACTTTAACACAACATATTGTATGTACCACATCATATCGTGTGTACTCACGATATTTTAACACAACATATTGTATGAACCACATCATATCATGTGTACTCACGATACTTTAACACAACATATTGTATGTACCACACCATATCATGTGTACTCACGAGTTGTCCACTACAAGTGCTGGTGTCCAGATATCGCTGGACATGACCTGTATCACTGGGATGTTGTCGTAGGAGCTCGGTGTCCATGACAACCGGTGGTCACTCCACCTCTGGAAGCAAAACAACAAACCGAAATCGCTCACTTAACACTGAAGACAAATGTTAAAAATAATAACAATAGCGAACAATTTTAGCCTGTTTATCTTTCTTTAAATTTAAGGTTATTTGATCCGAAAATTTAACGGCAATGTTGATTCTATCTACCTATCTTTATGAAATAACAATAGATGTGGTTTTAAGTCTTTTTACTTTCAAAGTTAGATATATTTTTTGTTGACTTAATGACAATATATCAATCATTTTAACAAAAATATTAAAACAGAAATATATGATTTACCATCAGCCACCATCCCGACACTCCGAATTGTTGGGTTTTTATGTCCTGTCGAGAAAATGATTCAGAGTAACGCCATAGGTAGTGGCCACTAGCCAGTTAAGAGTTAACGTGTTTAATAGGTACTGGCTAGCTCGGTGAACACTTTTAACGCCTATCTAACTTACTACTGATGTGATGTAGAGTAGTTGCTAGTTCACTCAAAGTCGTAGTTGGGTTGTTAACCTATCGCTAAAGTGGCTATTGGTTGGTTAACTTACCACTAGGATGGCTACGCTTATATTTGCTACTTGATTAAAATTTATCACTGAAATGGTTATTAGTTGGTTAACGTGCTACTAATCTAACTATTGGTTAAATAATTAAGTGGCTACTGGTTAGACAAATATGCCTATGATGTGGCTACTGGTTTAAAAACTTACCACTGATATGGCTACTGGTTAGACAACTTACCACTGAACTCGCTATTGGTTAGTTACTAGTGTAGTGGCTACAGCTTAGACAACTTACTATTGTAGTGGCTACCGGTTAGACAACTTACTATTGTAGTGGCTACCAATTAGACAACTTACTATTGTAGTGGCTACCGATTAGACAACTTACTATTGTAGTGGCTACCGATTAGACAACTTACTATTGTAGTGGCTACCGATTAGACAACTTACTATTGTAGTGGCTACAGGTTAAACAACTTACTATTGTAGTGGCTACCGGTTAGATAACTTACAGCTAAGTAACTACTGGTTAGACAACTTACTGTTGTAGTGGCTACCGGTTAGACAACTTACTATTTGAGGGGCTACCGATTAGATAACTCACCAATGTAGTGGCTACCGATTAGATAACTTACAGCTAAGTAACTACTGGTTAGACAACTTACTGTTGTTGTGGCTACCGGTTAGATAACTTACAGCTAAGTAACTACTGGTTAGACAACTTACTGTTGTAGTGGCTACCGGTTAGGTAACTTACAGCTAAGTAACTACTGGTTAGACAACTTACTGTTGTAGTGGCTACCGGTTAGACAACTTACTATTGTAGTGGCTACCGATTAGATAACTTACTGTTGTAGTGGCTACCGGTTAGACAACTTACTATTGTAGGTGCTACCGGTTAGATAACTTACCACTGAAGTAAAAGCTGTTGGTTGGAACGAGAGACTGATTATGGTAACCCCGTCAGGTCGGACGCTGGTCGCATAATTGGTCAGCAGATCAGATCGAAGCTCGGTCTCTTTCGCCACACTAAAGCCGAGGCAGGCTGTAGGAATCCACACTGGTGAGGGATCACAATAAAATAGTTCAATTACTTACTACGAGCTGACCCGCGACGTAGCATACGCTGCTATCTAGTTGTTTTATTTTCTACTTATCAACAATTCATAATTTGTGAATTCGACACCACCCCACCCCCTGCCCCCCCCCCCCCCCCCCTCCGCTTCGCCCAGTGAAAGAAGCCGTTTCCCCTTAGTTTCAAATCGTTTAAAAACTAAATTATCTGCCCCTAATAGCCGCCGATCCGTCTCTACTATTGTAAACATTCGGGGTGAACCACAGCTCACCTGACAGGTGGGGATGAGGGTGGTGGCTAAGCTGCGTGGTGTTTTCTATGGTCTCCATGAAGAGAATTATATATATATAGATAAAAATGTATGGATTGCTGTGTTTGGATGTAAGAATGTGAGACTGCTAATCTGGAAGTCATGAGTTCGGATTCCTGACTGAAGTCCGTAAGACTCAATGAGTCCATTTGGCTTACTTTACGGAAAGTATCGACGGCTGGGAATAGTGCTGGTCACAACATACCATCATATACCGAGGTCACAGAAACAGGTGAACTCTATTTTATCTTTTTCTATTGAAATGACAGACTTGACAGATAAATTAATTTTGTTTGTTTCTATATAATCTGTAAATGTTATTTATATTATATTTTACTTAATATCAATGGACGGCGTGGTTGAATGGTAGAGCTTGCGACTGCTTATCCAAAGGTCTCGAATTCGGATCCCTTGCTCCCAGATTGTAAACATTTAGCGTGAACCACAGCTCACCAGACCATGCGGAGTGGGGGTGGTATGGATATGCCTAGAGAGAAAGAAAAGGGTCTACTAGGCGCGCTTACAGCTTTGTGTTTTCTAGGGTATCCAAGAAGAGAATTATATATATAGATAATGTGGAAATTTTTCCTTCAATTGGAACAAACTCGTGTGTTAATTTGATAAACCCACTGAATAAAGCAAGAAACAAACACCGTATAATGCATGAAAGTATTTAAATAATTTAAAATATTTTTCTAAAACGTTAAACATTTACCACATGAATAAATACACAGTATTATTTATCCTAATCCATCAGATTTTGAACCACTAACAATGTTAAAAACACCAGACTCATGGAGAGTTGGTATAAACAAAATACGGGCATTCAAGGACAAATGTCTCAGATTCTGAAATTAAGGTGGCAGGACAAATTGCCGATTATAGACCTATGGAGATGGACTAAGCATGAGCTTATGACACTACAAAAAAGAAGGAAGATGTGGGAGGGACAAAAAAAGCCCCTACTTTAGGGAAGGCGAATGAGAGGGCTCCTACGACAGACCTTGAGAGGGTCAGCTTGAAGAACTGACGACAGCATACATGTCTTGGGAGGTTGCAAAATCAACAGCCAGGACAGGAAAAATAGGTTATGATCGAGGCCGTATGCTTAACAAGGAGTCTTCTTTTTCGTTCTTAATTTTTAGTGTTTGAAGGAATCGAGCTTTACCTGCCAGAAGGTTTGAACTCGAGACTTTTTTTTCGAATTTATCAACCATGGGCTTTTTGCCAACTCGACCAAGCCTCCATCACAATTAAGGATACGTGTCAACTCATTATGCGCCATTGAGGCCATTGACTCCGATTTCAGCCTGCTACAAGGCAGCAGTAGTTTGATTTTGGAGCTGTCTCACAAGGAGTAAAAATTATTACGTCAAGTCAATCAGATTTTGAATAGATAAGATTATTCAATCTACCTCTCATTTTAGCTCTCATTGTAGCTTTTGTCAAGTACTGACATTTTTATTTTATGTTTTTTTTAACTGTCTTCTTTTTAGTAGAAACGATGTATTTGAAAAAAAAATGTACATGCTTATTATTTCTATAAGAAGTAATGTTTAAGACAAGGTAATAAAAAGTCTAGTGACAATTTAAGCGCAATTTCCTTAATTATTTTTTTAGAATTCACAGACCTATGTAAAAATCCTTTCTAACCTCCGCTCATTCGCTATGGTAAAATCCTTTCGAACCTCAGCGCTTTGCGCTAAAAACCTACACGATGCTCAGTTTAAAATTTAAACTAGGCCTACAAGACGCTCAGTTTAAAATATATTTTAAAAAATGTGTGACCGAACGAAAGGATATTTTTGAAAACTTTCTTCGGCAATATTGGTTTAAACTATGGCAGGAATCGATTGGTAAATGTTTCAAGTCGCTAAGTGGTCTGGTTGCCGAGATATGGAGCAAAAACTGCATTTGTTCGAGGTTTTTTGGCTTTTCCGGGAAATCCAGGAAGGAATTCCGGGAATTTTTTTGGCCCACAATCATCCTCGGAACCCTCTTAACATTTTTGCTTTGGAACTAGTCCTCGATATTGCTTCGTTGAGGAGGAGATACCACTTAAAGCTGCGGACACACATCCATCCATCCATCCATCCATCCATCCATCCATCCATCCATCCATCCATCCATCCATCCATCCATCCATCCATCCATCCATCCATCCATCCATCCATCCATACATCCATACATCCATACATCCATACATCCATACATCCAGAAATGACGCATTATTAAACGCAATTTTTCATTTTTTGAAATTGCGCTAAAAAAAATTAAAATAATAACATATGGACGTAACGTAGCCCACTTTGCATACGTGTTAAATAATATAAAACCTGTCAAATAAACATCGTGTTCTTCAGGTATAAAAATATCACCCAAGTCCCATTCAAAATGTTATGCCTCAGCTCATTGGAGCTTATCTAATTATCCTCGTTCAGAATAAAAGTCTTCTTTCAACACTCGCTACATTCAAGCGTCAAGCTATTGCGCACTGTCATGTGCTAATATTTCACGGTGCAAATATTTCGTGTCAGATTTAAATGAATGACGAACGTGCTCAAGTATGTGTGTATTTCTATGGGCTGGCTAGGCTTGTTTTCGTGTTATATAGCTAAGCCTAGTTGCTCGACATTTTAATCAATACTAATATTATGAGATTGGGAAATAGGTTTGTAGGATCTATAGTTCGACGTATAAGTCTATTCACATGGTATAAAAACAATGTTAAGCTAATGTGGTTCTCATTTGATGATAACAGTGGCGTAGCCAGGATCGTCTCAATGGGGGGGGGGGGGGTTCCAATTTTTACCCGGGGAAAAACTTTCGATTTGCACCCCCCCCTCTCAAACTTCAATTTGCACCCCCCCCCCCCCTCAAACTTCCGATTTGCACCCCCCCCCCCTCTCAAACTTTCGATTTCCACCCCCCCCCCCCCTCATACTTTATATGTATACCGACGGGTCAATGGGGGTGGGTTATGACCCCCCCCCCCTAACCCCCTCCCCCCCCCCCCCCCACCGCCTACGCCACTGGATGATAATTATGTTCTTCTTGGTACCCAGACTTCAATAATTGTTGAAGAACTAGTTTTAGAGGTAAAGAGGCCCACTTAATTATTACATTTGGGGGCAAGGGTAATTAATGTTATTGAAAATGATTCAATTTTGGCAAGGTTGTTAAAAATTTTAAGTTTTGACGCGCTTATGACGAGTCATCAAGGAATAACGTTACGGTATCTAAGGGAGTGGTGAGACTGGAATTAGGAGTTGTGTAATGAATCAAGGAGAGGGGGTGGAGGTGAGGTTTTTGGAAAAATGAAAAAAAAATCTGCGTTATATTTAGCTAATTAAAATTAACAATATATGGAAATAAAGATTAGTTTTAACTTTAATTTCACATTTATAAAATGTGTTTTGTATAAAATGTAGTGATATTGAACAATCCAACTGATTGAATCATGCAGCATCTAGTAATTATGTGTTGTTGAAAATTTCTATGAAATGAGCTGTATTTTGACTAATTCAACCAAACTTGTAAAATCGTGTTTTCTTTATTTAACGTAAAGCCTTTGTTGTTTTGTTTTTTTTTCGTCTATTTGATTGGAAATGTTTGAATGTATATAAAACTGAAATAAAATAGCATTTTTAATTTTACTCTTTTATAATTTTCATTATAATATATTTTAAAAAAACGTAAAATGACCACAAAAACCAAATCGTTGAAATGTAAGTCTATGGTGAGGTAATTAAAAATAGGAGTTTTCATGTAAAACATATATGTAAAACATATATATAACATAATGTATTAGATTAAAATGTACTACAGTTAATAGGGTTTGTGTAATTTAGTTTTTTCATTACGCAAGGTGCATGAAGCAGTAAGTCATGCCTTGATATATAGTCAGGGATCGGGGGTCTATATAACACGAGGTGGGTTGTTTGTATTGTTCTAATTGTACACACATCTTAGAATTATGGTTTAACACGAGTTGGAGCAATGCGACGTCAACATGAGGGAGTTCGGAAGTTTCGCTGTATTGTGACCCCAGGGGGGGGGGGATATTGGCTTATGTTCGGTAGACATTTAATAAATGTTTGTTTATGATTCGTGCTTTTAAGTACAGTTTTAGGATCGGTTATTGCTTAGTCATAGAATCAGTGTTAATACTCTTGTTTTGTTTTGAGTTGTGTTACATGTGATGTAAAATAACTTCTAACACAACGTTTCAATGTTGATGGTCAACTATTAAAAGCTTGACTATTGTGTCCTTCTGTTTCTCGATGAGTTTTACATGGACGTTGTTGAGAGGTGAAACGTCCCTATGATAATATTAGCATAAAGAAAAATATAAAATAATAATTCTACGCCTATTTGGTTAACGTGTCAGTTATGACTTTACAGTAGATAGTATATAATTTAAAATTTAATAATGGTTTGTTTAAATTTTTGTTTTTGCGTTTGTTTTTTTTTTATTTGTTGTTTTTATCTTTTTCTAATTTTGATTTTAAGTTTTATTGAAGGGTCTGGATCTTGAATAAAGATTAATAAAGAGCTTTACGGATTACATTATTTCTTTACATTAATTAATTCGTCTTTTAAACGTAGCAGAACATTAAAAAAACATTTGATTTCATGTAAATTTTCAACAAACGTTGCTAAAAAGGAAAAATATTTATTAATAACTTTGAAATAAAATAATGACTGTGCCTATAGGTCTAGTACTACTACAGACAATTCAAAACTAGATTTGTTTGATTAATGCTAGTTACAAAAGTCATGAAACTACCTAGCGCTTGTTTCTTTTCGTTTTCTTCAAAAGGCAAAATATATAGGATCATTAATATTATAATCATTAGAAATTTATTTGAAAGGATTTGAGACATGTTTTTTCGTGATTGTACTTACAAAGTAAAGATTAAAAAAAAATATTAAATGAATTTAGACTAACATGAAATAGCTCACCATATAAGAAGAATACAATTAGCTTGTAGAACATTTTAAAACAATCTCTCCTCAGCTGGTGATGTAGGGTAGCATCAGCCAATTAGTCCACAGCCTATGGTAATAAAACACCTTAAATCTTACTTAAACATGTATGATCATTTTTTAATTTTTTTTTTAAATAATTAAATAGTTATATATATATATATATATATATATATATATATATATATATATATATATATATATATATATATATATATATATATATATATATATATATATTTATATATATATATATATATATATATATATATATATATATATATATATATATATATATATGCCTATATACTCACAATTGTAATCGCCATAAAATATTTCCTAATTTCAGATAATCCAGATTGAATATTGTAATTAACACAAATTACTGTGAACTATAAAACAAATAAACTAATTAATTTATAACAATCCAAGAAAGTATTATAGTTTGTTTGTTGTATTATTATTTTTTTATTTAATTTCCTCCAAACTCAAGTAATACTGTACCTACACAAAAAAGACAATAACATCAACCAAAACCAAGAGACATATCCAAGATCTCAGTCCTAGTCTATTTGGATCCAGACTAGACCTACTCGCTTATACCACCCTTGCCAATGCCAAAGCTCATTAAAAATTACCGTTCATTTAATCAAATCGATCGTATCTAATGACCTCAATCACTAAAACCTACAGGGTGTATCTAGCGCTGCAGGGGACGTATACGTCTTTACCGTACTAGCTGTGCGACCCGACCAAGTACGGGCTATAGAACACTTGGCATTGACCTGGTGTTCTATGGAACAAGTTAACAACCGTTGCCTATACCAGAAATAGAACAAACATGAATAAATAAACAAGTGTGAACATTTTACGTGAAACTTAAATAAACGTGTTCACGGTATAAATAAATACTTGATTTTAATTAATCATTTATTACATTGAAATGAACCTTAATTTTTATAAATATATTATAAAATGCAAATTACTTGTTATGATTCATTAACTGCATTATTATGTTATACTCTAAGATATAAAAAAAAGGTTGAAATAAGCATTACCAACAGTTCAGTTTATTAAACATTTAATCTCTGTGGTTTTTTTGTGAAAAGACTTTATAAGTCTTTTAATTGAGTAATGTTGTATAAATATTTTGTTCAGGCTATTAAAATAAATGATATCAATCGCATTTACGTAAGAACTGAGGTCGGCATTATGCCAAGCCGCCTTTTCTTTCTTTAACGTGAGTACCCATCAGCGGTGTATACTCAAAGACATAGACATTATAGGGGACTCGAGTCCAATTTGCTCAAAAGCACGCAATTAAATGACCAAATCGGTCAAATTATACACTAAAAACAAATACAGACAAATAACTATGTTAAAACTCATTATTCACCGATACAGACACAGATAAACGAACAAGCTATCAGCTGTAAAGTATTTTACCCTATTATGGTATGGGTTGTTAACTTACAACATTGTGGCTGCACTCAAATGACACATGCATTTGTGATAGTAAGTGCTCACCACTTGGGTACCTTGGCCACATGCTCAGTTAGGATGTTTTAGTGACGTGGTTGGTAGTCTAAACAGAGAAGAAGAAAAAAAATTCCACAAAGCTAAGTTTTTATGTAGGAGGGTCTACATTTTAGCTGAATAGGGAACATGCACAGTAATGGCAGGTTGGTGAACAATGTAAAGAGTATGTAAGTGCTCAACGTAAATGGTGTGTAAATGATCAATGTAAGTGATCAATGTAAAGCTTTACAGCAATGGGCAGTAAAGCGATCAATAGTTATCATACGATTTATTCAACCTTAGCCAAACATACGACTCAAATCAGACGATTTGTTGACGTAATCAATGGCGTCATTGTTCAGTCATGCGTTTAAGCTAAGCTTGAGGTCACTAAATTTTCCTTTACGGTGTCATGTTATTACGTAGACAGTGGTTCTCAAATAAGTCATTTTGAGTCCGTATTTTCCGCGGTTATACAGTAGACGTAAGTTGAGTCATAGCGATGCGGGGGGCGGGGGGGGGGACCATTTAGATGGGGGGAGTGACATCAAGACACACAAAAAGTGCAAGATATAAAGAATAAATGTTTTTTGCCAGTTCAATAAATGGTTAATTAGAGTTAAAAGTATTTTAAGAACATATTGACGATCCCGACAAGGGGGTGGGGGGGGGGCGGTATACTCCCTCCGAAGTGATGCCTGGAAGAAACTCTTGGAAGAGATCGGCTCTTTTCTTCTTCGTTCTTAATTGTATTGTTTGACGCGCTTTCTTTCAACACAATTACGTATTACGTCTCAACTTTTTTTACGCCAAATAGACCATTGACTCCGATTACAGCCTGCTTTTCTTTCTGGATTTGCTTCATTGACCTCTGTCCATCAAAGAAAAAAAAACTACAAGTCAGCAGTTGTTTGATTTAGGCGTGTTATGCCCCATAGATGGGTTGCTGGCCCAAGCTAATTAGCCTCACCATGCCGGGGGTTCGAACTTTGGTATATCAGTTAAGCAAACATTAACTATACCGACCCAAACACGCCGATCCTATTGCTTTTCATTATGTAGTCAGAAAACAATAATCCTACAAAAGCATAGCATAGTAGATTATATTGCTTCAAGTAAACTCAGACACATACATTAAACGCCTCATATGCCCGGGGTTCGAACTCGGGACTTTACGGTTTATCTACCATGAGCCTTGTGATTGTATAGTAACAAAAATGTAACAGAAGCTTGTATTGCTTTTCTTTAAAGGAAACTCCTAATAGTTTAACGAAATAACGTTTTAAATTTGTCATTAAATCCACAATGTTTTCGCTTGTTAAATTTAATAAATGTAATAAAGGACAAGAACATTTATTGTGTTTGTTATTCATTGGTATGAATGGTAGGTGTGTGCGTTTGTGCGCATCCGTTTGTTTTGAAAAAGTGTGTGTACGTAACTTTCTGCTGTCAGCTTATGTAACTATATGGATAACGTTGTTAAAAGTAAAGTTTCCCTTTCAAACCTGACGGTCTATGTGGCAAGTGAAGTAGATCTCACTTGTTTCGGCATATGAGGAGATAGAGTGGTCAGCACTATGCCCAGCCGCCTTTACTTTTCCTAACGTGAGTTAGGTACCCATCAGAGTTGGGTGGACTCAGGGACAGTCTACTGAGTTACGGGTTACGAGACTTACGGGTTAGCAGTCCAGCTCTCTACCGCTAGACCACTCCGTCCCATATAACGTTGTTAACCTATTTTTAAAAAGCCGTTGGAGATTTATTTTTATATGTTAGAACATAACTCTATCCAGCCTAAAATATTAGTGCTACATAATTTAAAACATTTCTACAATCCCAACTATGTTTCTCTTAAGGGGTATAAAGCTATACGGGTTAGCAGTCCAGCTCTCTACCGCTAGACCACTCCGTCCCATATAACGTTGTTAACCTATTTTTAAAAAGCCGTTGGAGATTTATTTTTAAATGTTAGAACAAAACTCAATCCAGCCTAAAACATTAGTGCTACATAATTTAAAACATTTCTACAATCCCAACATGTTTCTCTCAAGGTGTATGTAGCTATGACTGAAAGAAATCGATAGAACTACGGTAGCTCTTCGCTGTACCGGTCACGCGAGGGGTACGATCATAATGTTATTAAAAAGAACCTATTTTTAGTTTGACGTGAATCCACTGCAACTATTCGCACTTAATTGGCTTGTTGATTTCACGCTTAATTGACCTTAAATATAATTATTTGTTAATGACTCTCGAAATTTAGGTCGTGCAACTAATTACTCTTTGGCCTGTATACCAACTTAAATATGGCTGTACGATGTGCGCACTTGCAGCTGATAGTTTCGCACTAAAATGTGCGAAATCGTGTAAGGGTGACTTTGTAGGAAGACGCGCCATAAAAGATGTTTATAGTGATTTAACGTATGAAGATAATTACTAGACGTTTAGCATTCAAAGTAACCTTATATGATTATAGATGATACATCTTGTTCATACAATTATTTGTAGAATGGAGCTCAAATCTAATTTGTCTGTGACATTCTCATTGTTTCTAATGGCTTAAAAAACAAAAACTAATTTAAAAGGTAAACTTTTTAAAGATTTTGATCTAGATCTAGACTAGAGATGTTTGAAAAGTCCAAAATCTTTGTCAAAGACAAAACAGGAAGCACATTCAGTGGCCATAAATGCAATGCTTGATAGTTATGATTGAAGAATTTCTTAATTGCATTAGTTGCATGTTACACAGAAAGGCGCAATAACTCGAGCCCTAAATAATTATGTTGTAAAGAATGAACGTACTTGAATTTATTGTGTTTTATTTATAGAGTTTTGTGTTCGATGAAGTTCATAAGACTAGTCACCTCTTGCGAGACACTTTATTATTAACACGTTTTTCTTAACTCAGCTTCGCGTTTGTGGATTTGTTTGTTTGTTGTTAAAATTGACATCGAAAATTAGCCCACTTCTGATTGCTCTACAGATCTGAAATTTGGCATACAGGCTACTTTCGCCTAACAATTTCAGATGTAATCATAAAAACTAGCAATTAGAGACCGTAATTAGCTTAATTTAATTACGCCCCAAGGACCATAAAATTGAGGACATGATTTCTAAAGATACCGACAAGACTGGAGGCTTATTCACACAGTTACTTGGGCCCCAATCGATGTGAGCGCGCTGGCCGTGATCGTATAGTGGTTAGTACTTCGCGTTGTGGCCGCGACAACCCAGGTTCGAATCCTGGTCGCTCAAGATTTTTTAGTCCGTGTATTTATAAACACTTAGTCAAGTCATACTTAATCAAGTCATTAGATTAAGTAGAAAATAAACTATATAAAAAACTTTTTTAAAAACCACGTTTTTCATGTGTAGCAACGGACTAAAAAGGAGAAAATAAAATACTTAAAAAAAACTTTTTAAAAAACCACGTTTTTCTTGTGGACTAAAAAGTAGAAAATAAATTTTTCTTTTGTGCTTCCTCGAGCTGTGCAGGTTCTTGTGATGACTGACAAAAAACGTGGGTCGGGCAGATGGGTCGGGAAATTTGATGGTGAACGTACCCACGTTTTTTGTCAGTCATCACAAGAACCTGCACAGCTCGAGGAAGCACAAAAGAAAAATTTATTTTCTACTTTTTAGTCCACAAGAAAAACGTGGTTTTTTAAAAAGTTTTTTTTAAGTATTTTATTTTTAAATGTTATTATAATTTTAAAATTATTTTTAAGATAAAGATAACTATTTCAATTTCTTATCTCTATACTTCTTAATTATTTGAAATATGCGCAGTGGCATAGCCAGGAATGGGTCATGGGAGGGGTTCAAATTTTTTTCCATATGTATACAATTATATATATATATATATATATATATATATATATATATATATATATATATATATATATATATATATATACATAGGCTATATTTATAGGAGTGAGGGTCCATGGGAGGGGTTACAACTCCCCCCTAACCCCCCCCCCCCCCTTGCCTGCGCCACTGAATATGCGGCCTCAATAAGTTCACATGTTAAATGTAAGTGCCAAATCAATTAATATTTGTCAATGACATATAATATCTCGACTTATGGAGGCCTCCATATCTCAAATAGATTAGGACCTTATCAAGTCTAAATATAGAAACGTTCCCACGTCAAAATGAGCAGAAGAGGATACTGGCAAGCTTTGGCAGCTGTAATAGTGGTAGGTGTCTGTTGGCTAAACATAACCTCCCACTAGTGTCTATGTGGTAATTACTATTTACCTGCTTGTTGTTTTGTCATACCCACATACATGTCTCTATTATAAGATAATTTGCAGACATTGTTTAATTAGTCAAACCCAAATATATTTATTTCTTAATGTGCAGTTGTTTTTTGATTAGTCATACCCACATTCAAGTATCAAGGTGTATATTCCTACTAACTTTGCTGACAATCAGAAGGCGTGGTCGGTCGGCAGAGCCCTCGACTACTAACCGAAAATACCCGTGTTCGGGTCTACAGTACTTCCCTTAGTCCACCCAGCTCTAATGGGTGCCTGACACAAGTAAGGTAAAGTAAAGACAGCTGCACAAAGAACTGGCTACACTATCCATATATATGCCTAATTTCGGAAACAGGTGAACTCTACTTGACCTGCCATATTGACAGTCAGTTCCGAAAAGATTATCTTATCTTTATATCTACTTATGTTTAAGTAGTCTGATCCATGATAAAAGTTGGTTAGTTTGAGCTGTTCGACCATGTTTAACGTGTATTTACCGATAATACTTCATGCTAATTCTCTTATTGTGTTGGCCATGCTAACTCTTGTTGTGACGATGTAGTTAACTCTTGTTGTGATGATGTAGTTAACTCTTGTTGTGATGATGTCTAAGGTTCTGTTGGTCTCACACCATACGTCCATTCCATCGACCATCGTGTTGGCCTAGTTAACTCTTGTTGTGATGATGTAGTTAACTCTTGATGTGATGATGTCTAAGGTTCTTTTGGTCTCACATCATACGTCCATTCCATCGACCATCGTGTCGGCCTAGTTAACTCTTGTTGTGATGATGTAGTTAACTCTTGATGTGATGATGTCTAAGGTTCTTTTGGTCTCACCACATACGTCTATTCCATCGACCATCGTGTTGGCCTAGTTAACTCTTGATGTGATGATGTCTAAGGTTCTTTTGGTCTCACCACATACGTCTATTCCATCGACCATCGTGTTGGCCTAGTTAACTCTTGTTGTGATGATGTCTAAGGTTCTTTTGGCCTCACCACATACGTCCAGTTTGTCCATCGACCATCGTGTTGGCCTAGTTAACTCTTGTTGTGATGATGTAGTTAACTCTTGATGTGATGATGTCTAAGGTTCTGTTGGTCTCACCACATACGTCCGGTATGTCCATCGACCAAATGATCGCTGCAGCTAGACACGGGAGATACCCATGGCTCAGAAGCAGAGTAGAAGAGATCCGCGAACTGGACATGATACTGACAGACGAGGAATGGAACGTCCTGCGGGTAACACAGTTCATTATTTTTTTTTCTTTGATCTTAATTTTAGTTTTTGAAGTAGTTCCATCCAACCCAAAAAGTATACGTGTCAACTGGGTATGAGCCGTTTAGACCGTTGACTGCAATTTCAGCCTGCTTTTCTGTTTTGGATTTGCTTCCATAGCCTTTGTCCAACCAAGAACAAACTAAAAGGCAGCCGTTGCTTGATTTTGGAGTTGTCTCTCTTAGAAGAGTTGCTTTCCCCAGATATCGAGCCTCATCTGCCCGAAGGTTCGAACTCGAAAATTTTCGGTATTCACCGACCCCTACACATTTAATTGTTCCTCGGTGAAATTCGGATGTTGTTGTTTGATCTAATAGTGCGGTGCTTTATTATTGCATTGGACGGCGGAGCTTCGCAGAATTGCAAGCTAAAAAATGTGTGTTCGTATTACGTCGGACCTCCCATAGCCCACCCAGCTCTAAAGAGTATCTGACCTGGTATCCGTTTTATGGCCAGTTGACTACAATTTTGGAGAGCAAACTACAAGACAGCCAGAGGCGTAGCGAAGGGGGGGGGGGGGGGGCAGGGGGGTAAACATGTCCCCGGGCGCCGACCTTAGGGGGCGCCAAAATGGGTTGGAAAAACAAATTAAAATCTCATTTTAGCTGCATTTTTGCTTTATAAATATAAAAAATATATGAGGGGGGGGTGCAAATTGAAAGTTCGAGGCGGGGGGGGGGTGCAAATAGAAAATTGAAAGGTTGATCCCGAACGGGGCGCCAAATTGAAAATTTGTCCCCGGGTGCCGGGAAGGGTCGCTACGCCTCTGAAGGCAGCAGTTCTGATTTTTGGAGTACAATTTACTAGATGGGCTGCTTCATCTGCTCTGGCATCCGAACTTGAGTCTTTTGTTAGCAATCCTTCGCTCCGCCGCTAGACCACGGTGTCATCCTGGTTTGAACATCGTGTAACATTTTTTAAAAATACTCCAGATTGAGGTTTAGATTAATGTTTGTCGAAATAATTAGTTCTCAGATATAATACTATGATAATAGTATAATAGAATAATATAATACTAGATAATAATAATATGCAGTGGCGTAGCGAGGTCGGGTGTCACCCGGTGCGGCACTTAATGGTGTCATCCCCAGAGGCGTAGCGACCCTTCCGGGGGACAAACTTTCAAGTTTTCGATTTGCACCCCCCCCCCCTCAAGTTTTTCTCTATATATTTTGCTATTTTTTTGCCTTGGTGTCACCCCCCCCCCCTAAATGGTGTCACCCGGTGCGGTCCGCACCCCCGCACCCCCCCCCCCCTCGCTACGCCACTGATAATATGTTTGTCTTTTATTTTCAGGGTTATTCAAGAAATGAAAAAAGATATAAGAGGAAAGGTGTTCTAATGTTGAAACTGATATGGCCAGACAAAAAAATTCCGTTCAAAATAGAGCCACATGTTTTCAAAAAGTTTGAGGAAAATGAAATAATGGCCGCGATTAATGATTGGAGAAACTACACATGTTTGACAATGGAGGAAGCCACGGAATCCGATCCAAATTTTTTGAAATTTGAAGACGGCGATGGTTGCGCCTCCCGTCTCGGCATGCGCGGGGGGTCCCAAAGTGTATACTTAGGTGAGGGCTGCAGGCGCAAAGGCATCGTCGTCCACGAGATAGGTCACGCTGTTGGCTTCTTCCACGAACACAGCCGCCCCGATCGTGACGATCACGTGGAAATCGCCACGGAAAATATCACCGAGGAGTTGTTACCAAATTTTATTAAATTTCCTCCCGACGTCGTGTCGACTAGCGTCCCGTACGACTATCAAAGTGTTATGCACTACGGTGCGTATTATATGTCCCCGGAGAACAGAATAACAATCAAAACAAAGAATTCCTCGTATCAACTGGTCATCGGAAATCAGTTCAGTATGAGTTTTCTGGATATCAAACAAGCCAATATGATGTATCAATGCGACAGCCACTGCCTGGATAAGCCGGTCTGTCCGGAGGAAGGTTTTGTCGGGAAAGATTGCAAGTGCTGGTGTCCGGGTACCCCACGTAACCCCACCGTCAGCTGTGGGGGGTCGCCTGCTGAGAGAAATCATGAAACGAAAGAATCTAACTGCAAGGACGACAAACACTTCTGTGAGCATTGGGCGAACGCTGGCTACTGCTATGAAAATGAGTTCGTGCAGGCTAACTGCAAGAAATCCTGCGGGCTCTGCAAAGACGCCGCGTCAGGGTGCACTGATCGTGCACCGATTTGCAAACTATGGGAGTCACAAGGACTTTGTCAAAACGAAAATGCCATTGACTATCTGAAAGCCTATTGCTCTTTAACTTGCAAATTCTGTTCACCTGAGAGAGAGTTTAAGTTTGCGAGTGTCATGTCTGAGAACCAATCATTTGATTGCGCCGCTAGTGTAATATTGCCCTTGGTGCTCGCGTGCCTACAAGTAGCGTTTGTCAATGTGTTTTAGTGTAAAATGTTCTAGACCTAATTGTTAAACTACAGCAGAGGCGCAGCGGGGGGGGGGGGGGGCGGGGGAGGGGGCCGACCTTAGGGGGGCGCCAAATTGAAAATTTGAGAGGGGGGGGGGTGCAAATGGAAAGTACGAGGGGGGGTGCAAATCGAAAGTTCGAGGGGTGGGGGTGCAAATGAAAAGTTCGAGGTGGGGGTGCAAATCGAATGTTTGTCCCCGGGCGCCGGGAAGGGTTGCTACGCCTCTGCACTACAGTCCTTCAAAGGACTGAATTCCTGTAATGTTACCAATATTTTAAATCCACATGTATATTTTCTACTGCAGATGTTTTCCCATTCTGATTTTAAGTTAATATATTTTACTTAAAGCAAAAGTAAACGTGTATATTAAATTTCCATTTTCTTTTCAACTGGATAAAATAAACATAACTATCATAAATAAAAACTTACTAAACAATCTTTCAATACTAAAGAAAAACCCTTAAATGACTACTTTTGACAATTTCATTTATTTTAAATAAATATTGTGTTATCTTATTGAACCTAGTCTTCCTATATGTTTAATTATATTAGGCGCCGACCCTAGGGGCGCCAAAATGGGTTGGAAAAAAAATTAAAAGCTCATTTTCCTGCAGTTTTGAATTATAAATATAAAAACATATATGGGGGGGGGCAATTGAAAGTTTGTCCCCGGGCGCCGGTAGGGGTCGCTACGCCTCTGCGTAGTTAATCTCCGGTATGGATATATCATTATATAATGATACGGCAAATTATATCAGTCTATTTTATATCAATCACAATTAATATAATGGCCTCGATACTGGAGGCTCATAAAAATAAAACAATTTTAAAATGTAGTAAAATGCACATTTCTGCAGTCTCCTTTCTACACTCACACAAAAAATATAACACATTATGATATAGAAACTGCGGTTTTTATAATGAATTTTGCAAATCACTACATGTAATAGAAAAATGTTTGCTATATTTTCATTATAAATAAATAACAAACATGGCTTTGCGTTTACGATAAACTGAAGATATAATCTGTAAGCAAGTTTTGTAAACATATTCATTTCACCAATTTAAATATTGGAAATAATAACAAACACTTTAATATGTAAAAACCAGTGTTATTTAACGTACCACTATTCTACAACTTTCTAAAAAACACAATTCAACAAAATATTAAGCTATCTCTATCCTCTTCATATTATTATATACGTGAAGATTATATTAAACTACTTTAGAAATTAGGACTTATCTTCTAACTACATCTATTTATTATATTTGAAAATTCGGCTTTGGAAAGGCAAATCCGTGGATGACGTTGGTGAGGTGGGAGCTGAAATGGAAATTTTTAAAATTATCAACAGAAGTTTAGGATGAGTTCATTAATCAAATAGGCCTTACCTTTTCTATCTTTTTAAAATATATAGGCTTTTAATTAATTTAAAAACATAATTTAATTAATTTGAACACATAATTAATTGTGAAGTAAGAACCAACGTCAATATAATAGATCAGGGGTCGGCAACCTGCGGCTCGCGAGCCGCATGCGGCTCTTTTGATGTCAAGATGCGGCTCTCCAGCTACATGCACAAATTGTAATGATTATTTTATATTATCTAAAAACCTCATTAAAATATTATAAAGAAAAATAGCTTTAAACAGGATCAAAATACTCATCAGAGAACAATGAGAGTAGGTGAGGTAAAAAAAAGCAATTGACAGGTTAGTGTGGTGGAACATAAGCCCTGTGAGAACCAAAGGACAGAAGTGACCAATACACAGTAATCAAACCGATACCCAAGCCAGTTAGTCGGTGCTTGTCGTGTTGAGGCCTGCCTGGCTATGGGAGACACCTCCCGAGCCAGTGGTGTTCGCAAAGAAAGAAAAAGGTTATAGGCTTGTAAAGTGGATTGGGATAGTCATATAATTATATTATTTGATTACTAATTTTATCATAGCAGAGCTAACTAAAATACTTTAATATGTTTTGTGCGAAATATTAGTATGTTTTTTAAGTATAAACATTATTTCATATTTAAAGCTATTTATTTCAAATATTAAAAAAAAATGTATGTATCTAATCCTAATCGTATGCCAAAATATTGAAACAAAAATGTTAGTGGCTCTTTACAAACAGGAAACTTATGTAAATTGTAGTTTATGGCTCTTCCCGCTCAAAAGGTTGCCGACCCCTGTAATAGATGAAACATTTTATAAAAATATAAAATGCTTCGTTAAGTAATTTTTTTTTTTTTTTTTTTTTTTTTTTTTTTTTTTACATAATGAATATTTACATTTATTTTTTATTTTTTACTTTGTTTTAATAAAAAACTTAATTATCATCTGATAAATCATCATCTTCCATGGACTCTTCATTGGCATCTCCATCACTATTATCATCTTTGTCCCAATCTTTCATCTTTGCACCTAACATAAAATCATCTTGTAAAATTTTCCATTGGCCTTTCTTTTCATCATCATTATCCATAATCTGGGGGCTTTTCCCCTTCAAACGGTCAAGAAATTTTCCTTTTGTAAACTCTGACATGACCATGTCCTTTTTTCGTTCTGAAGGCCCCACTGAAGATAACTTTTCTTTCATCAACTTTTGGTGTTCATTTACAGATCTGAATAACTGAACCATACCTTGTGTGGCAATTTTTCTCAACCTAACCTCTCTTGGATTATCAAGTACTGATGGCTTTTTTTCTGCCCATTGATTCCCATATTTTCCTCTTCTCTTCTTTAAAAAATTCACTTCTTTTTTTCTATCTTTTTTGATTTCTTTGGTTTTGTAAGGCCATCTCCATCCTTAGTTTCTTCCCTTAGTCTTTTTCTGTCTGATATATCTTTCAATATTTCTTTATTTGTCTTTCCCTTTGCAAGCAACACTCTATTGCTTTTGGAAATGTCTTTAGATAAGATTCTAGCCACAACACTGGCCATTCCAGATTTTTCTTCAACATGTTCTTGTGGATTTCCTTCAGTACCTATGTCAGAATGTCTGTCATCTTCTAAGTCTGAAAGTCTATCTCCTGCAGAGTTTTCTGAACTATAATCATAATCATCATCATCTGTCTCGCTATTCATGCTTGCCATGTTGTTTTTATAATGAATATTTTTTTTTCTTTCTTTTTTTTTTCTCTCTCTTCTTTTTCTTTTTTTTTTTGCCTCAGTTTTGTAAAGTTTTATATACTGAACTATTATTTTACCTATATATAAAACTTACTTTTTCATCACTGGCTGTTAGGGAATGCCATAGTTTACATTACTTTTTATCTGTTAAACCATTTCTCTATCATTAATCTTTCATTTCAAAATGCAAAAGCAAATAAAAATAAATACATCTTATAGTAATGAGCTGAAACGAAAATGTTATTTTAGTTAATATTTTCATTTTTTTTTTTTTTTTTTTTTTTTTTTTATTGAAATAATTTATTCTTTAACAAATTCATTTTATTATTAACTTCACTGGGCTTGGGTCTTTATTGTATTAAATACATTTTTCAGAAAACTAATCTGATTAATTAATAGCCTAATTAGTAATCATTTATTGTTAAATAAAACTTTAAGCTATCTAACAGTTTTAAAAGAATTAATAAATATTTAGTGTCGCTTAAATAATATTAATTAGTAGTTTATCTTTAGATTTGAGATTATAAAAGGTATTCAACTTTTTCATAATTAGTGTTTAATTTTCCAGTTGTATCCCCTGAAATAGTTACACAATATAATATGTTCTATTTACGTGTAGAATTGTTTACAAAAAAGTAAACATTTACCGCTAGACTCAGACGATGACCAACTGGATGACCTTGACAATGGTGACCCATAAGGTTTCGTTGGTCGGTAAAATTCGTGATCAGGGTAAACAGGCGCAAACCTTTTGTACCAGGGGTCGTAGAGGTCACGGGCCAGCTCTAGGGATTCGGCTGTCCCAGAAAAGAAATTGTTACATGATACGTCCATTGATTGTTTTTTTAAAGCCAATTTTACCTTTGTACCCTATATTGTAAGTATAAAGCAGGTTCTTTACTTAAGACATATAGGCCTACATGGAAGCAGACCTATAGACAGTGTTTCTTTCAGACTTTTTTCTCGTCGGGGGGGCACTTGAAATTTTCAGGGGGGGGGGGTGGACACTGTTAAAAGTATATATTTTCTATATAAATTCCATTTCGTTCTACAACAACAGTCAACATAAATACAACCAAAATAGGACTTAGACTGTATAAAATTAGTTAACAAAAAGACATTGAATTAATCTATATGGACCTCATGTATTAAGTTCTTTAAATATTAAATAATTAATCTACACTAGCTGGTCAATTAGCTGTTTGCATAGATAGAAAGTTATATCATTATCATCATCGCGAGCGTGTGGAGCAGCTATTAAAGTATAAATCAAACCCTTGGGCATCATTTGGAGGAAATTTGCTCTAACAATCGTTATAACTGCCCCGTCTGAAGAAAATATCTGAAAGAAACCCCGGCTATCACTTTCACCACAGCTATGTTAAGCGTTAGCTCCAGTGTTTCTTCCAGACTTTTTTCTCCGGGGGTGCAATTGAAATTTTCGGGGAGGCGGACAACACTTTCTGGGGGGGGGGGGGGGAGGCGGGGGGACGGACACTGTCAAAAGTATATATTTTCTATATTAATTCAATTTCGTTCGGGGGGGGGGGGGGTAGACTTTCTTCCCCCCCCCCCCTCCCGAAGAGATGCCTGGAAGAAACTCTGGTTAGCTCTTTCAGGCTATGTACAACAACCGACTGAAACTAGACCAGCTTTTGTATACAAGGGAGTGAACTGCAACATTTTTCCTTTACCTAGCAGAGAGTTAGATTTCCTTGGACGAGATTTCTTTTTCTCTTCTTTTTTCTCAGGGTGCCAGAAAGGAGCAGGCCTATTCATTTTTTAAAGTAGTTTCTGTATTTTAAAAAATAACATAAAAAACAAAACATCAAAATCTTTGAGACCTATGCTATCCTTTTCTTGTTACTTACGAAGGCCTATGGGGTCGTCCACAAATGACGTCACATTCGTAGGGGGGAGGGGGGTCCGTACTTTTGTGACGGTGTGTGATGAGGGGGTGGGGGGGGGGGGGGGGTTCAGATGGTGGGACGTCACACTTTTGCATTATAAAAATGCAATGTTAGAAAACGAATTTTAGCCGTAATTTCGCGTTTTAGAAAACTGTTTAAATAAATTGTAATAGGAATTGATTAAAATACTCTATGTTGAGAGATTTCAGACAAGATTTTGGAAAATTATCGACGTTTTAAGAAAAATTCAACTGCAATTTTGAGGGGGGGGGGTTGTAGGCTGAGGTGTGACGTCATTTTAGGGGGGGGGTCTGGCTTTTTGTGACGATGTGTGACGGAGGGGAGAGGGGGGTAAAAATCGTCCAAAAAAGCGTGACGTCATTTATGGGTGACCCCCTATAATAAAATTTCAAATATAGGTCTAAAAACATTTCTACAAATACGTTCTCTTTCCGAACCTGATGGTCTATGGGGCAAGTGAAGTAGAGTTCACCTGTTTCCATGACCTCGGCTTATGAAGAAATAGTGTAGTCATCACTATCCCCAGCTCAACGTGAGTTAGGTACCAATCATACCTGGGTGAACTCAGTAACATTATACTGACTTGAACCCGGATTTGAACTCGAGACTTTTTTGTTAGCAGTCTAGCGCTCTACCACTAGGCCACGCGTCCCTCATTGCTAGGGTTATTGTTTTAAATATATGCATATCACAGCAGTAAGTTAGGTTGCAAAAAAATTTCAAAATACCATACAAAATATTGATCCGAATAGCATATTACTTCCTTTTACCGATAGTTTTTAGGCCACTATTGTATTTAAATAAATATTTGATAGTTTACCGCAACAATGTTTTCAAACATTATCAAATAATCGAAAAAGAACATCATTCACACTGTTTTAGGTTAGTGCATTGCGTTACATTCATAGAAAACTTACAAGAGAATGTAAATTGCCTGTCTCTACTAGCCTCTGTCTGTGCTAGTCTCTGTTTAAGTTAACACCTGGCAGTGTGAATCCTCTGCCTGTCTTAATCCCTGCTAGCATTAATCCCTACTAACATTAATCCCTGTGTAAATCATCTGCCTGTGTTAATTCCTTTTCCTAACGCTGCCACAAAACGCAGCAGGTTACCGTGAACTAACCTTTTTCTAGGAAACTTGATTTCTCAGCGGCATGGGCGTATCTTGTATTTCTGGAGATACGGGTCGAGTATATCATTCAAATTTGTTTTCCTCGGAGGGAGGGGGCATTTGAAAAGTATATACATATTACTATATTTCGTTTGGGATCTAAGGGGTGGCGGTAGACGTGCTTCGGGGGGGGGGGGGAGTGTTTCTTCCAGACTTTTTTCTCTGGGGGGGGGCACTTGAAATTTTCGGGGGGGGGGGGGGGGCGGTAGACTTTTTTCGGGGGGGGGGGACGGGGGACACTGTTAAAAGTATATATTTTCTATATAATTTTCATTTTGTTCTGAGATGCCTGGAAGAAACTCTGGGGGAGGGGGGGCACTTGAAATTTTCGTTGGGGCGTAATAAAATGTCCGTGGGTTGGGAGGCAGACATAAATTATCTATCTATCTATATATATATATATATATATATATATATATATATATATATATATATATATATATATATATATATATATATATATATATATATATATATATATATATATATATATATATATATATTATATTATATTATATTTCGTTCGGGGGGGGGGGGGGCAGCAAAGTAGTGCAATATCGAGTTTTAACTGATGTATTGCTGTTAGTGTTTAGATTAAGATAGTTTCAATGTGTGATTTAGTCTTATGGCTACATCTGTGATTATTTGTGGCACCGATCATCATCTTTTCCCGTTCGCACACAAGACACACGGCGTAGATGAAGTAGAGTTTATGTTTCAATGACATCAACATATTAAGGGATAATATGAACTTGAACCCGGATTCGAACTCAAGACTTTCGGGTTAGCAGCCTAGCTATATAGGTTAGGCCACGCCGTTCATTTATTGCTGATAATATTGTAATTACCTTTAAATGTTGGCCATAATTTAACATGTCTACACAATCCCTGTACTCTCAACTTGTTTGTCTGACTGACTAGCATCACAGCTTAGGGTCAACTCCAATAGTTCCTACTAATTCTACTTTGGTAGAGAGTTCGACAGTTTTAGTTCGACTGCTAACCCGAGAGTCTCCAGTTTGGATTACGTGCTCAAAAAAACGGCTCACGTCATTACGACTCTTGACACAATCTCCTGGCGAAACGGTTTGATTGAATATGGCACTTGCCAATGAGCCCCCTTTGTCAAAACTCAATTTTACATTCAATTTTATGCGGACGGAATAGCCCGGCGGTAGGGATCTAGACTGCTTATTCCTAAGTCTCGAGTTCGAATCCGGATACAAGTCAGTTGACCGTCCCTGAGTCAAACAAGCTCTGATGGGTGAGACCGAGGTTAGGCATAGAAAAGGCGGCTGTGCTTAGTGCTGGCCACATTATCCCTTCATGTGCCGATGTCACCTGAGATACGTTAACTTCACCTATAGTTTAAAAAGTTACTGTAATTTTACCACATCTGATGAAAAGGACTTCATAAAATCAGCCTACACCTATGTCGCTCCGTCACCAATGTCGTAACACTAACACAGCCTAGCCTTCGGATTTACGTTTAGAAAAATCTTTGTTGTGTATCGATTACAAATTGATTGGTTTCAATCAATGGCCCCGAACTAGACCTAGATAAGTCAAAAGAATAGAATCGACAGCTCCAATAGGAAATGTGCCTGTCTGGACAAGATCTCCACAAAGAAATCGATAACGGATATATTATTGATTTTTTTTTAAAGTATAATTCTCGTTTTGATATAGCTAACTTTTAGATCTGTTGGGTGTTTTTTTTTTTCAGCTAATATTTAAGTATAGGCCAATTTTGTCACTCTTTTATTTGCTATTATCTATGAACTTTGACCTTAGAGAAGCTAACACTGAGTTTTTAATTAATCATTGAAGAAAGAAAATGACAATTTTATAAAGCGTCGCTGAGTTATGGGCTTTCTTATATGACCATGTCCAACAGTCTACCTTAATGACAATCGAAACTTTTTTAATTTTATGGTGTCTGAAAAATTATTAATTAATAATCGACTGATTATATAGCCTAAATACAACAAACTAATATAAATAATGAACACATGCTGTTATTGAAACAGGAAAAGTAATTGAAGTGAAGTACTTATTTCCAACCTTAAAGTACTGGGGCAGGTGACATAGCGAGTTTACCTATTTCAGGTACCTGTGCATATGAAGTGAAAGTGTGGTCAGCACTATGAGAAGTCGCCTTTACTGTCCCTAACATGAGTCAGGTACCCATCATAGCTGGAGAGACTCCAGGACTTCTTATGGATAGAACTCGTGATCTGAACTTGAGACTTTCGGGTTAATAATCTTCTTACCTATTATTTATTTGAATGCACTTTTTATGCAACATTCTTAGCTTAATTATTATCTTTCTTTTTTAAAAACATTTGAAACCATGGCAGGCCTATGATTTAGTCTTGTTAGCAATATCTATTTTAGAACTGAGCTAAAATCTTTAGAAACAATCAGAATCAAAACAAAAATATAAAAAAAAAACATATTTACATAAACAATTTCAAGTTGGACTAGATTAACACAATTTTTATTTAAACATGTCAACAATTTTTTTTTTAGAATTTACAATAACTCAATAACTAGTTTATGACTCAATATATGGAAAGCTTTGTTTTTAAATCAACACATTTTTAGTCCTAAATTTATTCTACATCAGGCAGCCTCCGCCTTTGAGTGGAACGCATACGTGGTTCTTTTTGTTTTATTCCCAATTTTTGTTTATCCGAATCAAGAGTTCCTGGCCTTGATTTATTGTCTATATCACCAGCATGGATATTTCTGTTTTTGGTATTTACACTGAAACCTTCAGCTGGTGTCATAGGATCTGATGACTTGCTGTGTTGAGTATTTTTAGTTGTGGCTGTACTGAAACCATCTTCATCCACCTGATCTTGCTGTGTTGCTGGTGCTGGCTCTGTTGTGGTGTGATGTGGTCTGTCCTGTGTGGTGCTCAGCTCCGTTATGGTCTGTGACAGCTGTGAGTCATGTGACTGACATGTTAGGTTGGGGTCACTTTTACGTGGTGCCTGGTCCTCACATATTTTCTTGCCCTCCTCTGCTGCACGTTTCCTAGACGAATAAATAAAACATATGGTGGTATTGCTTGATTAGAGACTTAAGACAGCATGAAAACAGTGATTACATTTTTTATTCGATCCGCACTGGGTGACACCATTTAGTGGGGTGACATCAAGACAAAAATGGCATATTATATACACCAAATCTAATAAATTTAAAATTAATAGAATGTTCGCACATATAAAAGCCATTAGGCATAAAGAGAGGTTTGATGAGACCAATTACAAATATATATATATATATATATATATATATATATATATATATATATATATATATATATATATATATATATATATATATATATATATATATATATATATATAGGCCAATGTAGGATTACACACACACAAATACACACATATATATATAGAGAGAAAAAAATTTCTTGAGGGGTGTGGGGGGGGGGGAAGGCGGTGACACTGGGTGACACCAGACCTAACGATGCCACTGGGGACTAGGTACCAGACAACATTAAAGAAAGTCTGGCCTACCTTGCAGCCTCCTTCTTCAGCTTCTCATGTTTCATCAGCAACTTCTTCCTCTCAATAAAAGTTTTACGAATCCTGTAACCTCTGAAAGCTGACTGGATAGTGTCAAACAAAATATCTATTGTTAGCTTGCTTGAATTGTATGACTTTGTATGTATATATATATATATATATATATATAGTTAAATACTGGTGTCTAAACCACTAAGCAATAGTGTGAGGGAAGAGGTAGGGGTGGTATTCAACATATTGGGGGGCCTGAATTCTGTGATGATATGATACAAGTTAGAGTGTGCATTATGGGAAGAGGTGAGTTGATTAGAGGAGGCGTTACAAAATGTGTGGTAGCATATTTTGTATTTCTTAATTTGTAGAGTTTTATTAAAATTTACTCATTTAAATATGTGATTTTATATAATCGGGATCTACTGGATCTATTGTGATGATAAGGGAGGGGGTGGGGACCAAATTTGTTGATGTCATTTATGGGCAACCACACATGCATTTTCTTTGTGTAGGTTGATATATATGAACTATTCAATGTTGTACAGTAATTTACCCTCTAGGATCTGGTGGTCTAGTGGGTAGATGAAGTAGATTTTATTTGCTTTTGTGACCTTAACTTATTAAGGGATAGTAAAGTCGGGACTATGCCCAGCCACTCTTATTTTCATGCCAGGTACCAATAAGGGCTGGTATGACTCATCGGATTTGTACAGATTAAAATCTGCCATCCATACTTGTGCACATTATTGCCCAGCAACATGCAGCGCCATAGTACAAGTAAGATATATTGTGTGGTTAAAGACTACTTTATTGAGTTACCTGTATTTTTTGTGCAGCAATATCCTGTATCCCAGTAATGGATAATGCCCCTTGCTCTATCATGTACTGGGCTACTTCATGGTGCTCTCCCATTAAGGCATAATCAAGGGGAGTGTACCTAGCACGGTAGCATAAAACAAAATCAACAGTAAATACTTTTATTTAATAACTCAAATACTGGACACAATGTTCCAATTTTGATTAGCTTTTTTTTTTAAAAAACTTTTTCATTTCAAAGGATTGGCAAAAATATAATTTCCTCAACTGGTTGTGGGTTTTCTTGCACATCATAATATACATTTGTATAGGCTTTAATTGTATTTTTTTTTCAAGTAGACAAATTTTATAATTTGATAATAATGTCTTTAACAATTGTGTCAGTAACATAAAAAAACACAGCAGGTGTCAGTTGTTTTGGGTACTTGAGAGGCTAGTAAAATAGTTTTCTCGCATTGTGTCATAGTATAATGAACAAGTAAAAGTGATGTACACCTTCAGACTTGACTGTTGATTCAGCACACAATGTAGTTTATTTTGCTGCAGTCTTTGAGGGATCTATGTTGCTAGAATAATGCCTAGGCTTTATTACTTTAACTCAATACAAGTCAGATATGTATAAGAATTTTGTAAAATGAAGGGGTTTTATTCCTTAAGCTATAGTAAAGTACCCTTTCAAACCTTACGGTTCATGGGACAAGTTTTACAAACCTAACCATATGTAGGGATAGCTTGGTCAGAATTATGCCCAGCTAACTTTATTTTCCCTAACAAGAGCCTGTCAATAGACTTGAACTTAGGAGTTCAGTAATCTCATACTAAAAGACTGTTCTACTAAATTATAAACCAGCACTAGGCAACAATGAAGACACAAGTACGCCCAAACAAACTTCAGTTTTACCTGTCCTCTGTGAAAGCCATTCAGTAATGTCATACTACTAGACTACACTTCCCCCATTACAAACCAGCACAAGTAAACAATGAAGACACATGTAAGCCCACACAAACGTCAGTGTTACCTGTCCTCTCAAGTAAACAATGAAGACAGAAGTAAGCGCACATAAACTTCAGTGTTACCTGTCCTCTCAAGTAAACAATGAAGACACATGTAAGCCCACATAAACTTCAGTGTTACCTGTCCTCTCAAGTAAACAATGAAGACAAAAGTAAGCCCACACAAACTTCAGTGTCCTCTCAAGTAAACAATGAAGACACATGTAAGCCCACACAAACTTCAGTGTTACCTGTCCTCTCAAGTCAACAATGAAGACACATGTAAGCCCACACAAACTTCAGTGTTACCTGTCCTCTCATAAAGACACATGTAAGCCCACACAAACTTCAGTGTTACCTGTCCTCTCAAGTAAACAATGAAGACACATGTAAGCCCACACAAACTTTAGTGTTACCTGTCCTCTCAAGTAAACAATGAAGACACATGTAAGCCCACACAAACTTCAGTGTTACCTGTCCTCTCAAGTAAACAATGAAGTCAAAAGTAAGCCCACACAAACTTCAGTGTCCTCTCAAGTAAACAATGAAGACACATGTAAGCCCACACAAACTTTAGTGTTACCTGTCCTCTCAAGTAAACAATGAAGACACAAGTAAGCCCACACAAACTTTAGTGTTACCTGTCCTCTCAAGTAAACAATGAAGACACAAGTAAGCCCACACAAACTTTAGTGTTACCTGTCCTCTCAAGTAAACAATGAAGACAACAGTAAGCCCACACAAACATCAGTGTTACCTGTCCTCTGTGAAAGCCATGTGGTTGGGGAAGGCATCACATTCAATGAGGAGTTTGACAGCATCCAGGTGTCCTTTAGAGCAGGCCCAGTGCAAGCAGGTCATGCCCTGTTGGGGGGAGGAGGCCAGATGTTGAAGGTTATATATTAGACAACCCTAACCTTAAACATAGCCCTGTGAGGGAGAGAGTTAAGCTGTTGGTGACATGACCAGGTTAAAGACAAAATTAAACTAAAACATAACCATAGGAATAGGAAGTTATAGTAAAGATCATTCTAACATAAACACTAGCCTTGTGGTAAAAACAATACCAACAGGTTAAGACTCCCCTAAAGCAATGGTATGTTACAGACTACTTTCTCACAAATAACTTTTATGACAAGTGATATGACTTCACAGAAGGAAAAAAAAGTGATGGAGATGGATTAGCCATACATGAGAAAACCTAGATGATACATTAGGTGGCAAAGGACCAATATAATATAATTAAGTGGAGTAAAGTAACATTAAAATAAAGTGATGAAGAATGAATCGCTATTGAAAAAAAAATAATAATAACAAGTAAAATTGTAGAGTAGAAAAGGTATTACACTGCAATTGTTGAATGCTAGTGTTCACACACAATTCTTTCAACAATGACTTGATATTCTTATTTTAAGGAGTCATCAGTGCTAAACATTCAGTTTTTCTTGAATTGGCAGGTGCTCATTATTGATACACACATTGTCATTATTAGCTGTAGTTATTTTGTGGAAATTTAACATTATAGACTTAAATACAGTAATGAATACCTCCTTGTCTTGAAAGTTTGGATCTGCTTTTTGTTCAATAAGGACTGACATACAATTGACATAGCCCCCATAGGCAGCACAATGGAGTGGAGCTCTCCTAAAACAAAGTTTCAAAAGGATTAACCTACCAAGACTTACATTACATAGTTAATAAAAAAGAAAAAATTTGAAATTCATTTTATCAAACAAACAGGTTCTGACACATATTTAAATTATTAAAAAAGTTGTTTTTTTAGATATAACTGATAGCATTACTTAGTCTAATCCATATTTTAAAACCCTTTTAAAAATTATGATTTAAGAGGTGTTTTAAAACCCACCAGACATCAAAAATGTTACAAACTTACCCTGAGTGATCTCTAACATCAGGATTGACTCCATACTTGATCAGCATTTGACAGATATAGGCATGTCCACCTAGTGCAGCCCTAATGAAACAATCCTATAATTTAATTAACTCAGAAACATGTATAAATAATAACAAAATTCATTTATCCCCTAAATATTTTTGTCATGTTTGCCTACGTTATCAAAATGTGATAATACATCATGAATTAAGTTTCAGAGGTTTTAGCACCACTTGGATTTTAGTTTGTGTAATTGTAAAGTAAAGTAAACTTCCTTTTTTCACCCTGACGGCACATAGGCAAGTGAAATTCACCTGTTTCTGTGACCTCGGCATATGAAGGAATAGTGTGGTCAGCACTATGTCCAAATTTAGAAGCAGTGAAATAAAGTAAAAATCAAAAGAGCATGTTGTTAAGCTTAAATAATATTCTAATTGAGGACTGCAATATAATACTTAATTTAATACAAAATATTTGCTCTTTGAGTGAAACAAACTGCAGCTTGCTTTGAACGAACTTTAAAGTTTTAAAATAAATAAAAAACGTTGACACAACTAAATTTTAAACTTTAAAACACAGCTTTAGTTATTACTAGAATTAAATTATTTTTGTCTGAGGTCTATTTAAAGCCAACCAATCATCTTTGAGCCTACCAGTGCAGTGGTGACCTCCCATCTAGGTCCAGCACGTCCACCCTGGCATGGCTGTCTATCAATGTCTGGACCACGTCCATCTGACCCATCTCACAGGCCCTGAACAGTGGGGTGTGTTTAGCCTGGTCAGTGACCTCCAGCTTGGCTCCATGGTCCAATAGGATCTTCACTGTGGTGCTGTGGCCAGATAAAGCTGAGGCGTGAAGTGCTGAAAGAAAAAAATTTCATTTCAAAAACATGCACATTAAAATTTATTGCCAAAAAACCATTCTCTTCAATATATTTAGTATTTAGTCCAAGCTGTCTCATTCTAACCAGTTAGCAGAAAAATTGGAATTTTCAGGCCTAGAATAGAATTTTTATGTTTAATTAGGTGTTTTATTTCAAGTTAAATTTCTGGATCCAGTTAAAATGCTGTTTCTGAATAAAAATCAGTTTTCAATTACATTTTTTTTCTTTTCCTGTTAAATTTCAGATTGAGGTTGGGATTTTGGTTTTTGGTTTTGGCTTAGAGAAAAAGACAACACTATCAACTTATTGCCCATTGTATTTCTCCCTCAACGAGCTATTTATCTAGTATACAAGATTAAGAGAGTAACTCTACTATTATTTTAGCTTTTTTTTCCAGTTTAAGACATGTTGATGTTTTGCGTCTCTTTCTCTCTTACACTTACAACAAAGTGACAGCCTACCTACCTGTGCCTCCTGTTTTGTCCTCCTGATGAATGTCCACATTGTGTTCTAAAAATACCCTGATGACATCATCCGCTCCCTTCCCAGCAGCCCACATAAAAGCTGTCCTCCCCTCCAGGTCAGGCTCATCTGTACAGTTGGATGACAAGAACACTGACACTGTCTCCTGGTTGAATAGAACATCCAATATGATATTCATTTGTCAGAAGAAGATACATCATTAAAAAAACAAGTATTATAGAATTCACCATCACCATCATCACCTCTTAACCCTTATTGGGGATCCTTGGAGCACCTACAGTTGCCCTTATAACTGCCGCTATGATTTGTATTATAGAATTACAAACTAAAAAAACAAACTTAAAAATTAATATTTAAGTATCATTAAATATCAAATTGTAATAGAATAATGAAAATATTGCTTTCTGCTAAGTTAAAAATTTAAAAAATTGTATTAAATAAATGTGTAATTATAAATTGTCTTATGATATATATGGGAAGGCTTGGTCAAGTGGTAGAGCACTCACTTAAATGCTAAGCCAAAAGTCTTGAGTTAGTTCACTAACTCAAGTCCATAGGACAACCCTGGACCAACATAGCTATGATGAGAAATTAAAGAAAGCTGGGCATAGTGCTCCACCCACAACCCATTTGTAAACCAATGTCAAGAAAATAGATATACTACATTGCAACTGCCAAACAGAACACCAGGTCTCAAATGGAGCTGTTTTGGACAAAAAGGGATTTATAAACATTAAAGAATTAAAACTTACGCTGTAGTTGTTCTGTGCAGCATAGTGCAGGGGAGTCGCCCCATTGGAATCTGAACTGGTGCTATCCGCTCCACTTTCTAACAATATGGAAACTATTTTTGAATGGCCTGAAAGAAATCGAGTAGAATTGTTTATAGTTTATGTCACAAGATTCTACACACTATGAAATACAGTTATCAATGTCATATTGCACTGCATTTAGTCTGAAATGGTTTAGCAATGATTAATGATTTATTTTCTTACTAGACAAAGGTTGATAATTTTTGGATGGGTGTACTAAATGAGAAGATTTTACAGTTTATTTTGCATGTTTTTTTTTCTTATTTTTACTGTTATAGTTGTAACAATAAATCTATCCTTACAATCAATCATTTAGTTTTGTTACGTATTATACCATTAAAATGACCAATTAATTGAGAAATGAAATGTTTAAGTATTACCAAAATTCAGAAGATCTTTAATATGATAATAATGAAATCTTTTAGTTTTAAGACTAATTGAAAAAAATTAATTAGAAAAATTGTGAACTAACCCAGCACAGCAGCCCAATGTAATGGAGTTCTAAACACATTGTCTAGTGCTGATACATTACAGTTCTTTACAGACGTCTGCAGATAATTTAAACACACATTTAAAAAAAATAGGTTTTATAGAACAGTAAAGTAACACCATCAAAACAATTGTTTTATTGAAAATGAAAATAAAAATTTTGTTAATTAAAAAAAAAAAAAACAATAACCATCATCTTTTGATTGTATTTTAAAAATAGCAAAACGTTACGGTTATTTAATTCCTCATAGCAAATGAAAGTCTTTAAGAGAATAGTAAGTCTTTTAAAATTCATTAACTATTTCAAAATTGATGACTTCAAGAAGAATTACTTTATTTACTTCCTATATCAAAAGAGGCCCTGTGCAAGCAGGTCATGCCCTGTGGGGGGTGGGGGAAAGTAGGCCAGATGGTGAGGATTATATATTAGGTTATAGACAACCCTAACCTAGGGGTCGGCGTGGTAGAGTCGGTAAAGCTTATGGTTGCTAAACCGAAAAGTCTCGAGTTCGAACCCTCGGGCATATGAGGCTCGTTAGCTGGGGACAGCCACTCTTCTAGGAGAGACAACTCCGAAATCAAACAACTGCTGCCTTGTAAATTTGTTCTTGGTTGGACAAAGGCTATGGAAGCAAATCCAAAAAGAAAAGCAGGCTGAAATCGGAGTCAATGGCCTCAATGGTGCATAACAAGTTGACACGTAATCCTTAATTGTGATGGAAGCATGGTCGAGTCGGTAAAAGCTCATGGTTGATAAATTCGAAAAAAGTCTCGAATTCAAACCCTCTGGCAGATAAGGCTTGATACCTCCCAACACTAAAAATTAAGAACGAAGAAGAAGAAGAAAAAGAGTTACTTACAAGGGCAGTAACTAGGCTCTCATTGCCATCTGCCACAGCTAAATGTAGGGCAGTGCGGCCTTCATAGTCCTGCCAGTTGATAACACTTGGTGTGGTTTCCTATTGGGGAATAAATAAAAATTTTACATTGCACGGTTGAGTTGACCGAGTGGTTGAGCTAACAGCAACTATTTGAAAAGTCTTTGAGTTTGGTCTGAATCATTGTAGTTGAAATAGTTACTTGAACAATCTCAAAGAACAGATTAGCACTTTAACACACTATTTAAAGGTACAAAAACAGAAGAGCTTTAGTCTGCCCTACATTTTAAGGAATAGCAGGTAAACACTTTTCCCCATAGGTTATCTACTATGTTTACAGATTCTGATATTACACTTATGAAATTTAGCTGTGCTAATTTTTTTTTAAAAATTTTATTGGTTTATTTATTTTTAAAAAGGTTAACTAAATACATTTGATAAATGTAAAAAAAGAAATGTATTTAATTGTAACTAAAATTGTATTACTTTGCATAGATAAAACTTTTACAAAAATGTGTGCATTTGTAAATTTAGGATAGATAGGTCTAAGATTTGTTAATTAGGACAGACTGTTTAAACCAGTACTTACTAAAATAAGTTTAACACAGTTAACAGCTTCTCTATCATGACTGCTAGCAGCCCAATGCAAGGGTGTCTTTCCTTCAGTGTCTGGTATACCTATATTGGAATCCTATAAAGAAAAATTTCATTTAATAGAAATTAAACTGGTTTTTTTTTTAAAAGCATACAATTTGTTTTAATTTAACATGTTATGGGTAAAGTAATTAAACAGTTAAAAATCACTTTTAAAAGCAGTTACACACTTGTAGAATTTTCCTTGGATAAAAAAATTACAAATATTATTAATGGTTTCCAGCAAGACAGCAGGTTTAGTAATGCTGATATATTATATTATGTATAGTTTTTAAGACCTTGTAGTCAGATCAAGATGATGCATATTTAATGCAAACCCATTGGATATTAAATACATTCTAATAATTAACCTTAATTGGGCCTTTAATTAAACTAGCCCTTGATTTAATTATACCTGAATACTGTCATTAACCATTAAAGGTTTGAGCAGTTCTTCTTTTACATACCCTCTAATTGGCATAGTTACAAAATTAGACGAATTTTTAATCATTTAAATTTTATATAAAATTCGTTAGTTCCTAGTTACTTTAGTCTATGTAACTTGTGAATGTACATAAATCATGTAAAAAACTCCCTCCTGTTTAATAAAATTAGTATATGAAGATTCAAAGATTATCATGCATTCACCTGTTTGATCAGCATCTTCACATGCTCCAGGTTACCATAAGATGCTGCCCAATGTAACGCTGTCCTCTGCAAATAGAGAAATATTGTGCTGCAAATATGACTAACTCTATGTTGGTCAACTAAAAAACTTTAATTTTTGATATATTAGCTAAAATATATCCACAAATATTCTTTGAAGAAGCGTGGTCCTGATATTTTGGTGACAGTGGCCACCTACCTTGTTCTGCCAATAGTTCTGAGATGATCACACCAGATGAAAGTGATTGCTTACTTTATTCTTGTCCTGGTCATCTATCTCCCCAGGTGTCAACTGGCGCAGTAACAAGGCCATACACTTTGGCAGTTTGTGCCTGGTGCACAGGTGTAAGGCTGTCTGTCCCTCGTTGTCTTTTTCCCTGCAGTCAGCTCCACGGGATAACAACAGCTTCATCAGCCTAAGGTTACCCTACAACATAAACAGCTTCATCAGCCTAAGGTTACCCTACAACATAAACAACAGCTTCATCAGCCTAGGGTTACCCTACAACATAAACAGCTTCATCAGCCTAAGGTTACCCTACAACATAAACAACAGCTTCATCAGCCTAGGGTTACCCTACAACATAAACAGCTTCATCAGCCTAAGGTTACCCTACAACATAAACAGCTTCATCAGCCTAAGGTTACCCTACAACATAAACAACAGCTTCATCAGCCTAGGGTTACCCTACAACATAAACAGCTTCATCAGCCTAAGGTTACCCTACAACATAAACAGCTTCATCAGCCTAAGGTTACCCTACAACATAAACAACAGCTTCATCAGCCTAGGGTTACCCTACAACATAAACAGCTTCATCAGCCTAAGGTTACCCTACAACATAAACAACAGCTTCATCAGCCTAGGGTTACCCTACAACATAAACAGCTTCATCAGCCTAAGGTTACCCTACAACATAAACAACAGCTTCATCAGCCTAGGGTTACCCTACAACATAAACAACAGCTTCATCAGCCTAGGGTTACCCTACAACATAAACAGCTTCATCAGCCTAAGGTTACCCTACAACATAAACAACAGCTTCATCAGCCTAGGGTTACCCTACAACATAAACAGCTTCATCAGCCTAAGGTTACCCTACAACATAAACAACAGCTTCATCAGCCTAGGGTTACCCTACAACATAAACAGCTTCATCAGCCTAAGGTTACCCTACAACATAAACAGCTTCATCAGCCTAGGGTTACCCTACAACATAAACAGCTTCATCAGCCTAAGGTTACCCTACAACATAAACAGCTTCATCAGCCTAAGGTTACCCTACAACATAAACAACAGCTTCATCAGCCTAGGGTTACCCTACAACATAAACAGCTTCATCAGCCTAAGGTTACCCTACAACATAAACAACAGCTTCATCAGCCTAGGGTTACCCTACAACATAAACAGCTTCATCAGCCTAAGGTTACCCTACAACATAAACAACAGCTTCATCAGCCTAGGGTTACCCTACAACATAAACAACAGCTTCATCAGCCTAGGGTTACCCTACAACATAAACAGCTTCATCAGCCTAAGGTTACCCTACAACATAAACAACAGCTTCATCAGCCTAGGGTTACCCTACAACATAAACAGCTTCATCAGCCTAAGGTTACCCTACAACATAAACAACAGCTTCATCAGCCTAGGGTTACCCTACAACATAAACAGCTTCATCAGCCTAAGGTTACCCTACAACATAAACAGCTTCATCAGCCTAAGGTTACCCTACAACATAAACAACAGCTTCATCAGCCTAGGGTTACCCTACAACATAAACAGCTTCATCAGCCTAAGGTTACCCTACAACATAAACAGCTTCATCAGCCTAAGGTTACCCAACAATATAAACAACAGCTTCATCAGCCTTAGGTTACCCTACAATATAAACAACAGCTTCATCAGCCTTAGATTACCCTACAACATTAAACTTCATCAGCCTAGGGTTACCCTACAACATAAACAGCTTCATCAGCCTAAGGTTACCCTACAACATAAACAACAGCTTCATCAGCCTAGGGTTACCCTACAACATAAACAGCTTCATCAGCCTAAGGTTACCCTACAACATAAACAGCTTCATCAGCCTAAGGTTACCCAACAATATAAACAACAGCTTCATCAGCCTTAGGTTACCCTACAATATAAACAACAGCTTCATCAGCCTTAGATTACCCTACAACATTAAACTTCATCAGCCTAAGGTTACCCTACAACATAAACAGCTTCATCAGCCTAAGGTTACCCTATAATATAAACAACAGCTTCATCAGCCTAAGGTTACCCTACAACATAAACAGCTTCATCAGCCTAAGGTTACCCTACAACATTAAACTTCATCAACCTAAGGTTACCCTACAACATAAACAACAGCTTCATCAGCCTAAGGTTACCCTACAACATAAACAGCTTCAGCAGCCGAAGATTACCCTACAACATAAACAACAGCTTCATCAGACATAAGTTACCCTAAAACATAAACAGCAGCTTCATCAGCCTAAGGTTACCCTGCAACATAAACAGCTTCATCAGCCTAAGGTTACCCTAAAACATATAAAATAGTGTCATCATCCTAAAGTTTCACTACAACATAAACAACAGCTTCATCAGCCTAAGGTTACCCTACAACATAAACAACACCTTCATCAGACATAGGTTACCCTACAACACATATGACAGCTTCATCAGACAAAGGTTACCCTAAAACATAAACAACGCCTTCAAGAGCCTAAGGTTACCCTACAACTTTATCAGCATCAGATTACAATATTAACACCAGACATGATTGTATTTATCGGCTAGAAATAAATTGTTTGTGAATTATTGGTACATTAAAATTACATTTTTGCCTATTTTTTTTCCATAAATGACATCACATTTTTTAAAGCTACTCTAAAACCCTAACAATCTTATCCTAACACAGCTCCTGAAAATAATTATGCTGTTTATAATTATGATCCCTTAAAATAAAAAATTACATGATGTCACACGTTCTTAATCATTTTAAGATAACCAAAAACACATTTTTAAAATTAATTATGAAACACAGAATTGTCTACAAGCAAACATTTACAAATCAGCACAAAAAAACTGGACTTGCCTTGTGAGCTGCCCAATGCAGCGCAGTCCTCCCTCCCTTATCCTTCAAGTTGACCTGAGCCCCCGCTTTGATCAAGATCTCTGCACACTCCAGCCTGTCCACTAGCACACAGTACATCAGGGGACTCCTCCCAAACTGATCACCCACATCCAGATCAGCAGTATCTGTGCTCGCTGGTGGAAAAAAAAAAATCACATTTTATTAAAATCTTTACATACAGATGGCTCAGTTTTGTTACAATTTTATTTGATTACATTTTATAACTAAAATTTGCTATTTATTTTTTGTTAATGCAGATGAAAAAAAACAGCTTTAAATCAATTATTGTAATTATTTTGTTTTGATAGTATGTTTTGTTTTCAGTTCACATGGTCAAAATTTTATGGAAACAATGTGGAACGACAACATTAAAAGAAGAAGCCTTATTTTATTGTTTATCAAATGATTTCTTTTCAGCTTATAAATTTGTACACAATTATAAAATGGCTGGCCTCTATAATAAGTGTTATACATTTTGCTGCTTACAGTCATAGCAGGAGTGGAGAAAAACCTACAACAGCTCAGTGTCTAGACTAGCAAGGAGAAGACAGTCTGGATGGGAAAATATGGTTTAACAAGCTAAAGCCAAAGGGATGAAGGTGTGCTTCACACAGTGCTAACATGACTGGCCTCTATGATCAAAGCTACACATCTGACCTGATATAAGCCTTGTGAGTGTCTGTTTTTCTCCATTGACAGCAGCAGCATGAACCTGAGTTGCTCCTTCTAACCTTTGACCTTCTGGTTTGGATGTAAAGGGTATTCGAGGTGTTTCTACCTACAAGTAGACAAAAACATCACTAACATTAGTGGCCAACAAAATCTTGTTTGGAAATGTTTTAATTTAGTTTTGGGAATAATTTTAGATCATTTAAGAAAAGGGTGGTTCTGTCCATAACCTTAACCATTTGGCAAGTTAGCATTAGGTCTAGGGCAAAGGTTAAAAAGTAATACTGGCTTAATGATCTTACTAAGTGTAATACAGAATAAAATATGCAGTGAAAAAGAAAATATTATCCTAACTCTCCTATATTTTTTATATTTTTCATTCACTAAACACTAACTTATAAGAAGTTGGCTAAACTACTGATAGTAGAATTGATTGACAACAAAATTACTTCTATTGATTTTCAAATGCATATGTTGTTGTATGTATAAAATTATCTCTGAAGGAATAAAATTAAAATCTTTTATTCTGGGCCAGGTTGTTTACCTAAATTGATTTTTCTTTAAATTAATAAAATAAACAACTATTGCATACATACAGGAAATATAAATAATAGTTGTAAAATCCATGCCAACTTCAATAAAGATTTCAATACTGAAGTATTGAGTTTACCTTAGGCTCTGAATATAATCGCACTAAACGGTTGGAGGCACAGCAAGGGCAAAACAGGTAGGATACCATTGTTACTGAACTTAAATTGTCATACGATGTTTAAACAATTCTACTTCACGAATTCAATACGCTTTAACACAATGTTCACTTATCTTCAGCATAAACAAATAAGTATAAAATAATACTATAGTCACTAAATTTAAGTAGTGAAAAAAGTATTATTTTTAATATAAACACAAAGAGTTTTAATTAAATGAGTTTTTTCACATAGAATCTAGTAGGCCTATAAACTACATAGTAATTCATTAATATAATTTAAAGGATAAATTATATAATGAGATCCATAATTAGTTTAAATTATGAAAGAAAGACACACTGGAGTTTAAACTTCTAACACAAATATCCAGCCCAGTGTTGAAAGAGCTCCAGAAACAACACAGCTAGGCTACACACTGCACCCCAAACCTCACCATGACCCAATTTGCTCACCCCTTGCTGCTTGTCTAAAAATAGATCAGGGTTGCCTCAGGTATGTGGAGCATAGGGCAAGAAATAGTCATGTAGCCTTCAAGTGCTTGTTTATTTGACCCCACACATTAATTATAGTGAATTTATCTCCAGACAAGTCTAGTTTAGGATTGTTTAGCTATTGTTTAGGATGGGAAAAAAAATTAAAATATTTTAAATTTGTAATATATTTGCACAAAATTGCACCAGTGTTATATATATATATATATATATATATATATATTATATATATATATATATATATATATATATATATATATATATATATATATATATATATATATATATTATATATATATATATATATATATATATATATATTATATATATATATATATATATATATATATATATATATATATATATATATATATATATATATATATATATATATATATATATATATATATATATTATATATATATATATATATATATATATATATATATATATATATATATATATATATATATATATATATATATATATATATATATATATATACATGATTATAGTAGTATTTATTCTATAATGTATGATGGTTTCATCAATGGAGAAAAACAGTTCTTTTCCATACCTGTGACAGGGCTATATCAAGACCCTTGGTGGGCAGTAGCAGATGTGAGCTTGGCTTTGTGGCCACTGCTTTAACGGATGAGCACATCAAGGTTTTCTACAACAATATATTGTGATGTTGGCGTCACATCAGTTCTATACAACCATGTTTTATGGTGTTGGACAAGCACTTCAGGGATCTCTACTACAAAATATCTTGGAGTTGGAGTCACAGATGCTGCAAATAAAAAATAGTAAAATTAAAAGACTTTTTAATTATTATGCAAACTGTACCATGACTGTCTGATTTATGGGGATGTTTTTTTTTTTGAGAACAATGATTAAAGTTAGGTTAGATTTATAGCAAAATATTATTTATCATAATAATGAGAATAAGATTGGTATGCAGTAATAGAAAGCACATTATTAAATACGAGCCGGCCCGCGGCATAACATACGCCGCTATTTAGTTGTTGTTTTTTCTACTTTTCAGTAATTCATAATTTGTAAATTCGACAGTACCAACGCTGAAACTGAAAATATTTCTTTAAAACACTATAAGTAGCTCGTTAAAGACCATAACCCCCCCCCCCCCCCCCACCTTCCCCCCCCCCCCCCCAACATTTAAAATCGTTTCAAACTAAATTATTTGCCCCTAATAGCCGTCACTAAACCCGACTCCACGAAGGTAAACATAGCGTGGACCACAGCTCACTAAGACCATGTAGGGGTGGGGATGGTAGGGAGCGCGTTTACAGCTTGTTTTCTAGTGTCTCCCAGAAGAGAATTATATATATAGATTTGTAACATTTTTTACTGCAACCCTAATTTTCTATTTTAATCATTCATAATTTTTCTAACCAGGCATTACCTGGAGATTTTGTTTTGGATTGTAAAAAGTATGTTTTTGGAAGAATCATTTTATTTTGCATCTGCAGAGAATGCATATGCAAATCTAAAATGAAGAAATCTACTTGGATACGATGTGCACTTCTATAAGAAGCTAGTCTCATAAAAAGGTAAAACTAACAATACTTTATAGAATTATATTACTTGTTATATATTACTAGCGCGCCCTTTAACGCACGTTGCTGTCGTCTTAGTCGAAAATCTAAATAATTATTTAAGAGGAATTGAATTGAACAGAATTGAACAGAATTGAATTGAATTGAAGAGGATTTCATGACTGTGTTAGTTACCAATCCCATGTTCTTAGACCTGTGACCATGTTTTCTAAAACTGAGTTACTTAAATGAAAACAATGCCGGCACTATATCGTAATTGTTGGAACACTGGTTTTCCCACACAACCACCTACCGAGTGTGCTGTATGAAAGCCTTGAGTTAACTTTAATCTCTCTCCTTAAAAGTGAGGTTGAAGACACTTCAACAACCACCTGAGTGTCAGGGAAGTAAAGGAGCGCTCTAATGAGCCCCCCGTTACACTGTCGCAGGGGTGCCTTGTACAGCCCCTGGCTCAGTTTAATCATCAAATGTCGTGTGCCAAAGAGTTAATATATTATAGGGTGCTATATAAAACTAAAGTAGGCACCATTGTGCACACAGGATAACCTGAGGCGCCTAATCGCACCCTACCTCGACGCCAGAAGACGCGCTTAATTCAATTTAGTGAGCGACTATAGCAACACGTTGTATCTATAGCCTATCGCACTCTTTAAAATTAACATAGGTGCCATAGTTAAGGATTATTCCATCGGGTCTTTAGTGTATAATTCTTTTTTAAACGAAATAGGTGCTATAGTACATATAATGTACATAGAGAAAAATTGCACCTTTTCTGGGCACTGCCCTTGCAATTAAAAAAGATTTCTTTGCAGAAAACTCCCCTGCAGTATTCTCATCTACTCCCCAAAGTTTCAAAGCAATTGGATGAACGGTGTCATACCGCAATCGACTTTTATTTTTCTATGCCTTATATTGGGAAGAATCAAATCACTCCCTCTTTTTAATGATTTAATTTTTTTTCATAGAAAACTCTGCTGGAGTGTTCTCAACAACTTTCCAAAGTTTCATGGATATAGAATGAAAGGTGTAGTATGGCATAAAGGACAAATCCACACACAAACCCACAAACAAACAAACATGCTTTCATATAAAAATATAATTTGTCATGTTACTAGAGCATACCTAATTTAGTACTTAGGCTACTTAACATACTAGAGTAAGCCTAAATACAAATCAATACTAAAGTAAGTAAAACTGGAGTATAGAGTCAGCGGCGTAGGCAGGGGGGGGGGGGGGGTTAGGGGGGTCATAACCCCCCCCCCCCATAGACCCCTTGGTATATATATAAAAAGTATGAGGGGGGGGTGCAAATCGAAAGTTTGAGCGGGGGTGCAATTCGAAAGTTTGAGGGGGGGGTGCAAATCAAAAGTTTGAGGGGGGGGGGTGCAAATCGAAAGTTTGTCCCCGGGTAAAAATTGGAACCCCCCCTTGAGACGATCCTGGCTACGCCACTGTATAGAGTAGTAGGGACCAACTGCACTCTACTTTACTCTACTCTAGAAGTAGACTGGTAGAGTCTGTTACTCTAGTACTCTAATAAAATAGTAAATAAAATTTAAACTGGTTAAAATTTGTCTATGTATCACTTTATGACAGTAAAATCATCCAAAGGTAGTAAAATTGTAAAATTACAGTAAAAGATAGGTGATTAATTAATAATATTAATATGGCTTTAATCGGATGATGACACCATTAATTAATCTTTATTTAGGTTTATTGCTGAAAAGTTGAATAAAACTATTTAAAAACAGGTAGGCTGAGATATACATGAAACATTTTTGTAACTTTTAAAACATAAATCCTTGTAAAAATGCAACCTAATTATTAAAATTGAATTATTTACCTTTCTTTCACATTTTTTACGGCACAGCCCTAAAGTAAAACATCTACTAAAAATATTGTGAATTAAATAGTAGGCCTAAATACTAAAATAGTTATAAATAATAGGGAGGGTTCTACATTCTACTAAGGCACTAAGGCCAATGAGCCGCTGTGGCTAATATCAATGACTTACTTTACTTACTTACTTTTAATAGGCGTACATTTAAATTTCACATTTTTTTTTCAACTTTCATAATTATTAATTATTGTAATTTTAATTAGGGGCCTAATTTATCATATTTTATTAAGACATATTTTTTATTTAATACTTAAGCCCTATTTATGATCATGGTGATCATAATCACTGTCATAATCATTAGGCCTATAATAATTAATTAGTAATTAGCCAAAAAATTTATTAATTTTATATATAGACTTCTAATTAATAAAAAGAATAGGCCTAATCATTGATTGTTGATTCATTAGTGAATGATTAATTTAGTTAGGTTAGACCAGTGGCGTAGGCAGGGTGGGGGGTTAGGGGGGGTCATACCCCCCCCCCCCCCCCCATTGACCCCTCGGTATATATATAAAGACTAAAGTATGAGGGGGGTGCAAATCAAAAGTTTGGGGGGGTGCGAATTGAAAGTTTGTCCCCGGGTAAAAATTGGACCCCCCCCACCTTGAGACGATCTTGGCTACGCCACTGGCCACTGGGTTAGAGTTTAGGCTACTTTCAAGTTTCAACATTCATAGTTTTATACTATAGGCTTAGACTGCCTAGAGCCTAGTAGTAACTAGTAGTTAGATCTAGTAGTAATTCATAAATAATAAATACTTACATACATACTATTACTACTACTCATAAAAATTAAAATCTATGATAGATCATCATAGTTAATAGTTATAGTATCATAATCATTGGTAATCTATCGTTTTGGGTACGTAAAATCGCCTGCGATTTGTAATGTGAAAAACAGGTGACTCCTTAAATTTTAATAATTATTTCACATTTTGAGGAGGATTTATGTTTTAAAAATTCAAAAATGTTTCCTTGATTCATTTATGTACCTGTTTTTAAACAATTGAATTAAAACTTTTCCGTAATAAATGAAGACTAGCGATGTTTCCAACAGATGCAACCATGCTCATTTACTATAGCAGCCATCTTGTCTAAGTTTTATTTTTATAAGCTTTAGCGCCAGATTCAGGGGGAAGCCACTCTATTTTACAAATGGCTGCTGTTTATATAGCAAATCTTGCTCTCAGACACTGCTGTTTAAAGTTAATTTCTGGCCTATATCGATATATTTAGCCTTGATTTAGGTTTATTATTCATTTATCTATAATATTTGACACAAAAGTATGACAATATACTTCTATTAAAGCCTTGACAATGAGGTAACGTTTTCGTACATAAATAGCCGCGGGCGATTTTACGTACCCAAAACGATAGATTACCTAATCATTTATCATACTACATACATAGTCTATAGTACATAGTCATAGTACTACATAAGTAAGTACATAGACTAGAAATGGACTAGATATTTAATAATCTAGAATTATATAATATATATATATCTATATGCTAAAAGCTTACTTCTTAAACTACTGGATCTAGATCTAGATCTAAGTAACTGTTACTATCCCGCCCCGTGGTTAAATTAAAAATATTTTTAGATTGAAATTTTAAAAAATCTCCAAAGTTGTTAAGGACGCCTGTTGAAAATACCTCGATCTTTTATAAAGGAAATTACAATTCATTACTCTGCCTTGAGAATCTCTTTAAAAATCTAAAAGAGGGCCACTTTCTCTTTTTAACGATCTAAATTTAGTTTACAGATTTAGAATCTTTTACATTAGTAAAATTAATAAAACAATTGTATTAAAGTGTTTACATAGCTAATCCGACCAATAGTTGTACCATGTAAAAAAATATAGAATCTATACGAAATAAAATCTGTTTATTTTTTGGGTGTAGCTAAGCCATTTTTAAAGTTCCACTTTGTGACTTTTTAACCAATCCAACATCTGGGTCCTGACCTTTGCCCCATTTAATAAACTAAACATTTAGCTAAAATGTTGATATGACACTGCAAAAACTAAATTCTAGAGCTAGAATCTAGATCTGGAAATTCAGTAGATCTAGTCTAGCCATAATATTAAAATATTCATAAGTATATTAAATAATCAAGTGATATGATATAGATCTAGATCTACTTAATAAGAAGAAGTGGTGGCCAAATTTCGAAGTTTAGGCCTAACAACTTGTAACAAGTTATAACAACAGTACAGTGGTGTCATTATAATTATTTAATAGAGTTAGTCTTAAAAATAAAAATGGCCTAATTCTAATAATTAGTAATAATACTAATAGGCCTACTAAAGTACTAATTACTATAATTTAATTTAGTGACTCACTGATTTAGTGAGACTTCATGTTTAAATTTCACACTGGCTTTAACAAGTTAGAAGAATTTGTTCCTTGCTGATTCTGACCTGAACTTCATGGATGGTTGATATATTAAATAAAATATATTTATATATTATCACCATCATTGTACACATTTTTACCTCTTCAGAGTCTTCACACATGCCCCTCCCCCCCTTCCTCACCCCACCTACACACACTGATAGATTCCTTGACAGGTCACTATGCCTCTGACAGTAGTACTAATTAATATTTATTATTATTACGTTATAATGTCAATTTGATATTACACTTCAAAATATTGATATTAACAGAATAAGCAAATACAATCTATATTAATTTTCTTTATTGTTTAGGTCTTGCCAATGACAGTGATGACTTTGTGAAACGAAGTAATGGAAGCTCTTTTATCTTTATGCCAAACTCGCCTCCATGCCACAGATGCTAGGCAGCACAGCCTGCTTGCACAGAAAGCTTTAAAGATAATAAAAGAAAATGAGTTAGATCTTAAAAATGAAAAATTGTTCTCAAGATGTTCACCTCATCCAGTTTTTGAAGCCTGTCGAGTTGGTAACTTGGAACTGGTTAAGGTTTGCTTATTTTTTTCTATAGGGAATAACAAAAAAAAATAGAAAATAAAATTAAATAGGTAGATTTTCAGAGAATTGACTTCATTAAGCATGGGAAATAATAGTAGAGCATCTAACTGCTAACCTAAAAGTCTTGAGTTCGAATCCGAGTTGGTTTATGACTGTACTGTAGTGCATCCTTGTGTCCACCTAGTTCTGATGGGTACCTGACTCACATTAAGAAAAATAAAGCATATTGCTGACCACACTATCCCTTCATTTGCCAAGGTTACTGAAACAGGTGAACTCTACTTCACTTGCCCCATGGACCATCAGGTTCGAAAGGAAACTTTACTTACTATTTAATTAATTAATATATTACTTGAACTCATCATTTTTTTATATTTTCCAGCTGTTTGTTGACAAGGGAGCAAGCCTGAACATACTTGATGATGAAGGGAAAACACCTCTTTTTGTAGCTATATCCTCCCATTTCAACTCGTATGAAAATATATTACAGCTTTTGCTATTAGGAGCAGATGTTAATCTTCATAGACATGGAAGACATCCACTTCTATCTTCATTTTGTAGTATGAACAGTAAAGTAAGTAGTTAAGCTATATGTATTATGTCAAATTGGTTGTCTATTAAATTTTAGATTAGTCAACTTTATTGTAGTACTATACATTAATTAAGCCCGCCCATTTTAACAAACAGTTTTCAAGAGTTATTATATTTTGATAAGAAGAATCACAGATAAACTCTATTTCAATTTTTAGATTGCAGTTATTAATTTATTTTAATATTACATAGGAGTCATTGCTTATTTTACACTTTGCCAAGACTTAATAGATTAATTGAAACTTTTATTGTGTGCTCCATATATTGTGCTAGTATAATTGCTGCATCACCCATGAGATTTGTTTTGTAGTTACCGATGATCACCATGTTGTTTTTTTTTTAACAGACTACCAAGTTGCTCATCCAGCATGGAGCGGATGTAAACAATGTTGTCCTGACATTCTTCTGCTTTGTGGAGTCTTTGTTTGCCTTGAACTCAGGCATGGTCATGATGACTTCAGGTATTCGTGTCCACATGGACGACTTTCAGGAACTGCTGTCTCTTGGTTCCGAGATCATCCTAGCCGGATTAACACCAAGAACTTTCTACCTATCTGGGAAAAGATTTTTAGGAGATTTTTTAACTCCTACAGAGTTAGACAGTCTGTGGTCTTTTCACCAACTTTGTCTGTTCTTGGGATTTAAAGTTGACCATTTATGCCTAACACAAGCTATTAATGAATTAATCAACAGTTTAAAAAATGAACCTGATGTGCAGAATGCAAAAGCTATTAGAATCAAGTTGGATAAACTGCAGTGGACGAAAGATTTTTTACAGCAGCCTCTACCTTTAACCTTTATTGTTCGCATATCTATCAGGGGTCATCTTGTTTCACCCCATGTTAGCAGGGGGAGACACATAAATGAAAATATATCCAAACTCCCTTTGCCCTCTCTAGCTAAAGACTTTTTAACACTCAAAGCTTGTAGTATCCAAAATAAAGTTTTAACAGAAAGGTAACATTACGTTATTTATCTTGATTATTTTAGGCAAGTGCATTTCACATCTTGTTAGTTTTCATCCTGTGTAAGATTTAGTGTATTAGTTTTGTCTAGAATCTCTGGGCAGCTGGTTATCAGTTTAAAATGTATGCAATATATTTATATCAGTTCAAAATGTATGCAATATATTTAGCAATAAGAACGAGCAGACCCGTGGCGTATCATACGCCGCTATTTAGTTGTTTTATTTTCTACTTTTCAGTCATTCATAATTTGTGAATTCGACAGTACCAATGTTGCCACTGAAAATATTTGCTTAAAACACTATCAGTAGGTTGTTAAGGATGATAATACTTTCCCCCTACCCCCCCCCCCCCCCCCCCGTGAAAGCAGCCTCGTAGTTACCTCCCCTAAGTTTAAAATTGTTTCAAACTAAATTATCTGCCCCTAATAGCCGTCACTAAACCCGGCTCTACGATTGTAAACATTTAGCGTAAACCACAGCTCGCCAGGGTGGTAGGGATATGCTTAGAGAGGAACAGAGGGGGCTGCTAGGCATGCTTACAGCTTGGTGTTTTCTAGGGTATCCAAGAAGAGAATTATATATATAATAGATTATAGGGCTATCAAGTTTAGCATGCATGTCTTGTAAGAAGTTTTTACCAATATTATGTTTGTGTATCTTACTCTCAGTAGAGAAATAAAACATGGGCCACGTAATCCTGATTATGCCAGTATCAAACTCTGCTTTATCTGCCTTACGAACCATCTAATCAAAGTAATGAGGTGGTTTATTTTAACGATTTCAATAATATGTCCATTGTGACTGGTAAGTTATTGATTAAATGAATCAGTGTTAAACCACGTGAAGTGGTCTCAAATAAAATGTTATAATTTCTATTATTTTTATTAGATTGTCACATTAAATATAGCTATCTTAACTATAAATGTCAGGTCTTTATTTCCTTTTTCTATTTATGGAAACTGCATGATTCACATGCTTTGTTTTATCCTTAAGTCAACCGTTCAAAAACTGTAAATAATGTACTGGTAATGTATTATATTAATCTTTGTTATCGTTATTATGGCTGTGGTATTATTTTAGCAATCAGTGATATAAACAAACTAGCACATTTCACTAACAATAAGTGCCATAAAATTAATACAGAATAATTGCTTTGCTAATGATCATAGAATGACATGACTTATCTGTGATATATTTAAAATTCTGCTGAATATTTAGCTAGTGAAAGAAATGTAACATTATTTTAAGGTGGGTTGAAGACTTTGCTGTTATTCGATGAATTTTTATTAAATGCTTTTTCAACTGTCTGTAGACTGAGCAGTAATTTGAATGTTTTAATCAGAATAATTTAATTTTCCCAGAGAGTGTTTTATGTTCAAATAATTTTTTAATATTTTTTCATGATTGAGTGCTATTTGCTAACAATAAAAATGATTCCATTTCCATTAATCAGTGTTTTCAATGATGATCTATGTCCAAATGTCACTGTTTGTCTTGTTTTAACACACCATTGTGTTATGACCAAGACCTTGGGTCAAAACATCTACTGTATTGTACTTGAATGGGGATGGAGTGGCCTAGCTGTAGAGAGCTAGACTTCTAACCTATAAGTCTCGAGTTTGATTCTGGGTTCAAGTGATTAAACCATACCAGAGTCCACCCAGCTCTGATGGGTACCTAACTTATGTTAGGGAAAGTAAAGGCGGCTGGGGATAGTGCTGACCACACTCTCTTCATATGCCAAGGTCACAGAAACAGGTGAACTCTGCTTCACTTGCCCCACAAACGGTCAGGTTTGGAAGGAGAGCTTTACTTAACTCATAGTGCAATTGTCTTTAAATTGTTTTATTGCTATTTGCATGAACTTCACATCAGTTTTCATTTTTGTTCATTTATCAGTTAGTGTTACATAATTATACCATTACTCCTGGTTGTAAAATAACTATTAATAACTATTAAAATAATTCAAAGAAATGTTTATATATTATTAATAGTCTTTTATTAATCTGACTAATCATTAGGTTATTAAACTGATATAGTGCTAATGATATTTCTCTTCAATCATTCTAGATTAATTCAACATCCAAACAGAACTAGTATATTTAAATGACGCTAAAAATTAAAACTGCATGAAAGCTTTTGCCTTAATACATTCAATAATTCTTGAAAGAATTTGATTTTTCTGGTTCCAAATAACATGCCTGACTTTTTTTCAATCTATATATACAAACAATTACTGAATATAAGTGCACTGATTTTATCATTTTAAATACAAATAAACATTAGAAAAATCAGAAAAAAAAATCAATGATGTCCATGGTCCCCTTCTAAGCCTGTTAATTTTTTGAAGACTATTGTGACAGCCATAGCAGCAACAGCAAGACCAAAACCACGAAAAGTTTTCTGGATAGCCATTTTACCCCAAGTGACATTCCCACCATTCTCTGGTGTGTAACGCCAAGCTTCATTTCTGTAAGATGAGAAGAAAAAACATCTAAATTGTATAAAATGTAAAAGGATGTATAATATGTGTAACGCCAAGCTTAACAATCTATATATATATAATTCTCTTCTTCGAGCCGTTAGAAAACAAGCTGCAAACGCTCTCCCTACCTCCCCACCCCTACATGGTTTTAGTGAGCTGTGTTCACTCTAAATGTTTACAAGCAGAGCCAACGATTTTAAACGTAGGGGGGGGGGAGGAGGGAAGGAAGGGGGGGGGGTATGGTCCTTAACGAGCTACTTATAGTGTTTTAAAGAAATATTTTCAGTGTCAGCGTTGGTACTGTCAAATTCACAAATTATGAATTATTGAAAATTAGAAACAACTAAATAGCGGCGTATGTTATGCCGCGGGCCGGCTCGTATTTATATAATAAAAAAATAATCTTAGGCAGTATTAATACTAATAATACTAAATTTCTTTGCAACAATACATATGCTACGGCAGGGGCTTGGTGCACGGTAATGTCCGGCTTAGGTGTTCCACCCAAAAAGTTGATAAATCATCAGCTCGTCTAGCAACGGAAAAATTGAAAATTGTACCCATACAAACTATATAACTTCTTTAGTCTGTGTCTAAAATTAACTGTAATGTAAATCATGTGCTGTTTGATTTAATAAAATACATTAGGCCTAAATATTAGTATTTCTCGCTAACTTGGAGGCGTGGTCGGTTGCTAACAACAATATGGCGTCCGGACTGGACGCTTGACTTCCGACGATTTTTCGGCCAAATTCCAGAGACCTTCTACTAATTAGTTTTTAAAATGTTTACCACGCGCAAAATGGCGGGACTTTCACGTTATAACAACAAGCTATAGGTGGCAGGGCTATATATGCCAGAAAAGCATTTTAAAATTTGCGTTGGAGAATGAAGGCTAAATTTAAAAGTTGGTTTCATCAAATATACTAGAACTTTTTAAATATCGATTTCCATATTACAAAATTGATTTCCATAGTAAAGCATTATTAGTTTTATCAGTCTATGAAAAATAAATCAAATATCGTCAACCCTTTTTTATAAGACCAGCCACAAAAATGACAACCAAATTTTTTTTAAAAAAATAAACCACGTGACCACTATTTGGAGATCACTAGTGAGGGACTCTTGTGCATGGCCACTTAAAAAGTCTAACCTGATTTGTGGTTTTCTTTACCTTCAAGGGTTAGAAGAGTTGTCATGGAGAGATGTGTTGGACAAGGCAGTGATTGACAATAAATATTAAATTAAGTAATTTAGTTTAAAAAGAACTAAAAACTCCAAAATTAGTGCCTAATGGATTAAATATGGATGTCTATTATTCAGTGGTCATGTTTAACCATTAATGTCCCATTCATTCTACCAAAACTCCACCCATGACGACCCAATGTAAGGAGCATAACTCTGTATGATCAAGTGAATAGTTTCACAAAATATTTGTTTTTGTCTAAATGAAATTGAAAATTAAGATAAAAACTACTGCTTAATGTTGGGCATAAACCTGGCTTTCCAACAGTATTAAATAGAATATATTATATTCGGTAAAAGTACAGTATAAAAATAAAAAATGTCGGAGAAAATTCAAAACAGGTCATTTTCGGTAGTCAACTTTATTTATTTTTGTCTAAACAACTATGCATCGAATTTAACAGTTAAATATCAATTTGGTTATGTTTAACATATATAATTCATAAAATACATGCCTAGATACGTTTAGAGGCATTAATTTTTTTTATTTTTAATATTAAATCTACTAAAAATACGACAGATGAGTCGAAAATTTCGAGATAGAAAGAAACTATTATTTTTTATCTTTCAAAAGCGCCATTGAAATTAGAAGGCCGGAAAAGGATGCTGAAACCATCCGACTTCCTGTTTAGTTAAAAATTAGGATTTGTAGGCCAAATTTTAATAAAACAAATTTAATTTTTCTATGCGTATTGTAAGCGGGCGGCAGCGGGCGTTACGGGACATTAACGGTGTCGGGCGGCAGCGGGCGTTACGGGACATTAATGGTTAAATTGATAATTGCGTAAATTCTAGATTTAGTGAGAAAAACTACTAAATATTACAATTATATAGAGGAGCTTACACTTTTCGGACACACATAGCGAAAAAACGCAACGTAAAAATTCCATGCGGTCTCATTCAGTAACCGCTTAACATAGAAAACAAAAAAAAGTATCATATCTATCCGCAACCATTCTACTTTAATAATGTGTGTGTCATTTTGTATTCATACGCATAGAACTTAAGCTATTCTTGTTATAGTGACTGGGGGGTCTTAACGTGTGTTCGAACACATGTAATACAGTTTTACATGTGTTCGGACACCTTTACCCGTCATCGGACATAGCACTTTTTGTTCATTTAGAATAATTTAAAGTCAATTTAATGAATAAAAACATATATTATATGCATGTATATTGTGTTATTGATTGTTTGTGAGGTAATTTTAATAGTATAAAACCTTTTTCCCACACTCCCAAAGTTCATCCCATTCAGCCATTGCGGCTCGCGCAGTACGCTGCTAAGCCAGCCAGGTCACATGATTCCCCCTCCTCTTTCGCATTCCACTGCCTTCTTGACCTTATTTTGACCCTTTCCCTTCAATAACCAGCCCCTTTTATGCTCTAAATTCTTATTTAGTAATATTTTTGTGTTGCTGTCCGCTCCCATGTAAGGCCAAATAAGTTAGCGAACACCCCTTTTTTATTGTTCAAGCACAAAAAAACCCATTAACCTTGACATTTACGATGTTCCATACATATATAGAAGCTATTTATAGTGTAACCTTTTAGCTAAGCATTGATTGGTTCAAGTTTTGCCCCTAAGTCCAACCCTAGGTCACTTCATCCGGCTGGTGTAAAAATAGAAATGTGCGTACCATGCAACGTTAAAAAATTTCTAAAAATAATTCTTGAGAAAGGAAACGGAAGTACTTGACACGGAAGTGTTCATAAATGAACAGTTTACGTGCAGGCGCCGTGGTTTCGCGTGAGACATGCTAATTAAAGTTTCTATGAGCCAAAAACCGACGAAGTGTTCGCTCCTACGTAATTTTTGGTGTGTGTCCGAAAAGTGTAAACTCCTCTATATTATTATAATCTTTGCTAATCTTCACAAGCAGATTCGCATTTTACCCCCACTCAGAGTAAGTATCATGTGGGGGGAAGATGAAAGACTAAAATGTCACGTGGCCGACGTTTTTCGCACCCTTCTCGCAATTTACTGACTCGCCATTCCGCGTCTCGCAATTTACCAACACCGTGATTTACCTTATCCATGGATCCTTGAGGCCTCGAGCTGCAAGCCTTTTCTGAAGTCGTTCAAGCTCTGGGATACCTTCAGCTTTAAATGTTCTCCAGTCAGGAACTTCGTGAGGTGCATGACCACCCCCACCACCCATTTTGACGTAGAAAAAACAAAAGCTAACAGGACAGAAAGAGGATTCTGTTGAACAATATTTGTTATGACCTTCTGTTCTGCTGGATTACTTTGTGCTTATCATTGTTTTCGTTTAGGATTTTAGAGACTAAATAAAAGTGAGATTCAAAAATAGGCCTCTAGTGAAACGAAATTTGAAGCCTGCGTAAGACTAGCCACTAGATCTAGTAACTTAGTAATAGTAAGTAAAAGACAAGATTTAGATCTAGATCTAGTTCTAGATCTATCTTCTATGTCTGTGGTAAGTTACCGAATAAATAAATAGCCTGTACTGTAGGCCTACTACTACTAGACTAGATCTAGATTTGGGACCCGGGTCAATAGCCTCGGCCGCTATTGGGACCCGGCATTAAGTTCGTTGAGCACTTGTACAACCTGTATTAATAAATTAGATCTATACCTTTTATGTTTATTTGATTTATCTTGTGGATTTGCTCGTATTTATTTTTCTTTTATTGTAATTAGTTATTGCGGATTATCTAGCGTTGGTTCTTGTGTTGCTATTACTAAATACCCTATATTTAATTTAGCTGTATAGGCCCTCCTATACAAAATCATTAAATATATAACTATTATCGTAAGACGTCGTGGTCGAGTGGAGAACGCAGTACCTCCTGCATCTCGATCAGTTATGGGATCAGAACCTATCAAAGCTCTCGTTTTCGCGTGAAACAAAGTGTATTTAATATTTATCTAAGTCTAACATTCCATAGAGTTGTTTGCAAAAGTGTCTTTTTGTAATTGTTTTTTTTTTTAAATAGATTTATATTTTTTTTTCTAGATTTAGGTTTTTAAACACGCCAATTAGCCCTATAAAAACATCGTTGCTCCATTGATCGCCCGCTCGCGTTTTCTGGTAAGCGCAAGAAAAATACCGACACGGTCTAGCCAGCAGGGTCACTGTGAGTTCAGATTGCTTTAGGTGTGAACAGTGTAGGTGTATAGCATACGTCATAGCAAAACCATTGCTATGAGCTTGTCGAGATTTGTCGTCGTCGTAGTCCTCCCCCCTCCCAACCCAGCAAGCGGGAAAAACGGATTTGGGGTCATTGTGAGTTCAAATGTTACGTATTGCTTCTATTAAAGCCGTACTACAACGCATTTGAGATATTCATGTTCAAGAAAACGGGCCCGGGAGCTGTAGTCTGCAGCCTACATGAGCTATCTTATACAATTATATATATTTATATATATATATATTTATATATATATATATATATATATATATATATATATATATATATATATATATATATATATATATATATATATATATATATATATATTTGGATATATATATATATATATATATATATATATATATATATATATATATATATATATATATATATATATATATATATATATTTGGACGGATAGACCTATGAAATCAAATTATGTTTAACAGAAGAGAAAAAAAAACACTTTTTTACATGCGCTCTCAACATTCGCTCGTCCATAGAAGTTCATACCATAGGCCATAATTATATTATAGACCTAACGACACCCACTCACCATAACATTTGTCAGTAATGTCAGTAATTACAAGGGAAAAAATCACAACAGAAAAGATATATTCTGCATTTTAAAAGAATTTTTGTATAACTAAATCTTAACAATTCTATTGGCTGGTCCCAATAGCGGCTGAGGCTATTAGGACCCGGGTCCCAATAGCCACGGCCGCTATTGGGACCAGGGTCCGAATAGATGCATCCATTCTAGAATCTAGATGTAGATTAGAAATCGGGGTAATCTATCGTTTTAGGTACGTTAAATTGCCAGCGACTAGAAATGTACGAAAAAGTTACCTCATTGTCAAGATTTTAATAGAAGTATATTGTGATATATGTGTGTCAAATATTATAGATAAATGAATAATAAACCTAAATCAATGTCTAAATAGTAAATATATCAATATAGGCCAGAACTTACTTTAAACAGCAGTGTTTGCAAGCAAGATTTCCTATATAAACAGCAGCCATTTGTAAAATAGAGTTGCCTTCCCCTGAATCTCGCGCTTTAAGTTTACAAAAAAAGATGGCTGCTCTAGTAAATGAGCATGGTTGCATCTGTTGGAAGCATCGCTAGTCTTCATTTATTGCTGAAAAGTTTTAATTTAATTGTTTAAAAACAGGTACATAAATGAAACAAGGAAACATTTTTGTATTTTTCAAAGTATAAATCCTCAAAATGTGAGATAGTTATTAAAATTTAAGACGTCACCTGATTTTCACATTACTAGTCACGAACGATTTTACGTACCAAAAATGATAGATTACCATAATCAGGGCACACGGTAATTTTTTTAGGATTTTTAGAAAATGGCAGATTTGTTAGGTGGAGTTACATAAATATTGTCTTGATACTTAATTATCGAAATGTACTCAAAAAATGACATTTACACATTTATAAGAAGGTTTGCATATGGTTTGCCTAAGAAATATTGTAATTTCATGTTAATTTCTAGTAGTAAAAGAATAACAAGAATAAAGGTATCAGTTGCAGGTTCGTTTACAAGGTTTAGTATACTTCATTTGTTTACCAAAGCCTAGTTCTAGTTGTAAGATTTAATTTGTTAGTTATATTTACATCTACCTGTAGACTAGTAATAGTCCATACTTCTGCATATAGTATAGATCTACAGGGTAAATTTTAATCAGTAAACAGAAAAGAGTAATCCACTACGGGTATTCCAAACACATTGAGCTCACTTCTATTTATGAACTTTGCACTGTAGTGTAGACTTGTCATAACATTCTAGTAGGCTACAATTGTACTAGTATTACTAGTAGTTGTGTGCTGAATGACTAGGCTTTTGTTTGTTTATGGGGCTCATTGTACTAGTTATTGGAAGCTTCCAGCAAAAGCATATTCATTCCGGCAACCATTGCTACACCAGAAAGACCACAGACAAGATTGAGGGAGCATGACATGTTGACTACTTTTGCTGTGTTTGATGTCTAAGATGTGTTCCGATAGAAAATCCAGTAAAAATCGTACTCAAAATATACTTTTGTGCTGTATTTATGTGTGAAAATTACAAAAAGTGATTGTTATAATGATTGCCATGTTATTAGTTAATAAATTATATCGTTTGTTCCTGTTTTGTAAAAAAAAAATTTGAAAAAAAAAATGTCCTAGATTACTGACGGTACTTATAAGTACCAATTTATGTTTGGGCCATTAAAAATTTATTAAACGAAATTTTCTTCGACATATGCTTTGAATGTGCCAAAAGCAATATATTAACACATCGTTTAAGTAAAAATCTCATTCAGAACATAATTCCGTAAATAAAGTGAACTGTAGAGTTAGTAGCAATAGTACTAGTAGTAGGCTTTTAGTGAGAATTATTCTAGTAGTACACTCAGCAGTAAAATGAATGGCAAAGGTAATGAATGTGGAATTGTGACACTTTAATGGTGTAAAAGTGTGAAGATGAGGGGTGCAATGAGTGTCACATGAAATCTTATTGTTGATTCAAGGTTTACTTTTGGTTAATAATTTCTTTTCAATTTTCTTTGATCATCAAGGTCTACAAAAGTTTTAAAAATCAGCAAGGAAAGAAAAATTTTAACAGCTGAAATAACTAGAGTACAGTGCAATGGAGGAAACAACGTTGCTTTTCCGCCACCTGCCTTCTGCTCTGTCCCCAGAGGAGCGGAAGGATCTCCTTCATTATCTTGGGGCAACACAAGTCAAAATTATGGGAAAGACTGGACCAATGGTAGATTTGTTTACATTAATTAAACTTCTTTATCATTGGTTAGTATAATTTGAAAAGTTTTATCAAACTTACCTCTAATCCTTAATTGGTGTTCAGCATGATTCAAATGATGATGGCTAATTAAAAAAGTAATGTTTACGGTATCTTTAATTGTTTTTTAATCCTACACATCATTATCTGAATGAAGTGATATTTTAATATGTTTATTAGTATTAAAACTGTAAATTTTCTTTGAGCTTTTTATTAAGTTAGTGCTGGCAGCCATGTAGGCTTTATTAACAAATGCATTTTAATACATCATACTAGTTGTAAACCAACATTAAGTATTCAGTATTTAACATGTTGCAGAAAAATACAGGATTTGCTGTGTTTGCAAGTAAAGAGCAGGCCACTAAGGTACTATTTATTTAAAAGATATTAGATATCTTATAGTATATCTGCTTAGGGTGCTACTTTTAGGTACAGTAACAAAATAATGATTATTATAAATATTATTACTGTTTTCTTATTAGCAGTTAATAAATTAAATTTAAAAAAACATTTTAAAAAAAGAGCTCCAAAAGTGCCATGTGCAATTTTGAACTTTCTTATATTTCATGTAAATAAATAAATTTTTATTGCTAGGTTTTGAACCAGCTTCACCAGGTTGAGTTTCTAGGATCAAAGCTTGTGGTTGAGTTTGCTAAACAGAAACAGCCCAACCTGCCTTCAGTGGTGGATAGTGAAGGGTAAGCTCTTGAAATAAACGTACACGTTTTTTATTAATGGTATCTGAGGTATTGCAAGGGTATGAGAGTGTGTTATTGAATGATTTTTATTAATAAAAGATTGTGACAAGGGATGTAAGGACGTGGCGTTTGAGAGTAGGATCTGGTTGCTGGGAGAAATAGGTTAGAACAGTCTTCATTATACTGTACTAGGGCGTGGAGGTCCTTCGCCGTGAATATAATCTTTGTATATGTTGTCAATGTTGTTGTCTGTGTCTATTTAGCTCGTCGTGAATATAGTCTTTGTATGTGTTGTCAATGTTTTGTCTGTGTCTATTTAGTTATTACAATAAACTGGGAATTGAAACTATCCGATCTTGTCGAGCCATTTGTATTGAATTGATAAATCTACGATATTATGTATGAGCAACCCTGTCCATAACTCACTTCGTAACAATGGTAATAAATTTAAAATCAGTTAAAGTCAGCTCTCCCACACATAAGCATACAAACGATTTTAAGTAATTATTATTTAGTGGAATGATTTACCTGATTTAAGAATTGTATCAATTAGCATCATTTGGAAAATGAAAAGCCTTGAATATGGGGCACAATTTTGACAAAGACAAAGTGAACATTAAAGAAGTAGAATTAAAGAGATAATGCTAATTGTTTAGTATTAAATAAAAAAAAAATCTATTGTGCTGTGCAGATGAACACTGATAGTGGGTTGTTTGTGTACTTTTGTACTTACTGGCAGTTATCCTTTGAATAAAATGGGTGATCTTAATCTAGTATTTACACAATTTTGGTAAGAAAGTACTTATTGCTGACAACGTTACTGGAAATACACAAGGTGCTATATCCTATTACATTGAGGTTTTCAATATTTAGCTTCTATTTATAGACATATCAATTTTTTTAGAATTTTTGAACAGAAATTTGTATTTCTAGAATTTTTAAACAGATTTTCTGTTATATACTCATATAAAATATAATTTGCTCAAATTGTTATAAGTATTCTAGACTAAATCTCTCACCTGCTAAATCGTTTGGTGGTAAATGTTAACTTGGCCATATATTCCAGGGATTTAGTCTCAGCCACCACATGGGTCACACAGAGGTTGCTGTTTCCTTCTTTGATGCTGAAAGTTCAAATTGAAACTTAAATTGATTTTATTATTATTTTTGGCTCTCATTTATATTTGAACATTTTTATTTGATTCTGTTCTTTCTTTCTTTTGTTTTAAACTGTGTTATAATTTTCTTGAACATACTAACAGGGTCAGATGTAAAACAGAGGAAGATGATCCAAGCATAGCCTCAGATACTAAACAGCCACCACCAGAACCTAAAGAAATCAAATTTGATACTACCTTCAACGTCTGGGGGTAAGATGCTAAGAAAAAATGTTTTTATTCTATGTTGACATATACTGGTGATTGTCGGAAACAGTTTTTTTGTATGTCCCAAGTGTTACTTTGTGTTGTCTGTGCTTCATTTTGTTTTTTTATTAAAATAAATAAACATGTTTAATTTTTCTTGTTAAAGTTACAACTATAAACAAAATGGTTTTTTACATGTAGGTTAAAACACCCTCGCAGGCCAGATCTTCGTTATTTGTATCCCCCACCCACCCCTTCAATCCTAAGAAACATAATGAACACTCTAGCAGCTGTGCCCAAGTTTTATGTTCAGGTAATTTGTCTTTTAAAACTTGTATTGATTTTGTGATTGGGAGTGAATTAATAACAGATAGTTGATTGGACGATGTTGACTTAGAGCTAGTTAAGTTGTCAGAAGAAAACAACTCTAGTTTATATGTTTTGTCAAATTTGTATACAAAGGCTTGTTTATTTTCTATACATAAGTAAACAGCACGTGTAATATAATGGTCAGAAGTAAACAGTTTAGAGATAATTTAACATTTATGTGTAAAAATTATAATTAATAGTTAATTTACTGGACAATGGGAAACAAGCAAGAGCTAATGTAGTGGTCATAAGTATAGACACCATGTAACTAATTTACCGTTTACAAGCAAACAAGTACCTAATGTACTGGTCATAGTATAACAAATGATTGCTAAATTACTGTGAACATTTTGGTTTTAGGTTCTTCACCTGATGAATAAGATGGATCTTCCTGCTCCATTTGGTGCTGTCACTATCACCCCACCTTTAGTAAGTTACATTGATTCTAGGGTGACAGGAAAAATGTGCAATGGAAAACTACACACACAAAAGTGTGCAATGGCATTTTTTTTTAAATTCAAGAATTTATAGACATTAACAAAGAATAACCACATGTACATTGTAGCATAATAAAACACTTTTTCATGAAATATAACAAAATTAAAATGTATTTGTGTAATTATTTTGTATTTGCACTTTCTTTTTCTGCATTTTTCATTTGAGCATTTTTCTGGGAACCTGATTTTAGCCATTAGTCATTACTCACCTTCTACAACTTGCTGATATTAGCTTCTGTTTTCATAATAAGAGTAGTACTAAATGTTATAGTTTTAATTTGTATGTTGAAATACATGCAAAAGTGAGTACAGTAGATCAGGCCTGGCGTAAGGGTCTTACTCCCATAGCATTACCACTTTCATTCTTTTCTAGCCAGCCTAGCAATACTAATTAGAAAATCTATGGTTCTGCTGGACCTTAAAGAAGTGAATTTTTACTTTCTACTCAAAATAACTTCAATCTATATTTTATTCTGGGCATTGCATCTTTCCTATATATTTTTTATTAAAATCTTATGATGAACTGCATTCAATCCATTATCTTGGTTCTTGTTAATTAAAATGGAGATACTTTCAAATATTTTCCAGCATCCAGATGTACTGGAGTACCAGATATCAGATGATGTTGACCAGAGAGAGATGGACATTTCTAGCGAGTCGGAATCTGAGATTGAAAGTGATGCTGACAGCATGCAAAGGTAAATTGATAAGTAATATATATCATGCAGCGTTTGTAGTTATTATACCTATTTCATTTATTTTTAACTAAATTATACATGCAGTTAGCTGATGGTGTGGTAGAAGGAAATAGCATTCAGCTGCTAGCTTAAAGGTTTTGAGTTCAGATCTTGATCTTGGAAGTCCATCCATCTCTGGTGGGTATCTAACTCACATTAGGAAAAAAGGCAACTAGGCATAGTGCTGACCATACTATCCCTTCATATGCCGATAACGTTGAAACAGATGAACTCTATTTCATCTGCTCTAAGTGTCTTGGGCACGAATGGGATGAAAAATTATGATAAATGAAATTAATTCTGCTAAATATGAATCTATAATTCTGTTTGTAGGTAGTTGTAAATATAAACATTTTACTTTTATCTAGGGTAAAGGTAGATAATTCTGCTAAAAGACCCCATCGTTTAAACAAGAAAAGGCCCAGTAAACGTCCAAAGCTGTCTGACCTACAAGACAGTGGTTTACCTGTTGTATCTACCACACCCGTCCAAGTGTCTGATGTCTTTGAGCAAAGCACCGGCGCTGGAACCAAGAAAATTGAACTGAAAATTCCATCTACAATTTTACCACCTGTCACCACTCTACCCCAGGCGGACCCAGTACATAACTCTGGTGTCCCCCCTACAGACTCAACCCAGGTCAATAATGACCTGAATACAAACTTGTTAGTTAGTCAGCGCCTTACTTCAGGAATTCTGCTCGACACAGGTGAGAAAGTTGAAGATACCAAACAGTATCACTCAGATACAGCATTTCCACCTGTCCACCCCTCCACCGATATGGCTGACACACCTGAGGACAGTGGATCTTATGATGTCCCTCTGCCACCTAATTACTCAACAGGTAATTAGTTTATTTTTTAATTTACTACCCACTTAAACAGCAGGTAATCAAGTTGTTTTTTTCTTTTCCTATCCACGTAACTTCTGTTAATTCTTGGAGTTAATTTAGTTAATTATTCTAAATTAATTTTATATTGTTAAAAGTATTAAAAGTAAATCTGTGGTTTGATCATAGACTTTTATATGTAAATAACACAAGTCTATAATGAGATTTAAATGACAATTATAAGGATTTTAGTCTTAAATCTTACTTAGTTTCTGCAAATTGTAATTCAACAATAGAAAGTGCTAATATTGTTTTGCTATTTTTCCTTAAAGAATGCTTGATATTTTATTTCATTCAGATCAGGCCCCACCCACAGCTCCTGTTGTAGTTGGAGGATTTGGTATTATTCAACCTGTTCAAAAAGTAAGATATTTCTAATGTTTAGCATCATTCAACCTGTTCAAAAAGTAGCATATTCCTAAACTGTTTGGCTTCATTTAACCTGTTAAAAAAGTAAGATATTCCTATAATGTTTGGTATCATTTAGCTTGTTCAAATATTAATATATTACTAAACTGTTTTGTGTCGTTTAAAAATGCAGAGGTTATTCACGTCCTATATTTTTAGAATTTTTTTCTACTCAGCTGTGTCATTATCATATATTTTAAAATTAATTTTTGTTACATTAATTCCATTATATTTTCTAAGTGTATTTTTGCTGATATCTTAAAATTGTGTCAATATTTATGTTTATTATTATGTTAAATAAACATTTTTAGATATGTGGGTATTTATATAAATTAGGCAACAATCTACAATTGTATCAATATAATTACATTATACTTCAAAATTTGCTTCTTTTTTATAATCAGAGATTCAACCCAAAAATACTGAAAGATAATTACATTTTGCCTTAAAAAATATGTTCTTTCTTTTTATTTTACCAGCCTGTAGATAAAGATGATACACAAGAAAGTGCTGAAAGAGAATGGACAAAATCAAAATTTATTTCTTCATCAGAATTAAGAAAATCAAGATTGTCACATTCTGGTAGGTTATTTCTTTCTTTTCCTGTAGCATGGAATCAATTTCATTGCAATCATTTTAACAATTATTAAGATGGCTATGTACTACAAAGTAAATAGAAAAATACTTAAAACTAAACAGCAGAACTACTTTATAAACATTTTAATATTTTTAAATTGAACTATTTGGTCATGTAACTTAAAGTTTTATTATATAAGCACAAACACTGAGATGAAACTTAATTTTCAGAAATGAAAGAGTTGAGTGTATTTAAAAGATACAATGAAGGCGAGCCTTCTTGTCGTCTCTACATTAAAAATCTGGCCAAAACAGTTGATGAGGAGGTAATTTTTTTTTGTAATTCTTTTTTTTTTAACTTAGTTCTATGTAGCAGAGGATCATACATTATGTAGATACCTCTTTCTAGGTTAATACATCACACTACATAATTTATAGTTTTTCTACATACTTTTAGTGATATCACATAAATCTTTTGTGATTTTTTTTTTTCTGTTTAACTTTAATACATAGTATTTTTGTTATTTTCATCAAAATTATTAGTAGTAATGTTTTGCTTAATTTTACTTTTTCTATATCTAATATCAGTTAAGCTGACCAATTGATCCTGACTATACCAGCATGTTTTGCTTTCTTTTTACAGGACCTTCATTGGGTGTATGGCCGCTATGTTGACTGGGATAATGACATTGAAAAAAATATGTACGTAAACATTTTCATTATAATAGAGTGAGTTTCAGGATCTGTTAAGCACTGTAGACAAGGTGGCAATAGAGGTGCATATTGTTATGTAGGGTTGGAGTGGTTGGGTAATATAGCTCATGACTGCATACATCAAAGTCCACCCAACTATGGGTACCTGACTTAGGTCTGGGAAATAAAGGCAGGTGGGTATAGTGGTGACCACACTATCCCCTCTATGCCCAGGCCATTAAAACGAATGACTTATATTTTATTTGCCCCATGTGTCTTAGGTATAATTGAGAAAAGATTATGATAGTGCCAAACATGCAAAAACTTGATAGAAAAGAGGTAGAATAAACAGATGAATTCTGCCCTTTGGTCTGTCAACTTTTTAAAAGTCAGAATAAAATTTAGTGTTTGTCCTGTTGGTCTGTGTTGAAATTCCACCCAGGACAGTATGGTTACATTAGTGTTGTTGAGAGTAAAATGTCCAAGAGAAGACATGAAAATACATTCTCATCAGGTGAGCATGCCAGTATTGTTACATGTGTAAATTATGCACAGTTGGACACCAAACTGGATAGGTGTTGAGTTGTGTAATGTTGTCATAGAAATGGTTCAATTTTAAATCATCCATGCATTTTTTCGAAGATCTTGGGTGTATAGTTTTTATATAATAATAGTTGTGCTTGCAGAAAATATATATATTATATACATTCTGCAGATTCTTTAACATGGTCGAAATAATAGGTGAACTTGCTTTAAAAGAATATACATTTTATTTTTTCCAAATTGTGCATGCTTTGATTGTTTGCTCTGGCAGATTTGACATACGCCTGATGAAGGAGGGACGCATGAAGGGTCAAGCTTTTGTTACTCTCCCCTCAGAGAAAGTCTCAGTCACTGCCCTTAAAGACACCAATGGTTTTATTCTTAAAGACAAGCCTATTGTGGTTGTATCCTTTTCTGCTCATTCAACATGGTTGAGTATAGATACATCATCATCGACATCATGATACACTCATCATCATCGACATCATCATACATTCATCATCATCGACATCATCATACATTCATCATCATCGACATCATCATACATTCATCATCATCGACATCATCATACATTCATCATAATCGACATCATCATACATTCATCATCATCATTCTCAACTCCTATTGGTGCATGAGGCATCAACAAGTGAGTTTCATTGTGTCCTGTCTCTAGCCATAACCTCTGGCTGTTGCAATGTTTGGCTTCTCTCCTTCAACTTTTTTCATGAACCTTCTCCGTGTTCTCCATGCTCAACTAAGTTTCTCTGCCCTCATTCCTAGCTCATGACCCAACTATCTACATCTTTGGTGTCTGATGACTACAGATAATTGTTGAATGAGTGTTCTTGTTTTTAACTTTAAAAAATGTATGTGCAAGATGTGGAGGGATGTTACGACTCGGTGAGAGGTTTGAACTATTTGCTCACCACCATGTGATAATATCAGACACTATGTAGCCATTGTGCCATTTCACATCCAGACGACCAGGTGACAATTTATAGATATGACGGACACAGGACTTTCTTCTTCTAATTTATTCTGGCATTAGACTTGTTTATAATCTTCATGTACATGCTCATGAATCAACCTCCCAACTGAGTCACACCAGTCAGTATCCACCCACTCACCTAGATGATCAAGATAAGGCTAACTCACACACAAATGCACAGTAACCAAGTCTCTACTCAAACATGTCACTATCTTTCAATTTGCATCATCCTTCTAATGCATTCAACATACCCTTCGCACCAACATTCACTTGCGCCAATCTGTACTTGAAACATGCATCATAACAAGGGGTATGTTTTGAGTACAGCATGGTTCGAATGGAAGTGGGAAGGTTAGGCATGTCATGGTGTATCATAATTTATTAAAAGGCTGTAAACTCTCTCTATTAGTTTACACTAATAAAGAGGGTATTTTTTTATCTGCGCTTCAGACCATTATTCAATGAATAAAACAGATGAACTAGTAAGTAAGTTCCACAAGCTCATGACTTAAAAAACATAACATCTTTATAATTAAAAAGAAATTATACACCTACATTAAAAATGGTGCTCAGAACATTAGCCATGGTTTAAGCAATACTAGACCAGAGGTTAACCACTTAAAATGGTAGCACTAGAAACTCATTGCCCTCTTGTCTGTTCTGACACTTAATACACATATTTCTTCAAGTGGATCATTGTAAATGTAAACTTAAGAAGTGTATTGTATTATTTTAAAATGTATGGTTAACTTAACAATTGGGGAGGCTAAGTAAGTTTTAACTTTATATAGAACAATTGGGATCTGTTTGTTTTTGCACACATTGATAAACATATTTTAGTGCTTTAGGATGGGGTTGGGGTTAATTAAATTTAGAAGTAGAGTAAGAAGATGTAAGGCTTCCCACATTTGGGCTAAGAAGTAGGGGAGGGCAACATTGTGAGTTCTGAACTTATCCACTGGATAAGAAGATGCAAGTCTCCCCCACTTTTGACACTTTGCTGGTTTGATCTATATGTGTAATTTGTGCTTGAGCTTACTGGAACATGTTTTATGGTTTATTTATTGAAAGGAAAATAGTTTGCATCTATTGCTATGATATCATATTCAAGATCTGTTTTATTTTATCTTATTTTCATATGTACTACTGCACTTATTTTTCTTATATAAAACTATTAGTATTGTCTTTATGATTTGAGGTTTTTTTTCCATTCTAAAAATACAACATCCCAACAGAAATCAGCTGGATGTACTTGCCACACCTTTTTTATTCAATATTAATACTATTAAAACTATAAAATAAAATTTCTCTACCCTATTTAACTCTGTGTCCTAAAAACTACAGCAAATCATAAATAGCATGACATAGTTTGCATTCAGCAACTATTAAATGCATTTATAAAAAAATTAACAAAACATTTCACATTCATTATTTTTTAAATGTTTATTAAACAATTTGAGAAAAACAATAAAAAAGAATTTTTAAAACAAAACATTCCTTTCATAATAGTATAAAGAAATGCTCGGTACTATAACATATAAAACACAAAAACAAACTATCAATTTGCATGCGTTTTTAAAATGTTTAATGTTTCTATAATGATAGAAATTTTTCTTAACCAAGGTCCAGCAATTCGCCAGGTCAGCTAAAGCTCACGAAGAAGATACAGGCAAACACTAAAGGGAGACAAAACAAACAGCGAGGGAATTATCTGATTTTTTTTACTACTTTGTTATTTTGCTATGTAAATAAAATACAATACATACAAGTTTATGTATAATTTTACACCTGACTTTGCATTCATTGTTTGATAATGTCCATGTGTTTTTTTTTACCAGGAGCTGCTATCTTATGACTGACTTATAAGGTAGTAGAAAGCTTGTAGATTAATATATACATACACCAAGGATAAGAAAGTGTAAGAAAATAACTGAAAATTAATAAAGTTATATTTTCAACCTTATGGGAGGCGTGGCCTTGAGATAGAGCGCTAGGCTGCTAACCTGAAAGTCTCCAGCTCAAATCTGGGTCCAAGTAAGAATAAAGTCCCCAAGTTAACCCAGTTCTGACGGGTACCTAAATTATGTTAGGAAAAGTAAGGAGCCTGGGTATTTTGGTTGACCACACCTATCTTTCATATGCCTGGGTCAAGAAACATGAACTCTACTTCATCTGCCCAATAATGGATTGCTAGGTCTAGGCAGTGTATCTTTCAGATTTTTTTATCTGGTGGGGCATTTGAAATTTTCGGTGGTGGGGGGGGGGGGGTGGACACGTTAAAAGTATATATTTATTATATAAATTCTGTTCAGGGGGTGGTAGACTCTCTTCGAGGGGGGGGGCGCCTGGAAGAAACACTGCCAGAGAGGATTCTTTACTTACTTTTTCAACCATGGGCCCCGTGCTTTGCCACTGTATAATAATGAACAGTGTTTCTTCCAGACTTTTTTCTCCGGGGGGGCACTTGAAATCTTCGGGGGGGGCGGTAAACTTTCTTCGGGGGGGGCGGACACTGTTAAAAGTATATATTTTCTATGTAAATTATAGAAATTTCATTTCATTCGGGGGGGCGGTAAAAATTTTTCGGGGGGGCTTCGCCCCCCCGAAGAGATGCCTGGAAGAAACTCTGATAATGAATAATTTGTTTTAGGTGTATTTTATAAATAACAACACAGATTGATAACAATATGTGACTACAACATGTTGAGAGATTGGAGTTGGAGGCATTGTGTGGACACATACTTTACCCACATTCTGTGAAGTGATTGCTAGGTTTTCCATGTGAGCTCAATAGACACTAGCAACTAAGCAAACACTTGCCCCACCACTCTTTTCTCTACTTCCGATTTGATTCTACTGGATATGTTAAATCAATTAACCTGATCTAATTATGTTAATTATACACTAGTACTCCCCCCCCCCCCTCCTTCCCAGTGAGTAATAGCCAAATCAATAGCCAGATCAACGAGGGCATGATAGTGAAAGAAAATAACTTGGATTTGAGTTAGATATTAGAGAAATGAACACAATAGACACTAGCAACTAAACAAACACGTGCCCTACCATTCTTTTCACTGCTTCCGATGTGATTCTACTGGATGTTAAATCAATTAACCTGATCTAATTATGTTAATTATACACTGGTACTTCCTCTCCCCCCAGTGAGTAATAGCCTAATTAACAGCTGGTATTTAACACTATGATCAAAGATGAAGATAATTAACTTAGATTATAACATAAAAACAACATCTAAAATCAAAAGAACACACTAAATGTATGTTGTGCCTAGATCTGTATCGGGTTGAATTTAATATATTAGGATAGATAGATTCAGTGGCGTTGCTTATTGACCCAGTGCAGTACTTCGTGGTGTCACCCCCCCCCCCCCCCATGATGTGTATAAGCTTTAATCGTTGTAGACTTAATAGTAAAGATGTTTATCTATAGTATATTAATAATACAGTTGGATGTAGCATTGTTTTCTCTATTGTTAGCACGTTTACATCATGGTGTCACCACCACCCTCTTGTGATAATTGTCAATTTTTACTCAAAAGACTATTTAACTTTAATTAATGATTAATGGAACTGGCAAAAAGCATTTTTTCTTCTGTACATTTTGCAATTGTTTTGCCATTTTGTCACCCCCCTTAAACTGTGTCAGCCAGTTTGGTCAGCACCCCTCCCCACTCCGCACTAAGCCTCTGCGTACAGGATGAGGAAAAGTAAAAATCGCCTATTTCTGTTAATATATGTGCATATTTTTAACAATTGTTTTAAATGTAGGGTGTGACTAGGTGGTGTTAAGTGTGCTATTGAATATATCCATATAAGTTATTACAAATGGTTTACGCCTGATTAGAATGACACACTACATTTTTTTTTGCATTTGAATACTAAGTTTTTACTGAAAAATATTTGAACAGTTAGTTAAGTAAAAAGTTAACATCACATGCCGAGCAAGCCTTTGTAGTCGGACACTGACCTCAACTAACTGGCATGTTAAGGCATGAAATCATCAGATAAGGCTCAAGTAAACCCCAGCATTCAACACACAGTGGTCTTATTGGAATTTTTAATGTTAGAATACAGACATTGGTAGTAAAACACTAAATAAAAATTAATACATTTAGTTACACATTTTTTTTTATTTCATGTTACAATCTTATGCCAGTTGACTACAGTAACATTTTCAATTAAGTGTTTTTAAAAATAAAAACAAAACATGTAAACACAACAAAGCATAAATTATGCTAGAAATAGAATACCAAAATGTCAAACACAACCATTACAGCTTTAGTATATTTTTGGTCTTTAAGGCCTTTTAATTTGCAACTTGTATATGGTGGTACTGTTTGCAAATAGAAAAGAAAGTGGGATAGTACCAGAAACGGATAGTTGTTTTTAGGGAATGGCCCCACTTACTCTTCTCAGACTGAGATTAATGATTAAAGAAAAAAGATCAACTATAAATGTTCAACCACAAGGATGGTCTAAATTGGGTAATTTTACTATTATAATTTATTAATAATAGTCTGCTATTATCTTTTATTTTCATTTAAATGTATGCAATGAATATTAATTTAGCTGTATTTGCATATATACAAAAATGCTATCCTTTTTTTAATATATACATATTATAAATGAATTGGAGATTAAAATGTCGATTCTGTTGGTGCTTCAACAATTTTTAAAAATGTCATACACTCTTATGGGTAAAATTTTCATGAGCAACATCAGATTTATAGAATTTATCTCCTGTATGATTTTTTTGTGTGCTTACTTAAGCAAGAAGTCTGTAATGACTTTTTATGACAAACATCACATTCATAAGGCTTAACTACTACATGAATTTTTTTGTGATTGCTTAGAGCAGAACTGTATGAAAACTTTTTATGACAAACATCACATTCATAAGGCTTTAACTACAAAATGAATTTTTTTGTGTTCCCTTAGAGCAGAACTGTATGAAAACTTTTTAAGACAAACATCACATTCATTTGGATTACCTCTTGAATGAACTCTTTTGTGTCTATTAAAATTAGAACTGTGTAAAAACTTTTTATGACAAACATCACAATCATAAGGCTTAATCCCTAAATGAATTTTTTTGTGTTTGCTTAGAGCAGAACTGTATGAAGAAAACTTTTTATGACAAACATCACATTCATTTGGATTACCTCTTGAATGAACTCTTTTGTGTCTATTAAAATTAGAACTGTGTAAAAACTTTTTATGACAAACATCACATTCATAAGGCTTAATCCCTAAATGAATTTTTTTGTGTTTGCTTAGAGCAGAACTGTATGAAGAAAACTTTTTATGACAAACATCACACTCATTTGGATTATCTCCTGAATGAACTTTTTTGTGTCTATTAAAACTTGACCTGCGTAAAAACTTTTTATGACAAACATCACATTCATTTTGATTATCTCCTGAATGAACTTTTTTGTGTCTATTAAAACTTGAACTGTGTAAAAACTTTTTATTACAAACATCACATTCATAAGCCTTAACCCCTAAATGAATTTTTTTGTGTTCGCTTAAAGTAAAACTATATGAAAACTTTTTATGACAAACATCACATTCATTTGGTTTATCTCCTGAATGAACTCTTTTGTGTCTAATAAAATTAGAACGGTCTGAAAACATTTTGTGACAAAGATCACATTCATAAGGCTTAACCTCTAAATGAATTTTTTTGTGTTCGCTTAGAGTAGAACTGTATGAAAACTTTTTATGACAAAGATCACATTCATAGGGCTTAACTACTAAATGAGTTTTTTTGTGTTTGCTTAGAGTATAACTGTTGGAAAACTTTTTATGACATACATCACATTCATTGTGCTTATTTACTAAATGATTTTTTTTGTGTTTGCTTAGAGCAGAACTGTATGAAAACTTTTTATGACAAACATCACATTCATCAGGCTTAACAACTAAATGAATTTTTTTGTGTTTGCTTAGAGAAGAACTGTTGGAAAACTTTTTATGACAAACATCACATTCATGTGGCTTATCTCCAGAATGAACTTTTTTATGTTTACTTAAACTAGAACTGTCTGAAAACCTTTTATGGCAAGCATCACATTCAAGAGGCTTTTCCCCTACTTGAGCTTGTTTATGTTTATTCAAGTTAAAGCTTTGAAAAAACTGTTCTTTACCATCAACAGACAGATTTGTTTTTTCTTCAGAAAGTTGTAGCTCTTCCTCTAGTCCATTTTGTTGTTTGTCCTCAAAATCTACAAATTTTGTCCATAGATCTGGTTTTATATTTTCATGAGTTGATAACATTGCTAATTCTGATTTTATATCTTCAGATCTTGTACATACTGTTGATACATCAAGCTCTATATCTTTATGAAGTAAAAATCCTGTTGTTACATCTTGAGAAGTTACTAATGTCATATTGTGCTTTACATCATCAAAAGATGAAAATGTATATTCTGTTTTTGTTTCTTTAGAAAATAAAAACTCTGGCATAACATCAGTTTTAAAATCCTGTGAAGTTATCAATGCCATGTTTGGTTTTATATCATGGAAAGTCAAAAGTGTTGATAATTCTGTTTTTATGTTAGCAGAAGATGAAAATACTGTAGTTGGCTCTGGCTTCACATCTTCAGAATATGACAATGCTGTTAATTCATCTGACTGTATATCTAAATCACCGGTTGTCTCTCCCATGCTGCCCTGCTTCTTATAATTGAACTGAGGATTAAATATTTTAAATTCAAATGGTTTTAAAAATTTTAAATATTTGTATAGGCTTTATAATAAATTATCTCCTTTCCGGCATTGTCATTCAGATTTTACAGGTACTATAAAGTGTGCAGCAGTCACTAAATAAAGCCTGCCTTTACCATGTTAGTATTTATCCTTCTGTAATAAAAATTGGGCTGAATTAAATCAAAATAAGTAGACTTTTAAAAAATTTATACTAGTGTTATAACATGATTATAAATCAGGTTTTACGTTTTATATATTTTATCTATTTTAGGTCACTGTGAATAAAACCTCAGATGGATTTGATAAGATCGACTAATCAAAGTTGATTACTTAACTGTTACGGTCAGTTGAGATGGAGACTGGGTAAGTGTTATTAAATTTTGAAATTATATAAAAAAAAGGGATGGTTGATCTAACTCTAGCTTTAAGATTTTTAAGTTAAAAAAAAAGGAAAACAATGTGGGACAATTATACAGTTGATGTATTTGCAAAAAACAATTTTTTGAGTTTATGGGCCTAGTAGCTACAGTAGATTGGAGTTTGTGTTGGTTTAAGTCTTAACTAATTGGTAGTGCTTATTTCGGCAAATAATAGAGCAGTGGGGTCACTAGGTTGGGTGTCACCCCAACAAGAAAAGTATTTATATATATATATATATATATATATATATATATATATATATATATATATATGTATATATATATATATATATATATATATATATATATATATATATATATTTATTTATTTATTTATTTATATAATATATATATTTATATATAAATATTTATTTATTTATTTATATATATTTATATATAATATTATAGATAACTGAATAATAAATTAAAATCAATGGCTAAATATATCAATATGAGCCAGAAATTAATTTTAAACAGCAGTGTTTGCGAGCAAGATTTGCTATATAAACAGCAGCCATTTGTAAAATTTAGTGGCTTCCCCTGAATTTTACGAAAAAAGGTAATCTATCATTTTGGGTACGTAAAATCGCCCGCGGCTATTAATGTACAAAAAAGTTACCACATTTTCAAGGCTTTAATAGAAGTATATTGTGATAGATTTGTGTCAAATATTATACATTAATGAATAATAAACCTAAATCAATGGCTAAATATATCAATATAGGCATGGTTGCATCTGTTGGAAACATCGCTAGTCTTCATTTATTAAATTATTAGGCCTACTGAATTCAATTGTTTAAAAACACATACCATTAAATGAAACAAGGAAACATTTTTGTATTTTTCAAAACATAAATCCTTCTCAAATTAGAAATAATTATTAAAATATTAGGCCTAAGGCCGAAGGAGTCACCTGTTTTTCACATTACTAGATCTAGAACTAGATCTAGATCTAGACTAGTCGTGGGCTATTATTAATTTACGTACCTAAAACGGTACTTGCCCGCTAAAGACGGCTAGAGTAAATGGGGTGTGGGGAAATTGCAAGACGCGAAAAGCGAAATGGCGAGGCGGGAAAATGCGAGAAGGGCGCGAAAACGGTCGGTCACGTGACTTTTTGTCTCGCATTTTACCACAACTTATGCTGGGTGGTGTTGAAATGCGAAGATTTCTGCGAAAAATTTACCGCACCCGATTTTCAGCGGTATTTGGTCCAGACTTCAAAGACGTTTTGTTTACATTGTTAAAACTTCCTATTTTTCCGTCGCTAGACATACTGATGATTTGTCAACACCCCCATATTTTGTGTCGACTTAGAATACCACCTTGTTCGAAACCGACGGAAATACCGCCGACGATAGATCAACTTCTGTCTTTTGTGTGGAACTTCGAGGCCGCCTGATTTACCGTCTTTGAAGATCACCGTGCCCGGATCCGCTGCCGCCGCAAACATATTTTCTATTGTTGCATAGAAATTGTGTATTATAGCCGCCGCCTACGGTTTTTTTTCTAGCTTTTTTTACCATATAAATATAAGCACAAGGTTGGATGTACTATGTGTGAAAGATGGTGTCACAAGGTGTGTTTGAGTAGTGCTAGGACTGTTTCAGAAGATTTTGTTTGTAAATTTTGTTTGTAATTAAAATTACTTAATAAAAAAAATTGCACTTTTTAGAATTGTTTATACTTTTACACTTTTTGCAAGTAAAAAATCCATAAATACATGTCGCAGAATATCTCTCCTGCTTACAAGATTATACCAATCCACAATGACACAGCTCACGTTTGTTTAAACATGAGCGGGCTAGATTTTTAAAATTAATGGCGACTGAGACGGGATTTTCCTCTCGCTAACGAGAGCGGGCGATGACAGTAGCACAGAAACGATGTTAGGATTTTTAAATAGATAGATCTAGATATAGATCTATCTTCTTAGTATCTATCAATCTATATAATAAAATCTAGATAAAAAATAACATACAACACTCGTGTTAAAGGGTATGCTTGTTTATTTTAAAACAAAAACAAAACAAAAAAAAAAATAGGCCTAAATAATTTAAATAAATAAAGATGAAAAAAACTTTTTTTTTCGCAAAAAGTGTCTCGCTATTTACCCTTAATTCCGCAGGTATGTCTCGCATTATCTTCTCGCATTTTCCCGCTTCGCCATTTCGCTTTTCGCGTCTCGCAATCTCCCAACACCCGAGTAAATGAGCTTAGTTTTTAGATCTAGATTTCTAGAATCTAGATCCACTTAATCACTTAGATCTAGATCTATAAGTATACCTCAAAGTAGAATCTAGATTATATTGATCTGTCTTGTTGTTGCTAGATGATGAAGAAAGTTTTTGGATACTCTTCAGTACTCTTCTGCCAATTAAAAATAAAAATATGTATACTATTACCTTTTATTAATTCGCATTTTAACTTAAATTTCCTCTATACCTCGTATACGAGAAAGTAAAAATAAATTGAAAACAGCAAATTGTTTTTTTCCTTCAAGGCCCAAAACACATGGGGCCGCAACAAAAAGGTCTTTCCAATGTTGCCTGTTGTAACTAGCATGTATTCCAGTTATAGCCTATATGTATATAAGTATATAGTCCAGCGACTATTACCACACCAGAAAGACCTCAGGCAAGAATGTATCACTAACGAATAAGGGAGTAGGACATGTCGACACATTTTTCTGCATTTGGTACATTCAGAAGAAGGTCTAAGATGTGTTCCCATAGAAAATCCAGTTAAAAATCGTACTAACATATACTTTTGTGTTGTGTTTATTTGTGAAAATTATAGGAATGGTTGTTATAATGATTGCTATGTTATTAGTTAATACTTAATACATTTTACAGTTTATTTCTATTTTGTAAATTTTTTATTATTTTGGAATATATGTCCTACATTCTTGACGGTACTTATTAATAGTAATATATATTTGGGCCATTAAAAATTAATGAAACTAAATTTTCTTTGACGTATGCTTTTAGTGTGCCAAAAGCAATATAATATTAACACATTGTTTGAGACAAAATTTCATTCAGCTCTTAATTCCGTGATTAAAGGGTTAAGGTGATGGACTTAAAAGATGAGTTGAGATCGGCGTATTCAATAAAGGATCACAAAAGAGATCAAGCTATTGTTGAAGAAAAAAGAAATCATAAAAGAAGCTGCTGATGATCCTGGTCATACAACATAGGCGTTGTATTTCATTTGATGGAGTTGGATGCTGTACCCGCAGTAACGTGAATGTAAACACAAACAAGTTCGTGTAACCCAAGCTACTGAATCTGTATAGGAGCACACGAGAGCGCACTGATGATAAAAGATAAGGCACAAGAAAGAAAATTTAAAATAAGTTTTTCTATAGACAGAGATAGAGAGTGGTCGGGCGGGTAAGCTCATGGTTGCCAACCCTTAACTCCCGAGTTCGAACCCTCGGGCAGATGAGGTACGTCAGATGAAGACAGCAACCCATCTAAGAGAGAAAACGCCGAAGTCAAGCAGGAGTGGAATTCCTTAGGCGATAAAATTATAAGCTCTGGTTTCCTTTATGCTGATTCCAAGCCCTGTCCATTGGGCACATCAGCTGTGCGGAGAGAGGGTGCCATGATACATGGGCAGCATCTCATGGTTCTTCTCAACTAAAGACCCAGGCTTTGTGCTTGAATTTTCCAATACGCGATCACCCAATTAGTCTACGGAGCCATGTCATTAAATTAGTATATTACATGATGAGAAAGCTCAAGCACATAGGAGATTTTGACAACCTTTCAATTTATTTTTCCGACCCATTTTGGCGCCCCTAAGGTCGGCGCCCGAGGACATATGTCCCCCCCCCCCTCGCTACGCTACTGGTGTAAATGTGTGCTGTTTACTGAGATAATTTATTTCCTGGTTTGTTTATTGAAGGGGAAACAATTGGCATTTTGCTGTAATTTTAAATATTGTTTCTAATTTTACTCATATATTTGTTAATGCACTTTTTCAGATTTCAAACGTTATGTTAAGCTTTTACGATGTACTTTCAAATGTTTTTGATTATTCTAAAATTAAAACATTGCAAGTAATTCACATAAATTAGGAAGTTGCACCAGTCAAATAGTATTTTTCTATTAGTTCAACTTTAAAATTACTCTATATTTTGTTCATGTTTCGAAATAGTTATATTTTAATAGTTTTCAAGTCACATATTAAAATAACAAAAATCTAAAAGAAAATTATATAGCCTAGTAGTTCGTAATCAACCAGATAAAACTATAAGTTGCACTTTTCAGAAAATAAACAAAAATTGTTCAAATTCATTAATTTTGTTCATTTAGGTAGTTTGATGAAGAAAAACACATTTAAAAAAAACCCATCCACTGCTTTTTAAAACGTAGATATACTTGATGTTTTGTGGAATAAAATAAACATCAGCCAAAGTACAATAAAACAACAGAGAAAACTATATTAAAAAGTTGTTAAATAATTGATGATTCTATAAGGATACGTAAGTTCCTTAACCAGGGCACGGGACAGCTAGAGTTCATGAAGAAGATATATGTAATATTAAAGGGAGACAAACATTAAAGAGGGGAGATAATTAATGGAATAGAGTTCTTATAATGATGTCACTTCTTTATTATCTTGCGAGGTAATTGATATAAAACTATACACGTTTATGAAAAAATTGTGTACTTGTGTTTGATTTGTCTAAATTGGTAACATGCGAGGTAGTAGAAAAAATATTGAGATCGATCAACGAGGGCAGGATAGTGAAAAAAAAATAACTTGATTTTGAGTTAGATATTAGAGAAATGAACACAATAGACACTAGCAACTAAGCAAACACTTGCCCTGCAACTCCTTTCTCTACTTCCGATGTGATTCTACTGGATATGTTAAATCAATTAACCTGATCTAATTATGCTAATTATACACTAGTACTCCCCCCCCCCCCCCTCCACCCAGTGAGTAATACTAGTAATAGCCTAATTAACAGCTGGTATTTAACACTGTGATCAAAGATGAAGATAATTAACTTAGATTATAATATAAAAACAACATCTAAAATCAAAAGAACACACTAAATGTATGTTGTGCCTAGATCTGTATCGGGTTGAATTTAATATATTAGGATAGATTTAGTGGCTTTGCTTAGTCACCCAGTGCGGTACTTTGTGGTGTCAGCCCCCCCCCCCCCCCCCCCCCCGTGGTGTGTATGAGTGTATATGTATAAGCTTTAATCACTGTAATAGTAACGATGTTTATCTATAGTGTATTAATAATACAGTTGGATGTAGCATTGTTTTCTCTATTGTTAGCACGTTTACATCATGGTGTCACCCTCTTGTAATAATTGTCTATTTTTACTCAAAAGACTATTTAACTTTAATTAATCATTAATGGAACTGGCAAAAAAAAAATTTCTTCTGTACATTTTGCAATTGTTTTGCCATTGTGTCACCCCTTTAAATTGGGTCAGCCAACTGGCAAAAAGCATTTTTTCTTCTGAACATTTTGCAATTGTTTTGCTTAAATGGCGCAAAGCCTCTGCCTATAGGATGAGGAAAAGTAAAAATGTCTCATATTTCTTTTAATACATGTGCATATTTTCAACAATTGCTTTAAATGTAGGGTGTGACTAGGTGGTGTTAAGTGTGCTATTGAATATATCCATATAAGTTATTACAAATGGTTTACCCCTGATTAGAAAGACACACTACATTTCTTTTTGCATTTGAATACAAAGTTTTTACTGAAAAATATTTGAACAGTTAGAAAAATCAAATGTTAACATCACAAGCCGAGCAAGCCTTTGTATTCGGACACTGACCTCAAGTAACTGGCATGTTAAGGCATGAAATCATCAGATAAGGGTCAAGTAAACCCCAGCATTCAACACACAGTGGTCTTATTGGAATTTTTAATGTTAGAATACAGACATTGGTAGTAAAACACTAAATAAAAATTAATACATTTACACATTTTTATTATTTCATGTTACAATCTTACGCCAGTTGACTACAGTAACATTTTCATTAAAGTTAAAGTGTTTTTAAAATTAAAGAAAACATATGTAAACACAACAAAGCATAAATTATGCTAGAAATAGAATAGGATAACAAAATGTCAAACATAACCCTTACAGCTTTAGTCTCTTTTTGGTTTTTAAGGCCTTTTAATTTGCAACTTGTATATGGTGGTACTGTTTGCAAATAGAAAAGAAAGAATGGCCCCACTTACTCTTCTCAGACTGAGATTAAAGAAAAAAGATCAACTATAAATGTTCAGCCACAAGGATGGTCTAAATTGGGTAATTTTACTAATACTAATATAATTTATTAATAATAGTCTGCTATTATCTTTTATTTTCATTTAAATGTATGCAATGAACATTAATTTAGCTGTATTTGCATATATAAGAAAATGCTATCCTATTATTAATATATACATATTATGAATGAATTGGAGATTAAAATGTCTATTCTATTGCTGCTTCATCAATTTTTAAAAATGTCATACACTCTTATGGGTAAAATTTTCATGAGCAACATCAGATTTATAGAATTTATCTCCTGTATGATTTTTTTGTGTGCTTACTTAAGCAATAAGTCTGTAATGACTTTTTGTGACAAACATCACATTCATAAGGCTTAACTACTACATGAATTTTTTTGTGATTGCTTAGAGCAGAACTGTATGAAAACTTTTTATGACAAACATTACATTCATTAGGCTTTAACTACAAAATGAAGTTTTTTGTGTTCGCTTAGAGCAGAACTGTATGAAAACTTTTTATGACAAACATCACATTCATTTGGATTATCTCCTGAATGAACTCTTTTGTGTCTAATAAAATTAGAACGGTCTGAAAACATTTTGTGACAAAGATCACATTCATAAGGCTTAACCTCTAAATGAATGTTTTTGTGTACACTTAAAGTAGAACTTTGTGAAAACTTTTTATGACAAAGATCACATTCAAAAGGCTTAACTACTAAATGAATTATTTTGTGTTTCCTTAGAGTAGAATTGTTTGAAAACTTTTTATGACAAACATCACATTCATAATGCTTAACTTATAAATGATTTTTTTTGTGTTTGCTTAGAGCAGAACTGTATGAAAACTTTTTATGACAAACATCACATTCATTTGGATTATCTCTTAAATGAAGTCTTTTGTGTCTATTAAAACTTGAACTGTGTAAAAACTTTTTATGACAAACATCACATTCATAAGCCTTAACCCCTAAATGAATTTTTTTGTGTTCGCTTAAAGTAAAACTATATGAAAACTTTTTATGACAAACATCACATTCATTTGGTTTATCTCCTGAATGAGCTCTTTTGTGTCTATTAAAATTAGAACTGT